ACCCTAACCCTAACCCTAACCCTAACCCTAACCCTAACCCTAACCCTAACCCTAACCCTAACCCTAACCCTAACCCTAACCCTAACCCTAACCCTTATACTAAAATTTATTTTAAGAGAAATTACTTCTAGGTAGACTTTTATCTAGAAATTAAGATATAGTTTTAGCTCTACTAGTTCTAGAACTATTTAAAGAATACTTAGTGTATATATATAAAGAAAACTTAGTATATATATATATAAACTCTCTTTAATTTTAGTAAGAAAATCTACGCGTACTACTTTTACTAAAACTAGCGTAACTTTTATACCTCTACTACTACCTTTATTTTTAAAGAGAAATTAATATAACTATATATTCTATAATAAATTTTTCTTATAAATATTATTTATAATTTTTTTTTACTTTTACCTACGTTTTTATAGAAAAGTTCTATATTAAAAGTCTAATATTATTTTTTATACTAAGAAATTTTTTAGCTAATAGATAAGCTATAATAACAAAAGAATAGTATTATTTTATTAAGAATAATAGTTAGTTTTTCTTAAATAACTAAGTAAAACCTTAATATTTTTCTATAAAAAATTATATATATATTCTTTATAGATAAACTCTCTATAATATACTTTATAAGTAAACTATCTATATAAGTAAACTATCTAAAAATACTAAGCTCTCTCTATATATAGTATTTTCTTTAGTAAATATATTAGTAGTAATCTAGTAATATATATAGATTTATTATTTAAGTATCTAGTATATAAGTAGTTAGCTAACTAATTTAATAATAATTTTACTTAGCTTTTCTAAGAAAAGCTCTTAGAGCTTTTTTCTAAAGGTAGAGAGAGTATAAGAGCTATCTACTACTAATAAGCTAGATATTACTAAGCTTTAGCGTAGCTATACTAGCTTCTATTTAAAGTTAATATTCTAATTCTTATTAGTTATTATATTATATTATTAAATAGGTAATTTATAATAATAATATTAGTTTAAGTAACTAGCTAGTAGGTTCTTTGTCTAGAATTTAAGAATTATTAGGGTAAAGAGGTACTATATAACTAGAGTCTTACTACTAAAGTTACTTTATAAGAGTTTACCTATAGTATTTAAGTAGTTTAACTTAGGTATAGCTTTTTATTTAAGAAGTAAAAGTATATACTATTAGTATAGTAGCTAATTATTAGCTCTACTAGTAGAGTAGAGAATTATTAATTTTTAAAATAAAGAGAAGAGTTTCTATATATAGAAGTTCTATAGAAGTTCTTCTATATATAGAGCTTTTATAGCTTTCTTTAGCTTACTACTAAAGATATCTTTTCTACTACTAACTAGATTTACTAATAGTTTTATATAGCGCTAAAGAGAAGTAATTAATTAATATATTAATAGATTCTTAGAGTAAGTAACTAGACTCTTATAGCTCTAATTCTTAGTATAGCTATTAGTAAATACTTCTTATAAGACTACTTAGTTTAGTTTAATATTATACTACTATCTCTAGCTAAAAAGATATTAACCTTTAGATAATATAAGAGCTAGCTCTATAGTCTCTACTACTATATATACGCTCTAGAATATCTAGCTAGATAAGTTAATTATAGATAATATAGTCTCTATAAGCTATAAGAATAAAAGTAATAAGTAGAGTAGGTTAGGTTAAATTTAGCTATCTAAAGGTAAGAGGTAAAAGAATACTCTAAAAGACTTTATATATAAAGATACTAAGTACTAAAACGCTAGGCTAGATTATATAATAAGATTATATAATCTAAGGTAAATCTCTAAACTAGACTATTATAGTAGCTAGCTTACTTATATAGCTAGCTTACTTATAAAGTATATTATAGCTTTTTAATTATATAATATATCTTAGTATAACTTTAGTATAAGGTATAATATACTATAAAGAATATATATATAAATTTTTATAAAAAAAATATTAAGATTTTACTTAGTTATTTAAGAAAAATAAGTTAATTTTCGTTAATTTTTCTTGCTAAGAAATTGTAAGGCTTTTAATAATATAGAGCTTTCGATAATAAAGTACGTTACGTTATTATTATTTTAGTATTATTAGACGAAAATCGTGATTAGCTTAATAGCTTTTCTTGCTCTGCGATTTTGACGAAGTCCGCTTGAAGTCGGGAGGCAGACCTGGACCTTTCGTGCATACACTATCCTTCTTCGTCAATGTTTCTCGACCCGCGTGGTGGATAACGATGTTCGCTTCAGCAAAGAAGAAGACGAGGAAGGCTTCGGCAGCTTCTTGGACCGCATCGAGGGCGGGTAGCTGCCAGCGGAAACGAGCTCTTTGGTCAGACAGCTGGGTCCAGATTAGTTCACTCATCTGGATTAAACGGGTTAGCTGCGAGGCCTTACACGTACGAGGGAGTGAAATTTCCTTCGGTGGAATACGTGAGATGGCTACTTTTGGCAACGCGGTGTTTCGTAGATAGTTACAGTGCCAGGCTTCACTTTGCGGTGACGGTGGGGAGGAAATCTGGTTTCGGCTATGATGCAGGATGCGGGATGGGAGGTTGGTGCTTTTCTTCGCGAGGTTACACAGCAGCGCTGTAATCGCCTTCCGCACCGCACAAGTAGCTCCTCTAGCTCTTCTTGCCAGACACCCCGAAATCAGACACTAAAAATATAGATGCTGCGTTGGCTTGAACCTGGTCTCGTATCCTCTTTTTGCGCGCCTTTATCATCCTTCGAAGAGAGAATTCCCTGAAGCGGGCTCTTCCGTGGAGAGCGGATCAGCTTTCCCGAGCGCGGCCCGTTGCCTCAGCTTTTCCGACTCTCCATCCCTCCGACATCTCAAAATCGCGACTTCGGCGCTGCTCGTTGATCCGCAGACCGGGCCGAAGCGATGAGGCAGCCCGTGGTGGTAGGCATCGAGTGGTCAACCGGACAGAAGCTGGCAGTCGCCGGGAGTCTATGAGGGGCAGACAAAGCCATACCAAGACCTCTCACAAAGTGCCGTCATCCGTTCGTGCTCTCTTTGCTGGCGGAGGTGCTTGTGACGCCACAGGAAGGGCGGTTAGCGCGGGGTCTAGGGAGCTCGAGAATGAGGACGTGTCTAAAAGCATTGACGAAGGGGTTGGGGGTGCTATAGTTGGCTCGGAGGCAGATTCGGGCTTAGATAGCGCCGAGGGATTGCTCTTCAGCTGGTCGATGGCCGTCTTGATGCTCTCCAATCGAGCCGATAGAGCGTAGTCTTCGATGTTGCGTAAAATAGCGCGAATTCCGATGTTGTCACGTTCTTTGTCAAGAAAGCCCGCCTCGATCTGCTCCATGTGATAGGATCCATCGGGGCTACGCCAATGAATCCACAGAATGACTGTCCGTAGGTCGACGGTGGCCGAGACGTGGCATGTCTCCACAAGAGTAGGGTTGGTGCCGCGGGCCTTTTGGTAGAAGGTATGGAGGTAGTTGATAATCGTGGCGCCGTCACGGGCGCCCTGCGGGATGGCCTGCTCGTGTGTTTGGCCTTTGAACGGGGACTTCCACTGTGCGGTAAAGTAGGGGAAGTGGACTTCGGGCGAGAGCGTGAAGCTGTTGCTTTGTTAGCGGGCGAAGTAGCAGTTGTGAGGGGTTCAAGGGCTACGATACAGGCTGATGAGATCTTCTTCCTCCCGTGTGAACGGTGCTTTCAACTTGCTGCGGCACGCAGTCTTGGTGGGGAGATATCCGACTGCCTGGTCTGGCTGCGGTTGTTCGATTGGTGCCACGCCTGGCGGGACCGGCCTCTGCGGTATGAAGCGGCTGCTCAGGTTTGTTCTCGCCGTCACCGCGGTGAAAGGTGTGCCGCCATCTATTGCGCCGCGAAAGAAAAGCTTCGCTTTTAGCGTGTCGATGCCGTCCTGCTCGCCGAAGGACCGCGCTGTAAGGGCTCTGGAAGACAGCTCGGCGGCATTTGGCGATGGTGCCTCTCGCGGCGCTTTCAGCATCGCGACGTGTTCTGCAAGCTCCTCGGGCAGGTCTTCTCCATCTTCATACATGATGCGAAACAGCGCGTATCTCTCCTTTGTAGGCAGCTTTTGGCTGCTGCTGTTATCCGATGCGGCGGCGCCATGGCTACGATTGCTTTTGGACGACGAACGCGAGGAGGGCCTCCGGGGAGGGTTCATCGACGGCCAGAGCAGGCGGTCCTGCAGCTGGGTGAGGTTGCGCGATGTGAGGGGTAGCGGCGCGCTTCGTGCAGAAGGGGGAGCAGAGGCGGCTCTGGGCGGCGAAGAGCGGGGGTGGGGCGGGGACGGAGAGAGGCGACGTCGTTTGGTGGGTGACTGCCGCGCGGGCTGCTCCTCAACTGACAGAGGGCGCTTCATAGAAGACAGCGGCCTCGGAAAGAGCGACGGCACGATGGAGCGCTGTTGAATGCGATGTGGTGGTTGTTGACGGTGGTGATGTTTGACGTTTGAGTTCTTCCCTGCCGAGCCTCCGATACGGTCTAGCGCCGGCATTAGCCGAGTACTTCGTTATCCGGGGCTCCAACCAACGCATTACGACTTTAGTAAGTTTTTTTCTGGGTTTCTTGGGGGCTGGCGGGCGACCAACCGGGCACCGTACCGACACTTAACAACCCTCAACCCACCCGCCGCGGTGCGACGGCGCCTCGACAGCCATCAACCCCCTCGGCATGGCGACCAAGCGGCGCCATGACAACGAAGACAGCCAGTCTGAGAAGCGATCGCGCACGTCGGCGCTCGCGCGACAGCTCTGACAGCGCGCGCGACTTCGGCTCCAACGTTGGCGCCCAGCTGGCCCTCATCTACCACGGACGGCACTGCTGGGTCTGCAAGGCTCAGTTCCAAATCGAAAAAGCGCATGTCTTTCCGAAGATGGACATAAGCCTGTTTGCGCTCAAAGCGGACGGCCTCCTTGGGCTGAAGGCACGCAACGAAGCCAGCAACGCCATCCACCTCTGCAAATGCTGCCACGGCGCCTGGGACGACATGTACAACCCGCTGCTGCTCATCGTGCCGACCTACCTCCACTACTTTGTTGCCATCGAGAAGCAGTGGCAGGATGCCTGCATGTCTTCCGACGCTGCTGCTGCGGCTCCCCGCATGGCCCCCTCCGCCGAGACTTACTTCGACTACTGCCACACCCTGGACCAGCGGTCCGATGGCATCCCCGACCACGGCAGAGGCGGGTTGTATACTGCTTATATTGTTGAAAACTACTTTCCCTTGCCTGACAGGCTCGACAAGCGGGGGTGGCATGACCATTGGCACGGCGACCCTTCGGCCATGATCCGCCGCGCCATCATCGCTGCAACGAAGATCAGGGTGCCAGAGGCCCCTCCAGAGGGACTGCGCGCCACCCTCAGGCAGCTGAAAGAACTGGACATACTTTATGAGGCGGGGAATGAGATGTGGGAAGGCATACTCAATCAGCAACAGGCTAGCGATCGGGCACCACCACCTCCTCCTCCTCCATCAACGCAGGGCCCCGATTCTGCTCCTCCAGACGTGCACCCTCCGCATCCTCCGCATCCTCCACCCAACTCGTCCGCCGGTGCGCCGCCTTTCTCGAGCGCCATGGGGCCACCCCCATTTAGCACTACAGCTCCCGGTCGCTCGCATCGTCTGCCATCCCCCTCTCTGACCCCGTCGCCTCACAACCGGAAACGACGCCGCCAAACAATGCCGGATACACAATGCAAGCGCGTTCGCGTTGAAGCGCCGGAAGAGGTGCCCGGCATCAAATTCGAGGCGGGGTATACACGCGGGTATGAGAGCGAGGATCCCGCGAAGGCGGGAATCCCTTGTGGTGCTAGCGTTGCTGTCTCTGAGCCTGCGCTCGCCAGGTTGAAAAACGAAGAGCTGGTATTTGATCAGGATAGGAGCATAACCTGCGTACGTCGCTGGCTTGGTCAGTTGGAGCAACCGATGGGCGCGTGTTTGGGCTGGCTCAACCGTGCTCCTCAGAGTTCGAACGACAGCCTCAGCATCCATACCCATGCTCAAAGCGACGACCAGGAATACACTGCGTACAGGCGGAGGCGAAGATACTGGGAATATGGGCCGGGTACCACGGCTGAAGACGCAATGACGAGAAGGGCACTGTTGTACGTACGGTAGCGGCATGAATATACACCTTCCCTTCCACAACCGCAACCCTCAAGGCACCGCCGCTTCTTACATTCGAGTGCGACTGTGTCGTGCTGCATCTACAAGCGCTGAGCGAGGCGGAGTTTATATTGTAGTTGACCGTGACGTTTACTTGTCATCCCCGACCTTCGACGCTTCTGTTGGGTTGGACGCACGTTGGTATCGTGAAATATCAACGCTCTGGAATTGGGGCCCATCAACCTTGCAGAGCGTGATCTCCGGCCACGTATAGTGAAGATCTCATTCAATCTGTTGGAAGATTCATCCAGAACGGTCCCATCCGAGTTGGACACCCCGATTCGGACATCGGCTTAACTCTGTTTCGCGACATCTGTTTGGGCAACGGACGAACGTGACTTCATCTTACTCAACTGCTGCGGGTCTTGGAGACACCGGGAAGATCTCTGACTAATTTCTTATTGGAGGATCTGGATGCGCAGAAAGCGACTCCCTGGACATTATCGCTCGTACGCGGATTCTGGCTGCGACTGCGACTGTGGCAAAGCCCAGCTGAACGTGTTAACGCATAACCGCTCAGTTTCAAGGTGATCCTACAAACAGACGCAAAGAACGTTTAGCTAGCCTATGTAAACAAAGAACCGGTTCGTTTCTAGGGCGAAATTCGTCGGGACTAAGAGGAAGAGATGCTTTGTTCTTACGATACTGCAAGCACTACAACAACGAATCCTATGAGTCCAAGAAAGTGGCGGAGCCTAGTCTTTCCTTTGTCCCTGCGTTCGGGTATAACTCGACACCTACCTTGGTTATGATTCATTCGACATCTTTTCTACATACCTCAGTGAGTTACCAAACTGCTACGGCCCTGACAAGATGCGCACCAAATCCGAGAGATTCTTATGGAGCATTGGGGTGTCAAGACTCCTGATGAAGTGTACGCAATACAGAGGGAGAACCAACGCTTTCATCCACCGCCCGAGAAATGGTCCATTATGAAATTCCCATACGAAGCCGCCGAACATCCTCCTCTTCCGTCAGCAGAAGACATAGAACGGGGCATGGAAGAGAACCTTATCTCTAGCAAGATCGCATTCAATGAAGTTTGCAAACTGGGGAACATTGTAGTGAAGAGAGGCACTAACAAACGACTCTTGGCGGTAAGGCTCCCTGATCCCATCTTGTCTATTCGATAACTAACATTAAAGAAGGAGGCAGAGAACATGCTATACCTCGAGAAAAACTCCCAAGTCCGTATCCCTAAGCTATATGCGGCATATACTAAACCCAATCCACATAGCAAATCTTTCGGCGTCAACTACCTTATTATGGAGTACATCGAGGGTGAAATGATGACCGAGGAGAGGTTCAAAACCTTTGATGACGAGGTGCAAGAGCTCTTTGTTTCGAAACTAGCAGAACAGTTCCGCCTACTCCGCTCCATCCCATCCGAAGGATATTATGGTCGTGTCTACAAGCAACCCTTCCATGCTAGACTCCCAATATTCCGCACCAACCACCTAGACCCTTCGGGCCCCTATAACAGCTTCGACGAGGTCTTTCAAGCCATGTACACCAGCGTGCAAATGCGCTGCGCAGAACAGCCACGAGACGAGCTCCACCCCATCGAAATCTCCTATATAGAGCGCTTTTACGAGATGGTGCCGCGTGCCAAGGGCACCGAACCTGTCCTTACTCTTATGGATTGCTCCTTTGATAACCTAATCGCTAAACCAATTGAGGATAACGCGGGGAAGATTGTGGATTGGAAGATGACGTTCATCGATATCGATATGTTTGGATGGCTTCCAGCCTTTTTGCAGGTCTACTGCGCAAAGCTGTTTTACTTATACGACGACGAGACGGGCAAGACATTCAACCGGAGGCTGGCTGCTGGTATCAGCGAGGAAGATTATTCGACTGAGGTTGACTTTCTGTTGAGATGGACGGTCATTGCCACGGTAGTTTCCGAATTGTGTAGGCTCGCGTATTTCCGTGCAAATGCTGATTGTTGTTGCCGTTCCACCTATGTTCTGTCTTGCTGAATGTCTCACATCATGATACAAGACAAACTCTAGAGCAGTCCCATCTGGGACAGTTTGCCTCAAGTTTGTCGCTGATTGCGGTGGGCAAGCCTGGATCAAAGCTTTGCGCACACGGGGTATATAAAAGAAGACCTGTGAACTTAAAGACTATATCGAAAGAGCAGTTTGCAAATACTTCTCTAAGAACGAGAACGTCACGATAACAGCCAGTCACCTCCACTCCATCTACTCTCTGTTTGACGGAGACGAACGCAGTTCTCGACGCGATAACACATAATGGATACGTCCGCCGGCCACGGCTCGGTCTCTTGGAGAGTCGGAACTCCTATGCAGCGGGCGGCTGCGGCGGGCCCGGGCACCTCGGCCGCGGAGAGCGAGAACACTACGGACAAAATACCTACAGTATCCAATTCCAGCAAAGACACCGGGCCCCGTGCCTCTCGACCGCCCCACCACGTCTTCACCGGCTGCGACACACGCAAACAACTGTCCCTCTTTATCTCCGTCCAGGGAAAAGACATTGAAGAGCACATCTGCGATAGGTATCATCCCGACTTTGCTGCAGGGGTGCTCAAGACGAAAATTGAGGGGTTTACGCCTAAGTCGATGGTGTATGAGCATGGGTGGTTTGGGGATCCGCGTATCTTCCAGAGCGTGTGCTCAGAGGTCGGTCTTGGCGGCGTGCAGTTGGGTGGAACAGATGATGATAGCAAGCTTGAAGCGTATAAGAAGTGGGTGTAGGTAGTGTTAGAAGTGTTAAAGAGCCGGTTTGGCGAGATGTGGTTGAGTGCGGAATTAGCGGAGTAAGCGATAAAGAGAGTCGCACTTGTAACTTACATAGCTTACCCGTCTTACTATTACTAACCGTTGCCTGCTGTGATGCGATTAGATAGTTGAAATCAAGCACCTTACAGCGCCCCAACCACTTGAGAAATGCTCTCTGCTGTTTAATATACTTGCTCAGCTCATCCGTGTGGAACGAAAGGAGGCTTTCGTAGTGGGAAAACTGAGCGGTGGGAGCAACACCTGCAGCAGCCGTTGCTTTGATGACGGACTCGCCCAACCAATAGGCGATCTGCTCTGCGGGAATCAAGACCACTCGCCCTTTCCAGACGCCCATGTCAGGTATCATGCCCAGGGCGTCCACGTAGCGGACGAAGTCATCCAAAAGCTCTTGCTTCTGCGAGCAATCCTGGTGCGAAGCGGGGAGAAACCGGTAAATTCGCGACGGGACCCCAAGGCTTTCCACGGAACGCTCAAGGGTGCGCTCACCGGCCCATTTGGAAGAGACATACCCATCACTTCCCTCTCCAGAGGGCACGTGGGCGGCAGCCGAGCCGGCTCTGTCCGTAGTAGCATCCTCATCTCGGAGCAAGACTCCCACCGTTGATATGTAGTGAATAGTTGCATGGCGGGGGGCGGCCAGCTTGACAAGCTCCTTAACTGAGTCGACGTTGCTCAAGTGGAGGACGTGGTAGTTGTCCCAGAAGGAACGTACAGCGCCCATGTGGAGAATCACGTCGATGTCGTTGGAAAGACTGCGGAATTCGTCCACGCCGAGCCCAAGCAGCGGCAATGGCAAATCGCCCACGTGATAGGAGATATTAGGAGTGGTGAAGAGGTTGCCTTCACGTGGCGTGTCACGCACAGCGACGCAATGAATCATCTCCATGTCGGGCCGGCCAGTTAGCTGTGGCAGAACGTACTTGCCGAGGAATCCGGTTGCGCCTGTGATCAAGATGGTCTTCGCTGCCGTCCCGGATTTTGCCGGAAGGTTGTTGACGAACCGAGGAACAGAAGGCGGTTCCGTCTCCTTCTCCCAGTCAATAACGCCAACGCTCGTGCTCTCTTCTCGCGATCCGCCTCCAGGCTTTCTACGTCGTCATTCCCCTCTTTAGACTCATGGGTGCCAGCACGCTGGTGGAAATGGCGCGCGACGTCGGAGGGAGTTGCCGACTACGAGAAAGAAGTTGGTCGAAGGTCCGAGTTCGATGCTAAAATTGTCCACGTTCGATCCTAATACGTCCCTCCACACGCGTTCGGGTTGGGCCATGGTCTCGGTCATCTCTACGACTTTCTCGGGACTACTGATTCGCTCCGGCAGTGGAAGCTTGTGGACAGGTTTTCGGTCTATTTTGGAGTGGTTGTTGAGCGGAATTTGGGGAGAGGGATGGCCACGGCAGGTATCATGTACTGAGGCACTGGGAGGCGGCCGAGTAGGTTTTGAAGGAAGGCCTCCTTGTCCAACACATTGTGTTGTTGTGCGAAGACGACGCGAGCGACCAAGAACGCCGGGTCCCCTTCACGGAGGGTGACGACTGCTTCTCTCAGCGCACCGCCTGCGGCTGATATGAGGTTGCTTTCGATGTCGCTCAGCTCGATGCGAAGTCCGCGGATCTTAACTTGAGAATCCCCGACCATACGGCTGTGAAAGATCATGGCACCATCCTCTCGCAGATGACCCGTACGGTACATACGCGTCCAGCCGCGCGCGACATCCTCAGGCGTCGCAAATGGGTCCGGCACGAAGTGTTTGTTGAGGTAGGCAAGGGACACGCCAGCGCCGCCCAGGCATATCTCTCCCGGCATGCCGACAGGCATGGGCTGCAGTTGCTCATCAACGACGTATGTGTAATAGTTGGGCAGCGACTAGCCACATGGAATGCGGCCCATGTTTTCCACCGTCTCCTTCTCGCGGTAACGGATCTCCATCTTGTGCGAGGAAATAGAAATTTCAGTCGGGCCATACGAGTTAAAGAAGCGCAGTTGCGACAGGTTGAGGTTGGCGAATTCTTGGGTAACAACGCTCGTAAGAGACTCGCCGCCGCCGAAGGCAAAACGCCAAGCGGATGCTTGCCAGAGAGTATCGGCCCCAAACTGGATCCACATCGAATATTAGGATGGAGCCGCGTCAGCGCAGGTGACATAGTGCCGTTAGATAATCTTAGTGATCTCCAGTGGATCACCACGATTCTCCGCCGGCACGATATACACCACACCACAGTTGAAAAGACCCGTGTACATCTGATCCGAAGAGGGGTTGAAGGTGAAGGCACTCTGCTGCAGGACTCGCTCAACACCCAGTCCTCAGGTCTTAGTGTATCCTTCGATCTCGTTACGGAGGTCCGCATGTGTGACAGTGATGCCCTTATGTTGCCGGATATGGTTACTACTTCACGTGACCTGGTCATGTATATATATAGCTATATTTCTCGTATTCTCAATTAATCAACTCATGTCTCAATACTCTGCAATTCATCCAATACCTTAGGTGTCTGTGGCGTTTGAATCCGTCACATTCAAAGTAATGTCGTATGCTGTTCTCCCAGGATGGACACTCTGGAGCTCAGCTTGGCAATTGCCCCATAGATGGCGTTCTTGAACACCCTGTCTGTAGTCGAGAAAGGCTTGGAAGAAGGGACTATGTAATGAAGAGCGGGCGACATTCAGCTCAGTCAGCAACACATCAAACGGCAAGCATGAGCTCTCTAGCGCGGCGTGTGCCGTGTTGCGGGCTTCGACAATCGCTTCGGAAAAGGGTTGGTCAGGCTGGCGGCAAAATCGCAGCGTCAGGAGGTTCAAGAAGAAGCCGATACCTCTCTCCACGCTGCTGTCGTTGCGGGCGGCATCAGCAAAGCCAATAGTTAAGTCCTTCATGACGTCGCCGGCAAAGCAGAATAGCAAGACCTTGAAAGCGGCTAAGTGCAAGTAGAAGGGTGTCGATCGCTGCGCTTTGAACACGGCCTTGACCTGCGCCACCAAAGCAGGCTCGAGGTGGTAGGCCACCTGATGGGTGTCGAAGCCTTTCATAACCACCCTAGTGCCGCTCCTTGCCAGAGGCAGAAGAGTTAGGACAGGGGGCTGTTCACCGGCGGGAAACACTGTCTGCCAGTACTTCATCTCCTCCCGCATCTCGCCGTTGGCAAGGGCCCGTCGCTGAGCCGCCGAGAATTCGGGGCACTGCCGGGGCGACGGCCCGAGAGATTGACCGTTGTAAAGCCCTTTCAAGGTCTGAAAGGAAGACGTTAAACTGGCGCCGTCCATGACAATATGATGGTAGCTGATCGACAAATAATGACACGATACCGATGTCGTCAGGAGGACCAGCCTCATCACGTCGACGCGTTCCAGATTGAATACTTGACTCCTGAGCTGGGTATATTCGGCATCGACCTTTTCCGCATAATCGATTCTCTTACGCTCGAGCCGTAGTGGAGAAGTAGGCAATACATTTTGAAGAGCCTCACCGGCGGTCTTCTCATCCTCCACGAAACATGTTCGCAGTGCTTCGTGTCTGTTGGTGACAATACGGGTGGCTCTTTCAAGGTCACCGACTCGGATATTGCTGGCGATCCGGTAGGATATCACAGTCGTGGGGTCTTCAAGCAAGTGCCGAAGAATCCAAAACTGTGACTGAGGCAATGAAATCCGCTCACTCTTCAGAAACTTTCTAGCAGGGCGCTCGAAACGTGTTAGCTTAGACTTAGCCTCCTTCGTATCGACGACCGAGACGGAAGCGGATGGGGTAGTCACCGTGGTCGCTGGAGTTGGCGTGGAAAGCCGCGATGGGGTTGACGTGCTGTTCTCACCATATGCAGAACTTGACTCCGGATCCACGAATGAGCTCTGCGCCTTTTCCGGTACCTGTGCCTGGGGTTGAGGTTTAGCCTCTGCAGCCTCGGGTCGGATGACGTCTTGTTGCTTCTGCGTTGCTGCGATTAATTTCTCTGGAAGCTTCTCCGGCGCTTTTTCGCACAGTTCACTCGGAGAAGCGCCACCAACGACCTTGAACACGGGGATGTCGACCTTCAATTCCTTAGGGAACTACGACCGCACCTCAACAGCAACCAATGAATCAATGCCAAGCTCGAGGAGAGGAGCATTATGTTCGATCTTCTGGTCGCCCAGCTGCAACATGGCCCGCAATCCTGTCGCAAAACATTCTTGCAGGACATCCAGGGCTTCTTTCTTGGTGGCTGTCATGGCGAGCTGCTGGGTGACGGGGAGAGCAGTCGTCTTTTCCCGGCTATCCGCTACTGACACGGCGCTCTTACTTTCCTCGATCATATGGGAGAAGTAAGGGTTGCTGAACCACGGACCCCTCAAGTCCTGCTCATCGTTGATGGTGCAGAGGCCGGCTATCACTACTACGTCCGCTGTTCCTCTAGAGCCGGCCAAAATGGTTTCCGCAAACATCTGACGCAAGTCCAACTTCGAGACATGCGGCAGCCCGACCTTCTTCACAAGCTGTTTCTGGACAGCCTGGCCTGCGGTCTCCGCATATCCAATGCCTGCGAGCATGCCGAGGGCAAGAGCAGAGGCCGCCAAGCCACGCCCGCGTCTCTGTCTTACAAGACCGTTGAGAAATCCGTTGGCTGCCGAGTAGTTGGACTGACCAGCATTGCCGTAGACACAGACTACAGACGAGAACAGAACAAAGAAGTCGAGATCAACATCGTAGAAGACGTTGACAAGATTCTTCGATCCTTCAACCTTGGGTGCCAAGACTTTCCGCATCGAGTCCCCAGACATGTTTGCAAAAAGTTGATCGTCGAAAATAACGGCTCCGTTAGCAGCGCCGGCTGGGTGGACAGGATGCCCTGATCTCTTTTATGACACGCTCAATACTGCTCACATCAAGAACATCCATCGCTAGGACCTTCACGGTGGCGCCAGTTCCACGGAAGGATTCCAGCCACCGTTCGTGGACGTTGGGGTGACGACTGGTCAAGCATACACATCCCGCCCCATTTGATACCATCCATTCACAGAGCGATTGTCCAATTTGGCCTCTCAGACCGACGAGGAGGTACGTCTTGTCCCTTGAAAATATACTTCGGCTGTCCAGGGTACGTGCTTCAGTCTCGAAGAGTCCGTCCGAAGGCCAGCGAATGATACTTGTTGCGTGCCTGGGGTACAATGTATTGATGGAGCCAAGAGCGATAACCAGGTCCCGGATGTCTGAACTAGACAATCTCGCACCTGACACGGCATCTGCGAGTCGATCCAGCAGGACCTTCGGACCGCATAGCAGAGGTAGCGACGACGCGCGTTGGAAGAGTGTGGATAGGCTGATGCGAGTGCAACCCGATGGCAACCCGAGGGCTATGCGGTGACCCAGGGCGCCCGGAGCAGTGCCAGCGGTCAATTCCAGGAAGAGTGTGGGCTTTACTAAGCAGAGCATCTTATGCAGACTGAGGTCGGTGATGCGAGTATTCAGCTGAATCCACGACGTGTCTCGTCGCCCATCCTGATTGTCACAAGTGAACGTGACGCGTATTGCTTGAGCAACCGCTCGCCGAGATAATGCCATAGCGAGGAAGCGATCGCTGCCCGAACAGTGGACCAGGACGCGGTTTCTCGGCATAGTTGATGAAGTAAAGATACGGCCATTAGCTCGCTCGTAATAGTGACCAGCAGACCATCGGTATCGGTATCAGCTGCCTCATCTACTGGAATCTCCACAGCCGCAACCGGATTCGTCTCGCATGAGTTGGAGGTCGATAGGTGTTCACAACGCGTTTGCTCTACCACGGCATAATGTGAGCCCTCGGAAAGCGGGAGAATGCCGACATTCGTTTCTGATATCGGCATCATTTTGGAAACGGAACGCCTCACCTAGTTAAGCCTTGCGTTCTAGCTGGGATGCTGTATTAGCCGGGGAATCTTAAGCTTCCCTCCTTTAAACAATACCACAGGTTCTCTCGACCAGAGCAATCTGAAATCTCGGTAATTCATGTCTGCTAATATCGAAGGCGGAGCCTCCTACTCATCAAGAGCGGTCTGCTGCAAGAGATACTCGGCGATGGCACGGGGAACGTTGTGCCGCAGATCGGAGACAGTCATGTGGCTAAAGTTGACGTGCGCTGCTTCTTGCCCGATGGAGCGACCGAAGGCAATGCTTGCCACCTGGTATGGTTGGTCTAGGTGGCCTCTATGCGTGACCCAAACGATACTTTTAGCAAGCTCGAGCATTCGCTTCAGGACGTCCATCTTCTCGTCTGTTATGTCTTTGAAAATGGGGGAGTCTATATCGACCAGGTTGATGAATGTGCCCATGGGATTCAAATTCAATGCCTCGTGCTCCGTAGGCAAGCTATTTATCTCTGCAAAAGCGCGACGATTGCGCTGGAGCCGTTGGGTTGGTGGTTGAAGGTTGGTAGTGTTCGAGAATGGCGTGGGCGTTGGGGCCGCCAAAGCCTTCGCCACACAGGGCTGGTTAGTAAGCAATGAGTAAGCAGGTGGCGTTAAATTCTCAGAAACTGTTCACGCTCAAAGGTCGCGGCACGCCATCCAGCAGCTGCGGCCACAGGGCCAACTGCGTCGGTACCTGCAAACCGTGGTAAAACGATTCGATCTTCGGATTCAAGTGATGGAACTAGAGATTTGGCGCGATTGCCCCTGCCTGCAGCATTGCAGAAGCCTTCAGCACACCCGCGAGGCCGGCGCAGCCCTCAAAATGACCGATGACAGTCTTTACTGAGCTGACGTACAGAGACGTGGCCGAGCCCTGCATATGGCGCCGGAAGCATTGATAGATGGCGGCCGCTTCTTTTGGATCCCCCGCCTGTGTGCCTGTGCCGTGGGCCTCGAAAACTGCGGTCGATCGTGAGGTACGTTTTCAAGGTCAAAGCCGGCTCTCGCATACGTCTGCCGAATGAGCAATGCCTGGGCTTCGCTATTGGGGACAGTAATTCCATTCGAAAATCCATCCTGGTTGGCACCGGTCTCGTGGACGATACACTCGATATGATCTCCATCGGCGATAGCATCGCTCAGCCGCTTTACCACGACGGCCGCCACACCCTCGCCGCGGGCGTAGCCATTCGCACTCGCACCCCACATAGCAGATCGAGTGTCGAGCGAAAGCATCTTCAGCGTGCTCTCGCCTACGTACATTTCCGGACCCAGGAGCATCTGGGTGCCGCACGCCACAACAACGCGTGATTCGCCGCTTCTCAACGCCTTCACGCCTTGATGTAGCGCAATCAGACTGGAAGAACAGGCCGTATCGATAGTCTGGCTAACTCCGTGCCAGTCGAAGAAATAGGATACCCGATTCGAAATGATGGCCCGACTCGTGCCGGTCGCGTAGTAGTTCGGCATCGTATTGTGATCCCGGATGAATGTGTCGTTGTAGTCGGCCGTCATGGTGCCCACGTACATGGCAGTATCTGAGCCTCTTAGGCCCTCGATTGCATGACCGCCCGCCGAGACCAATGACAGGAGAGTGTTTGATTGATTGATTGATTTCTCTCGTTTTAAGTCACCAACCTATAGAGGTTATGCTGACTACGCCTACGCACAAAAGGACTTAGAAGACGCTAAAATTAAGAGAAGGGAATAGGGCATTACAGAACTACGGGCAGGTGGCATGAGTTGACAGAAAAGAACAGTCCAGGCGCGGATGAGGGCGTAGTCCACCGCGAACCATGGCACGAAGCTGCCAACGGACAGGAGAGTGAAAGCCCCGACTGTTGGAGCAATGAAACAGAAGAGAAGTCGCCGGAAAATCCCACGTCAAGCGGCATAGGGCAACCAGGATGCATTATGGTAATCTGCGGTTGCTGCGCCGCCGCTTTCCCATGTAGACCTGCACGTCGGCAACGCACGTCGCCTGAAAGCGATGGAGCGCGCCGTCCCGCTGGGATCTGCATTTCTAAGCAACTTGCGGCTTCAAGACTGTCATGTCCGTTTCGCTGTGGTGCAAAGATAAACCTCGAAATGTGTGCAAAAATATGCATTTGTCAAATTTTTGCACATCGCACCGCTCCCTAACCTATTCCTCTCTTTAAGCCGCCCATGGGCCATCGCAAAGCCTCAACAAGAGACTCCTCCACTAGTCTGCCGTTAGCGCGCTAAACTTTTACACCGTCTATTTAGTTACAGTCTTCGATCGTTCCCCTGCTTTGTCGCCAACCGCAGGCCTGGACATACGCCAGTCTGGGACCGTATGACTGCCACACCGGAGCCAGACAGTAAGAGCGAGACTGACAATTCTCTAGCCCAAAACAATGCTATGACGCCAAACAACAAGAGCGGCGAGCTCACCGTGGATCCGGGTAGCAAGCCTAGCCAGGGCAGCGAACCTAACCAGGGCGGCCAGGTGGATACCGAAGATCAGTACCCGCACGGTTTGCGACTGTTCCTTCTCGGTGGAGCCTCCATCCTAGGCATCTTCTTGATTTCTCTAGACCAGGTAAATACCAACTCTCCCAGTCATCTGCATTCTTCCCCTAATACACAACGTAGACCATTCTTGGGACCGCTATACCCAAGATTACGGACGATTTCGGCGGCATTGGCGATGTCACTTGGTACAGCGCGGGCTACTTCATGACGTTTGGTGGTCTCGAGGCGGCATGGGGCAAACTGTTCAAGTATTTCGACTCAAATACACCTATATTGTTGCGATCATCATCTTCGAGATTGGCAGCCTCATTTGCGGAGTCACGCCCAACTCCAACGTTTTGATCATTGGCCGTGTCATCGCCGGCATAGGTGGCGGCGGAATGTGCGTGGGGGGGACCAGCATTGTCGCCTTTGGCGCGTCGCCGAAGTTTCGTCCGTGTTGATGGGCTATATTGGTCTGTCGTACGGCATTGCTTCGGTCCTCGGGCCACTTGTTGGCGGCACTTTTACCGAAGGAGCGAGTTGGCGATGGTATGTCGCCTCCACGGAGAAGCAGGCAAGCAAATATGCTAACTAAAAAGGTGCTTCTACATCAACCTTCCGATTGGTGGCTTAACCGCCTTCCTCATCATTTCCTTCTTCCATCTACCAAGCGCCGCCGAACCCCCAAAGGTCAGGCTGAGGGAGAAGATCCTGCACGCAGATCCCGTCGGTATGGCTCTAGCCATGGGCCTCATCCTCTGCTTCCTTCTTGGTCTCCATTATGCCAGCCTAGGCGGCGCCAACCCCTGGAGCAGCAGCTTGGTCATCGGGAACCTAGTGGGCTTTGTCGTCATCTCACTCACTCTGGTCGCTTGGGAATGTTATCTCGGTGAGTACTCCATGCTGCTTCCGCGCCTGTTCAAGAAACGCGCCGTCTGGACCGTAGTCCCTTTCCAACTCCTTCTCATGGGCAACCTCGTTCTTCTGCTGTACTATCTCCCCATCTACTTCCAGAGCGTCCGCGGCGCAAGCCCCATCGCATCTAGGGTGGATAATCTACCTATGGTGATAGCGGTGGGCATATTTTGCGTCGTCGGTGGCGAGGTCGTCTCAAGGACCGGACAGGCGACTGCGACCATGTTCGTTGGTGCCGCAGTAGGTACAATTGGGTGTGGCCTCCTCTGCACGCTCGGTCTTACCACGCCGACGGGCAAGTGGATCGGCTATCAGATTCTCGCCGGCTCCGGCATCGCCTTCTGCGTGCTGAACGGCATAAACATAGCTCAGGCCAACGTCGGCCCTGAGGACCTGGCCGCCGTTGTCGCCAACGTATATTGTACGCAACCCGCTCTCATTTCAGATCGCGGCTGACAAGAAATCTGTTTAGTCTTCCAAACGGTGGGCGGCGCCTTCACTACATCGGCGGCGCAGGCAGCCTTCAGTTAGGGTGTTGATCTGATCATTACATGTATCCCATTTCAAGGTTTGGATGAGGTTTAAAAGGAACATTGGGACTGAAATCATGCCCCGCACCGACACCTCTGCCTCCTCCAACCAATTCTGGCTTGCACTGCCGTTGCCTAGAGAGGCAACAAGTCTATGAGATATCTGAGCGCGATATCGAGCTGCCTGTAGAGACTTGCGGGTGTGGGGTCAGGACACTGTCAAGTCTACTTAAGAGTCAGCAGATAATTCGCTAGCAGTGGCGTATTCGAAGACTTACTCGGTTCCGGATCTCTGGCCAACTCTGTGGCTGTCACCAGGCAGCCTATCCTCATTGACGTGGGGTGGGTACGAAAGATTTGGAGTTGTTGAGAACACACAGAAGCTCTAGATATACGGCCCTCCATACAAAAAAGGGTGGTCTTGGGATTTTCGGAGGACGACCCTCACATGGAGACCATTCCCCTCACTGTCGGTAGGAAAGCCCACACAAGGATAGATCTTGCCCTTCTTGAACACGTGCTCGTCAAATGCGTCCCCTGAAGTCTGGTCAACACGTGCCAGCCGAGAAAACGATATAGGTACACTTACAAGAGTCCAGCCGTTTGCCATTGAGTGTGCGGTAGCCTTTCCCCGTCTTCATATTCAATCCGCATCCCACTACGCTGTCTGTATGATATTTTTCCCCGTCAGACTTTTCTGAAAATGATGATCCTTGACCAAGGGCCTGGACAAAGAGGCCTCCGTCATCCCCATGATATGCCCAGGACCCCTCGACCATGCCCGGATAGTCGTTGGCAGCTACTTGTACCTGGGTGTACCCGACAGCAAAATAACTGTGTACTTTGTCAGGGTCATGAACAAAATATCTGGGCGGAATTGGCACTCGTAAGACGCACCTTCCGTTGGGGTGAGCAAGTATATGGACTTCAAAATAGAAGTATTCGTCATCAGGTGGAATGCTTTGTTGCGTGCGCACGCATATCCTGTCGAATTTGGTCTCTTGGAAATTAACATTGATTTCTAAGAAAGAATTAGCTACGTTGTTTTTAAAAACTTGCGGGTGAGCCCTGTGTCATTACCTTTTGCCCAGGCGCATGAGTGGCTGTCAGCATTGCGCAGGTTACAATCTGCTAGGGTGACATTGGCTTCGTCGAATGGATTAGCAAATGACGAAGGTCGTAGATACGGTAGTTTTTCGGGCGGGGGTTTCGGGATGTGCTTCATCAAGACATCCTTGAGTTTCGGGTTGCCATTCCTCTTCGCAACGTCGATGCACGTCCAATTGTCGTCGTCCGGCTCATAAATGTTTGCACCCAGTTTGAGGAGGCGTAATATCGTGTCACCGTCACCACTCAGAGCCAAGGTGTGAAGCACATGGGGTACTTCGTTCCATCTTTTCGGGTCTTTGACCCGCCGCATCCACGCATCGAAGACTGTTTTGTTTGAGTCGAGTGTGGGGAACCGATGGATCAGGTCGTCGAGCTCCGAGGTTGGTAAGCTCTGTTCTTCAACGGACTCTAGAATGCTCTTGATGATGTCGATATGCTCATGGTTGCCCATTCCTGCCATAATCTTCAGAGCATCAATTCGGATCGCGGCGCTTGTTTGAGAATGTAGCAGCAACGCCCTGATGCACTCTTCACTGCAGTACTCAAGGGCATATTGAAGTGGTTTGCGTCCGTCTTCGTCAGCAATATCCCAGCTAGGCACGACACGGGGACTGTCGAGCAGGATTTCGATAACCGCCACTCTATCATAGACGAGGGCAATCTGCAACGGCGTACGGTTTCGATACCCGGTCGCCCGTCGATTCGGGTGTACATTCGGGGCATCCAGCAAGATTTTGACTGTTTCTGCTTGCCCGCGCTCACATGCCCAGCTAATAGGTGACTCGTCCCATGACAGATCTGCTTGGTTGACAATTTCTTCGCCGCTGTTTCGGACAATGTGGTTTACAGCCTTGAGGCAGAAGCCTTCCCGGACGGCCGATATCAGTGGGGTGAAGCCATCCGCATCCATGGTTCCAGGATTCGCACCATGGTTGAGGAGGAAGAGTGAGGTGAAGTCGTTGTTTGCTTTCATAGCTACGTGTAATGGTGTTTGCTCAGATTGGTCCAGATCGTTAATTCCAGTCTCCATGGCGTTGAAGATAGTGGATATAAGGGAATCTTTGACCGGTGTGCTGCCAATCTGGTTTGACACCGCTACGTGATGTAAAGAACTGCGACCGAGGCTGTCTTTGATTTTGAGGTCGGCCCCACGGCGAAGAAGAGCGTGGACGACGGTGGCATTATCTGCGAGGATGGCCTCATGAAGTGGTGTACGGAGGGAGCCATCACGGGCGTCGACTATCTTGATGGTCTCGTCCTGAGAAGCTTGAGCAGACGATGGTCGAGCCTCGCGCTCCAGCTTGCTATTTGCCATCTTCTCCTCTTCCTCCCAAGTGGCAATGAGTGCTCCAATCAACTCCTCAACTTCGGCACTACTAACTGTGTTGGCTTGGGCGACGTGGTGCAAGGCGAGCTTTCCATCCTTGTCTGCAGTTCCTGGTTTGGCATGATGATCCAGGAGCTTGAGTGCAACGGATATCTTGCTTGCGATGATAGCTGTGTGTAGGGCCGTTCGACCGTCTCGAGTCTGGAGGTCAATATTCTTCATATTGCTCGCAAGTACTTCTACTATATCCTCAAGATCTGCTTTCGAGAACTCTCTAGATTCAATCGCATAGTGCAAGGCCGTTCTGCCACTGTTGTCCTGTTGGTCCTCAGCATTGGTGAGCGTCTTCATTAGGGTCGTTTGGCCACTGTTGCCCCATTGGTCCTCAGAATCGGTGAGCGTCTTCATTAATGACTTAGCGACCGCCGATTGGCCAGTCTGGTAGGCGAGCATTAGAGGTGTCATGCCAGTGTAGTCCTTCGTCGTCGATTTAGCGCCGTATTTGAACAGGACATTCGCAACTCCTCCTCGCTTTGCCGATACAGCTAGATGGAGCGGTGTCTTGCCGTTCTTGTCAGCGGTGTCAGCCGCAGCGCCTCTTTTCAGATAATAGCGCTCAATTTCCTCATCGTCAAGGAACTCAACGGCGTAATGGAGCACGGTCATGCCATTGTCGTCTTTATCGTCAAAGTTCCTCCAGACTTTCATGAACTCTTCGGCCATACTCCTTCGGAGCTTGCCCGTGCCCATATCATTCTTCTGATCCTTCAGGAACCTTAGGTATGTCAGAGGCGTCCGCCCAAATGTGTCTGCTTGGTCGGGCCGCGAGTCTTTGTCCAGCAATTTCTTTGCAATATCCAAATTTGGGGCCGCTGCAGCGAGGTGAATGGGGGCTCGACCCCAAACATCAAGTTCGGTGGGTTTGTGATACTTGAGTAAGGCCTCGACGCACTTTGCGTGCTGGCCCTTAACTGCTAGATGGATTGGCGTCATACCGTCCAAGCCTCTTGCCTTGACGGCAGAGGCTACGGCCTCATTCATCTTTCTCTTCACCTCCTCAATCATTTCCCGCAGGAAGTCGTCCCTGCCGCAAAGTGCTGCAAGGTGGATAGGGCTCCGTTTAAACTTATCCTGCCACAGATAGATGGGATCCGGGTCGGCTCTGGCAGACATCAACACAGCCTGGAGATTACTCAAGCTCGACCCGGCGGCCGCATAGTGAAGGACTGTCCAGCCAAAGATATCGGCTTTGGTAACATCTTTGGCTACTCATTTGTCAATATGCATCATAGAAGCTTCAGTAACCACCTACTCTTGGGTCTCCGCCCATCGTCCATCTCACGGGGTTGTCCAGCCTTGGATCTCTCACCATCCTCCTGTGCTTCGCCCGCTTGAATATGGACGTCGGTGACACCGATTCTCTCCAAAAATTTGCTTTGCTTTGGGGTTCTCTCTCCGGAGTTCCCCTGCGGAAAGTCGACGTCGGGGAAACCGTCCTCGTCATCGCTCGCATAGTGGTGAAACACGACCTTAAAAGTTTCTAGTCGCTTCTGCAAGTTGTATACTGGTGACAACTCCCTCAAAATGTCTGGAAAATCTACGGCAAGCTTCTTGACCACTTCCTTGAGTTCCTTATCAAGTTCTTTCTCGGGTTTGATGTCCTTGGTGAAGGGTTCGCAGGCAAGATAGACGAATTCCATCGCCTCGACGACTGCCGCAAAAGCAAAGTACTCCTCTATCTTAGCTCCGATGCTCGACTCTAATAGATTACGATAGAATTTGGCTGTCTGGGCCCAGCCGTGTCTCTGAATCTGTTGGAACTCGAGCGGCATCAGAGACAATATTCTCTCGTTGGGTAGTAGGTCCTTGAAGCTCAATGCTGGCACCATGCACAGGAGAATCTCGCTCGCGCTTCCAAGCCCCACTGCTTCGACATATTTGACAAAGGTGTCAAGCCGGACATTGCTTAGCTTCGGGCAACACCAAGTGTCCTTGAACGCATACAGGTTGAAAGTGCCAGAGTCAATCTTGATAGAGTCGGTGCTACTCTTCTCTCTTTGTCGGAGACAGTCCCTTGGCAACCTCTCGGCGATTGTCCACATAAAGCTAGTGAAGAGGTGTTGCGCAAGGATGGTCGGTAGGTATGCGCTCGAGGTGATGGAGAGCTCTTTTCGTTCCATGTTTTTCCGTACTGGTTGCACTGTGAAACATCGAGGTTAGCGCACAAATACTGCTATATCTGCTCCGTATTAGACGGTGCTCTTCTTACCTTCTCGGGGCCCGTTGAAACCGATGGCCAACTTTACTTTCTCGCCGCCTCGAGGAGCCGTCGTCCTGGAATCGTCACTCTCGATATCGGCCTGGTCGGCAATTTGCTTGCCAACCCACCACGAGATATCACGCTTCAAAACGCCGTCCTCGTAGTTATCGCCAATAACCCTGCAATAGTCAAGCTTCGACCCAATCCCTGCCTGTGACCTTCTCCAGTCGGCAAGTTCAACCCCCCGCCGAGCCTTACCTGGCGCACCCGCGTTAGTGGTCGCTCGATCGGCGTTTTCGATCATCTTGGCCTCGATGCTCGCAATCCAAAGCGACAGAACCGACTCAATTTTCCCAATCCCAACAACCCATCTGCTTCCTTTTTCTTTCGTGTCTCTAGTGAGAGAGATGACTACGCTGTCGGTCTCGCCAGATTCCCGACCTTCATGGAGTTCGGTTGTTTCGATGACCCATCTGATCGACGTCGTCTCGCCGTCGGGGAAGAATGTCGCCATGAACCGCTCAATCGATCGCACTAGAGTTAGGGCAGCTTCAGAGGCGCTGTTACTCCACTTGCACAAATTTCCCAGTCGCTCTCGGACTAGAACTAGCTGTTGACTGGATGCTTCGTCCCAGCCTGCAGACTTGTCTGCTCCATCGTCCTTGTCTGATCGTCTTCGACGTGGGACGCCGAATTTCCGAGGCCATGTTGTTTTCCGTTTTTGGCTGCCGCCAGTGTTGGCGGTGGACATCTTATCGCTGGCGTTGGGTGCGTCGACGCTTGTGGTAAGCGTGACGACTGTGTTGCTGACTGACATTTTGCTCTCGGCTGACACGGCACCATCAATCGGCTCTATAGCGTCGGCCGTGACTATTGTGGCTGAGGTTGCGTTGTTTGTATGCACCGTGTCGCTAGCCCCAGGCAGTGTAAACCTGACCAACGAATTCTGAGGCGGCGTTCGGACCTTCCATACACATATCTTCTTCGGGTCGTCATCCTTCCATTTGATTTTTTGCTTGTTGGCGTAATCGAATTCGCGGAAAGGGCCTTTGAAGACGATGCGGGTGGCGAGGAAGTCGAGCTCATACTGGGAAAACGCAGGACAGAACAAGGGTATTTTTCCCAGCCTACGGCGTACTCCAGCCCTTAGGAGAGCCATTATTAAGGTCGCAACAAGCTGGGATATGGAGCACGGCCATGATAACCCCCGAAGCCCCACGAACTGTGCGATGAATCCAGCGCTGCCAAAAAAGACACCCGCGATCGTGAGCGCCCCCCACGCCTTTCCGCTCTTCTTTTGACCTTTCCCAGACTTCATGTAGTTAGTAGACTATCCTAGCGAGGCACAGCTCGACGTGATGGAATGTCTCCGTGGGAAACTCACCTTTTCATCATCCTCAGCCGAGACAGGCTCCGGCATGTCTGACTCCGACTGCGTCATGGAGTCGATTCGTTGCTTAGCACTCCAAGAATCAGGGGCTACGCCAGGCGCCAGTGATTCTTTCCCTGTCTTCGACTTCTCGCAGTCTCGCACGTCTTCTTGTCGACTTGATGTTATGACGCAGCGCTTTGGTCCTCCAAGGATCACATAAGAGCCGAAGAACTGATCACTAACCCGCTGGGATTGTTGGATCCAAATCAGATGAGGAGATCTGCTTCCAACTCTTGTTGTGGTGGGCTTTCTACCCATTGTCCACGAAAATATACGTGCGAAGGCTCCAGCGTGCTGGGAGTCGGCCGATTGGTTTCCTTTGCTTTGACGCTTCCACATAACCTCACTCGTACTGCTCTCAATAACATAAGAACAGAGCGCCATTCCGGTAAAGAGTAAAACTGATCCGATAATGTAACACGGCAGTCCATACCGTGGCGGCTTGTATCTAATTGATGTTTTCGTTGGCTCGTGGTAGACTGTCACGACAGCTATGACAAGTAACGCGAGCTGCAGAGCGAGAGCGAAAGTGGCGGCAGTAAAGAGTTCTATCTCTTCCTGTTCTGGGGAAGATACCCCGGAGGCGACATTTAGTTGTAGATTGGGCGGCCCCAGGAAGTTGAAGGACGAGTAAGGTAACCCAATTTTCCTTGGATTCGGAGATTCAGCTTCTTCGTTTTCTGATGCCTTGTTACATGTTGATGAGGTCGAGCTTTTACGATCGCCCGAGCCTGAGCATGAACCTGGATTCGAGCCTTTCTCCAAATCGGATCCCTTCTCATCCGTCGATTTCCTTTTAAACCAGGACATCTCCTTCATCCGCTGGAAAAATCTGGCAGCCACTCTGTAGCTCCTGTTGTGGTAGGCTATAGGAATTGACTGTCAGTGCGCCTGCGCCCACTCATCCTGCGCATTATGACGTACCTTCGCAGATCATGATGCCCTCGTCCCTATTATCAATGTTGACTGCTTCCTGGAGGGTATGTATACCGCAAGTCTGGTCGGGATCGTTTGGGTTCTGCTTGAAATGGTTGTAACGGTCGGGAAAGATGATGATTTGAGCAATTTTCGGTTGGCCCATTGTTCGGATAATTCCATTGCCGTTAAACATCTCGCAGACCTCCCGGGAAGTAGACGACATGAGTTCTATTTCGGGAGTCGCGCGATTTTCTCTAGCGCAGCCGATGAAAGACTTCGCAAACTTAGGTCCCTGGACGCGGATGGCACCCGTGAGGGCCGTGATTATACCCAGCGGGACACAGGCGAAGATGATGTGGTCGAGCCATGTGAAGCTCTCGCTGGCAAATTGTCGAGCGAATTGTTCACCAAATAGCGCTAAAATCCTTTGGGCTATTGTTTAGTTGAATTTGGGTTGGTCTGACTGTAAACTTACGGAGCAAGATCCGAGAAAAGGTTGAACGCAAACTCAGTGGTGTCACCAGCGGCAACTACGCCATCTGCGAGGAGTAGAAGTAGCGCCACCGAAAGGTGGGAGCTTGCGGGGCGCATCGTCGTCGAGTCGTGCTAGAATGCTTGCAGGTCGAGCGCGGTGTTGCACCAGCGAGGAGTCAGATCAATGTTGATCTTCGATCACAACGTGCATCAAGCGCCATAAAAGTATGCTAGCTACCCAAAAGACAGCAGAAGAGTGCACTGGAGAGTCGTGTGAGATCCAAGTTGGAAGGGTCCGTATGATCGAAGCTTTTTTGCGGGACAACCACGCCGGACACCGCCTCGGTTGCCCTTCAATATGTACAAAATCCCAATGGCCGCCGATAACGAAGCTGAAGGACGTTTCTAAAGCCTCCGCCATGGCTATTAAGCTGACAAACCTGAGGCTGCAGTTGACATGGCGCCCGACGCAGCTTGCAACATAGCCCAAGCGAATAGAAAGTGCCTAGATGCGGAATCTTTCCAATACCCCTCCTTCCCAGATACAGGTGGCTTTCGAAATACAGAGGAAGCTCGCTCTCCCTTGCCGGGCAGCAGGCGAATCAGCGGGCCGCCCCGGCCCTCGGAAGGCCGGAAACGGCCCCCAAGTCGGTAAGATAACCCACGGTGGGTCAAGCGCTGACGGCCTCCCTCGCAGATGTCGCGTCGGAGAGCCGCAACTGATAACTTGTGCAGGAGCTGAACGCCGCCACAGCAAAACGTGGGCAGCCAGTGAAGAAATTCTCACCCAGAGCCAAACATCGATCGGACAGATGATTGGAGAACCATGCCACAGAGAGAGGTGCGACCAAGAAGGCTGAGAAAATATATGGCAAAGTCCGGATTTGCGTGCGTTCTCTCGCGCTTTGGCGCTCGATCACTGGCCAGCTCAACATTGTTTTACCTGCTTCGCGAGCCCGTATGTAGACAGATAGAGATAAGACTTAGTTTAGGAATGCATGCAACTTCCGCTCAGTTAGCCTATCAAGACCCTGGCGGCTAACCGCGCGTAATGGACTAACCTGAGTGATAGCCCTGCATCCCAGATTGATAAGAGTTAACTTGCTTTTGATTGACTAACTGCGTGCTCTCCATGCAATATCTCGATTGGAAGAACGAATCAATCCTCCTACACTGCTCAAAACGTGCAAGCGTCAATCTTCCGTAAAGCACAGCGACGATCTGCAAACAGCGAAGAAAGATTGAAACTTCACGTTCAGGGTTGTTAGCCACATCGCATGTGTCCCGGAACGTAATGTTTCAGGTACAGAAATGGCGTATTAAGTCCATTGAGCTCAGTGACAGAGTGAATAATGATGAGCATAGTGACACAGTCGACCAAAGTCTTCCGAAATACATCTCTGTGGCCACTGATCATGTGACGAACTCCAATACACTCGGCCCAAGTGGCTGCTCGACGTTTGCAACATGTTGCGGTTCGTTGCCATCTCTTGTTCGTCTGACTTTTGGTTCAATACACTGCTGCGCGTCTCGAATGCATCGTCCAGTGACACGGCCGCCTCCCATTGCGATGTTAGGCCCCGCTGGCTTGGATTCCAGGGTACGTATTTACTTCTTTCCCTACCCATGTTGTGCGGATGAAACCAATGACGAGATAGCGTATAATATCCTCTCGTCGCTACGTAGGGAGAATGTTGTGTTTTTAGTGTGCTAGGAGTGGAGGGATGGGTGGTGTCATGTTCTCTCCCCTCGTACTAGCCAGATGGAACAGAAGAAGGCGAAAGACACGGAAAGCTAGACCTGAGGCCAGGATACCGCCTCTGCTAGGGACTCTAAAAGCATATAGCATGCACCGCTTAGCCACGGTACCTAATATTTAGAGCGAACGCCATGCCTCCCTACCAGAAAGTCATGCAGTCATCATAGCTCGCCGCGCCCATCCCCTGCACAAATCGCCTCGTGAAGGTGCAAATCACAAATTTCGCCATCTGCTCTAATTGAGCCCAAGCCATAATGACTTGAACATCGTACGGGCTCGGAATCTCGATCTCTAGGTCCTGATCATCAAAGCTTATAGCCGGACTTCCGTCTCCTGCCGCTTTATACGCGTCGAAGATATCAATGGTGTTGTTGGCGGGAGGGCCATTGGGACCGGTAAATTTGGCGCCGTAGAAGAGCCACTTGTGGTCGGTGCCGAGGCCAAAGATTGCTTTTGCGGACGCGGCAGTGAGAGGAGGAGCCCCGGCGAGATTTCCGTTGTTGGCCGCTTGGAGCGCTCTGTAGTAGCACTGATATGGGGCATTGAGGAGAGTGCGCAGGAGCGACCGGATTCCGGGATTGGGTCCCCACTGGGCGAGCCTGCCTTGCTTGGCGGCCTGGACAAGGGTTCTCCAATTGGGATCCTCGCTGCTCAATACTTGCCTAGCCATGGCTTTGGGGATTGCGACAAAACCTGCTATGACTAGTAATGGTGGATTGGGAAGTGGGTCGGTGGTGGGGACGGGTGTGGTTGTTTCCATTTCTCCACTCATACTGGCCAGATCAGCCATGAAGGCTTCCGCTTCCTTGTTACTGGGGCGTATCCTCTGACCATACACAGAGCCAAAAGCACTCTCCTCTCGTTGGGCGAGAATGTCGGCGACAATAGGACCAACGGTCTTGATGACCATGGGAGCAGTCTTGATGACGGCAGGGCCGACGGTCGTGATGACCTTCTTCATAATCTCGAATATGCCTTCGGATTGGAGCTTTGCGACGGGCATCTGCATGAGGGCTTGCAACGCTGCTTCACCGACGATGACCCTGTGGGTGAGACCATCAAATGAGCTGGTTTGCTGTTCAAGTTCTGATTCCGTGCCAGAGGCCAGTTGCGCTAGCCCTTCCTGAGCGACCGCTTGCAGGATGGGAGCAGCGATGCGGAGGCCCTTCCCGATGAGGTTACCAATCCCCATCACTGTGCCTAGGAAGCTTTCTGCGTCTTGAACAGTGACAGAGTCCGCCAGTCCTCTGATGAAAGCTTCGCTGGTAACGTCCACAGGTTTGGCTCCAAAGACGCGATGATTCTTCTCCGTGGCCAAGGATTTCATCTCTCGAATGGGCGGATACGCAGACTCCGTGGTTCCGAGCTGCGATTTTCGAAGTTCATCTAGTCCAATTCTCAAGGCTGGCTCCGCGATGGCAGTGAGAACTTTGGGTGCGACTCTTGTAACTACCGGAGCGATCTTCTTGACGATATCGCCCATGGTCGTGAACAGTCCTTCTTCTTCGCACCGCTTTGCACCTAGGTGGACTATGGCAGCAAGAGCGGCCTCCCCTAGAACCGCTCGTTCAGCCACGCCATCGAACGAGTAGGTGACCGTACTCTCAGCCCCAGCAGAGCCCTGTTTGGCGAGGCGACCAGCCGCATTGAGAGCAACACCCGCTAAAGCCCCAACAGGTATGCCGATAGGACCAAGAGCAAGTGGCAAGGCAGTCTGTAAAACGGTATCGGCAATAGGAGCAGCAGCAGCGAGAGCCTGGCGTAAGAAACCGAACAAGTCCTCTTGTACATCGCGATTAGGCTCTTGGTCGTCTGAGATGAAGCCACTTTCGGTTCCGGTGGTATTAGATGGCACCATAGCCCAAGTAAGCCACGTATCTCGGACGGCCTGAGTTACGGCTATGCTTGCATCCTTGGATTGGTGATTTGAAACAGCATCGATGGCGGCGATGTAGCTTGCGAAGTCATTTCCATACTTCCCATTTATGATGGACGCAGAATTCCGTTGGCCGCCGTAGACGTGAACGCCTATCGATGCCATGTCTGTGAGACGCAGAACAGGAGATCCAGAGTTACCTATTACGACATATGTTAGCGAGAATCTTTGCTACAGGTGGGGAGGAACTCACCTCCAAATGTATCTATCTCATATTCCAGCATCTTGTCTCGCGACTTCAGGATGTCGTACTCTGTCTTGAAGTACATCTCGTACATGCACGCACCCTTCTCGCGAGTGGACATCTTCATGAGATCGCCAGGATATCCGACCACGCCAAGATCATAGCTACCGGAAAGTGGCGTGTCCTTGAATGCGAACGGAACGACATTCTCAAAGGGCGTCTTCAACAGAATGTAAGATACATCCCGTGGTTTGTTGGTGCCAGACTCAAGCCAGAGCGATGTTGTGGCGACACGAATGCTGATGCGACCTTGGACGTCATAGCTACGATCCTGGATGGATTCGCGGCCACAGTAGCCAATATATGCTTTGACGTTAGTGAGATGGCCCTGCTCGTAAGACCAGTCAAACGCGCAATGACCTGCCGTCACAAGCAGATCCGGGCGAATGAGCCAGCCAGTTGCCATGGCCCACGGGCGCTCACCATCTCCGGATCCAGCATAGCGAAGGAAGAGCTTAACAATAGCTGACTTTATGTGAGCTTGGGTACTAGAGATGGAAGACGCACTTACATCTATATTTGCCGCCCTGCATAAAATCCTTCCTTGGCACGATGACACGGTCGTCGGTACCAATGACACTCTCAGTGCCGGGATTAACTGAATAGATGCTCTCTGCACTCTCTGGTGGCATCTCATTGACGAAGGCTTCACCGTCGAGGTCCCAGACGCCAATGCGCGTGGTAAGAGCGTTTCCGTTGGAGACTTGTGTGCCAGTTGATCCCGTGGAAAGTCCAACGCTTGGAGAGGAAACGGTCTCAGGTGGTTTTGGCACATCAGGTTTCGATTCCTTCACTAGCGGACCGGGAGGAAGCTTGGAGGACATAGTGTGATCCCCGACAGTATCTTTGAGAGGCCTGCGAGAGGGTGATTCCTCAAGCAACCCATTGGGATCGACATCGACTCCACCATTGGTTTGGCCCTTCGAGAGTGGATCGAGGTTTTCGACACCGTTGGTGCTGGTAGGAGGAGGCTCCGGAAAGTTGCTCAATGGCTCCTTAGTAGTAGCATCGACGGGCTCCGGTGCGGGTTGCTTCGAAGGCAGCGGCTTGTTTAAGACCGGCTTCAGGTCAGGCTTGACCGACGCATCGTTCTTCAGTGAAGGAGTTCCTTCAACGCCATTGCTGGCATCCTTAGGCGAGCCGTCGAGTGAAACAGCCATTTCTTAGTCGTGATGGGGCTTGGGAAAGAGCAAAAACTTTGCCGCAGCTGGAATTGATTAGTTGGAGAAATCTCGATAATCGTCGCGGCCCTTCATATATGCTCGAAGCCCCAGTGGGAGGATGTGTGTGGTTTCGATCCCGAAGGCATTCGGTGAGAGCCCACGCCAGCCACATTGCAACGCGATGAGAGGCTTCGTCGTGCTTCAGCTGAAGAACATCGGTGAAGTACTGACTGCATGAGGTCGTTGCAATATTCATGGTTTTTGATATCCCAAAATATCAGAAGGATGCTGAAGCCTCAAGCTCTACGAGGAATACGGGCATCGACATTTTTGCCAAGGAAAAGTGGACGAGCAGCCGTTCGCACACTAGCCAGACATGGCCCCGGGGCTGGCTGAAGGAGCCCAAAGCGGCACTCAGCGACCGTATTGAGATGCATGCGGATTGTTCTCGCCTTGTCGTTGTCAGCAAGCCTCAGCTTCAAACGTGCGGGGTGTGGACGAACCATGACAGCTGAGGCGAACCCATGGTAGTCCGCGAGCTGAATCTGCCATTCGATTTTGCAAGACTAACATCTCCGCGGATCTTGAGTAGAGAATATGAGGCATCGTACAGTATGCCGTGATGAATGGTGCCCAGGCGAGCATGGAGGGAGCGGTGAAGTCAGGCCGAGAGTGCTTCAGCGATGCGCTATCCCAGCCCGGACTCTAAGTGGCGGGCTGCTTCTGGCGTATGATGTGTTGGGGTGTTAGGTTTAGAAGAAAGGATGAGAAGGAATTGAGGAAGATGGCGTGGAAGCGGACGGGAGCGCATGACGCCCAGGCACAAGTCACGCTAGCCTGATATTGAAAGTCACGTGAATCGAACTATTCCAAGCTTCCAAGGATCCAAGGTTTTTTACGGAGCACCTGAAAACAACTTCCTTTTCATCTATATGCAGATGCAAGTACGATAGTAAAAGACCCTGGAACTAGTTGCTCTATCTCGTGATCCTCAATTACGTTCGTTGCAACCAGGCGGAGCTATAGCGTTGACGAGACTGAGGATAGGATCATGAATCCATATGCAGTACACCCCAATACAATAGCAATCTCCTTTCCTCTTCGATCCGAACACCGCCTGCACCTTCTCAGTCACATGACCCCGAGACCACCTGACTTCATTTCCATTCAACCAACACATCGTAACAACCGCTCTATTCCCTCACTCTACTCCATACACCCGATTACCCATCTTCTCTGACACGTCTCCCAACTGCGAAGTGTTCCGAATCGCGTTCCACTCCCCGACGTTCATCGGCCCTAGTCCAGCGCATCCGCCCAGCTTAACCCCGCCTTAGTCACCCTCTTGGCGCGTCGCACATAACCACATGTCCAGCATCCTCAGCCCGTGATTGCATGATGGAGTTAACGTTAAGCAGTGGGCGTGATGACATACATGTAGCTTCTGCATTTGCTGCCTGGATGAAGGGCATAAGGCCAGGAGTTATGATGTGGGATTTGGGTTAGCGAGCGGTGATAAGGAAGGGAATGCCCAGGACGGCGAATGGAGTTAGGGACGCGCGCGTATATTAAGGCTACGAGGTCAGGAAAATAGACTTCTTTTTTATTTCTCTATCTACCCTCTCCAGCAACAACAAAGAAAAGCTACAATTCAATCCCAACTAACCCAATAAAACGTCACCTACCTCAAATATTACCCCCATCCCGTCCAACCCACAATGTCCTCCAACCCACCCGTATGGTTCATCACCGCCGCCTCCTCCGGCTTCGGAAAATACATAGCCCTGGAAGCCCTCTCGCGCGGCCACAAAGTCATCGCCAGCGCGCGCAGCGCGTCCCGCATCGCCGACCTCAAAGGAAAAGGCGCCGACGTCGTAACGCTGGACGTCACATCTCCGCTCGCGGAGATAGAAAAAGTGGCCAAGGAAGCGAACGACAAGTACGGCTATATCAACCACCTGGTAAACGCCGCGGGGTACATTCTCGTCGGCGCGGTTGAGGAGACGTCGTAAGTTGCCCGTGATGCAGTGGAGTGGAACGAGATAGATGCTGACTGGGAAAAGGCCAAAAGAAGACTTCGACACATTCGCCACTAACGTCTTCGGCATGCTCAATGTCTGCAAAGCCTTCTTGCCCTATCTGCGCGCCACTCCCGGCCACCGCACAATCGCCAACTTTGGCTCCATCGGCAGCTGGCAAGGCGGCGCGGGGTACGCCCTGTACAACGGCACGAAGTGGGCTTGCAGCGGAATCAGCGAGGGTATGCGCGCCGAACTTGCGCCTCTCGGCATTGCGGTTACGGTCATCGAGCCCGGGTACTTCCGTACGGGTTTCCTGAATGCCGGCGCGAGAGTAGTCTCGCAGAGGCGGCTGAGGGAGTACGACGAGACGGCGGTTGGGAAAGTGCGCGCGACGCTAGAGGCGGTAGATAACAACCAGCCGGGGGATGTGGTGAAGGGGTGTAAGGTGCTCGTTGATGTTCTGACTATGACGGGGGTGGCGGAGGGGAAGGAGGTCCCCATAAGGGTGGCGCTGGGGAGTGACTCGCCACCTGTGATAAGGGAGAAGATGAGGGCGACGGAGGAGTTGCTGAAGGAGTGGGAGGGGATTACGACGCGTACGGATCATGAGTAGGGGAATAGTGGATCAATGTGCGGTCGGGATCTTCTTCAAGAAGTTCCCTTTCTTGGGTGGTCATGCTTGCCGATCTGTGATGTGCCGCTTTCAATGACCGTGAAGGGGTTTGCCGGTGGCCTCGCTCGTCTATGAAAACGCCTGGTGGTGCGACGGGCGTCTTGCCTTTCCTTTTGTATGATGGTGGTTTGTACTGTGGAGCATCATCCGCTTCTTCGGGGGCATCATTGGCTTCTCCGGAAGTATTACCAGCCTCTTCGAAAGCATCAGCTTCTTCGGGAGCGTCATAGGCTTCTTCGAAAGCTTCCGGGTGATGTGACGTTTTGCTGCGCTGCGAGGACCGCTCTGGAGCCTCTTCATCAGCCTCTGCATTCTCCTCAGCCTTCCTTTTCTTAGGTGCCCACGACGTCGGTGCCGCATCCCCAATCCTGAACTCCTCATCAGCAAGGACCACCTTCGCGAAGTCGGGAAGTTCGTCAAGCGTCTTGCCTCTGACCTGCCCGTACACCTTCTCCCACCTTGCCAGCCCCAGCCTCGTTGCGTACAAGACGTGATGCAGAGTTGGTCTGTTCTTCGGATTAACATCCACACACTTGTGTACGAGCTGCTCGAGTGGTTCGGTGTAGAGGCCGTCGTACTCGCTGCTATGTTTCGGCCTCTGTTTAGGATTCTCGCAGCTAACGGACTCCCCATCCATGAGGTTTAATACTGTCAGTCCGACGTTGTGTATCATGGAATGCATGCCGACGGCTTCGCTTGAGTACTTATTAGTGGTGGTGGTTTGTTCCTAGAGCGATGTTAGCTTCGAGTCTGATTTGAGAGGCAGTGATATGATGAGATGCTCACCGGTGGCAGGAAACCTCGCGTTCCGCAGCCTTTCCCGTTCCCGGGAAGTTGCCCGTCTTTGAACGCGACTCCCCAGTCGATCATTTTGGGCGTTTTGAATGCTGGAAACGGGCCGCCGGGATCGGCGTCGCCGAGGACCACGTTCATCGGTTTGATGTCAAGGTTGAGTATTGGAGCCCAGCCGGATTCCTTCTTGAGGGCGGTGTTGGCTATCTTTGTGTCGGCGGCCGGCTCATCCGGATCGATAAGCTTTCCAGTGTGCATCAGGTGGAGTGCTTCCGCCAGGGCGCGGAAGACCATCCAGATAAATGGTTCAGGGAGTTGGGTATCTCTGTTTAACGGTTAGCGCCTGAGGGAGTAGGCGAGAGGCCAATGCATTAAGAAATGGATATATTCGACTTACGTCCGGCGACGATGGTCCTTGAGATCGAACAGATTGCCAAACTGAGCGTATTCCATGAACCCATAGGCAAGGATAGGGTAATACTCTCGCGTGCGGGTAGACCAGCCGTACAGACTGAGGATATTTCGGCAGCCTTTCTCGGAAAGTAATTCCTGGATATCGTACTCGTTTTGGACGCGCGCGATAAGGTGCGCCATCGAGGTTTCGCCCTGTATTTTGACGACTATGCGCTAAAGAACAAGTCAGCAAAAGTCATATGCCAGCTCAGCGTCAGTTTACGTACCTCTGCTATGAGGCCGTCGTCGTCCACACGCGTGAACACATGAACGATCCTGCGAGAGCGCATTGTTTTGAGGTGCAAATTCTGATAAAGCGTTTTCTCGAATCTCCAGATGCCAGGCCGCCCCAGCCTTTCCATCTCTTCATTGACATACGTGCCATCTCGTCTCGTTGCTGGTGGTCTCGGCTTGGGCGCTCCGTCAACACCCTCGACATAGTCATGAGCATCGGGGCCTGACTGCAGGCCTATGCCTTCAAACATCTCACTCCACACTGTACCTATGTCGATGACTCTCTTTCGCTTGCGGTCCTCCATCGTCTCCCAAAGCTCTATAATACGCGCCTCTATCCCGGTGAGCAAAAAAGTAGGATAATGGGGAGATGTACAATACGTACCGTTGCCGCTCGATTTGTGTTGAAGCACCTTCCAGCCGCACGTGAAAAGCCGGAAGGGCTCCTGGTCGTTAGCGGGTAGCGCCTCGAAGTACTCTAGTTCCCCGGGTCGAAATACGAAATTCTCAGGACACAAGCGCGGATCTGGATTCTTCTTGCCCGAGTCTATGTATGCAAGGAATTCTGCTCTCTTTCTCTCGTTTCCGTTGAGGGCCTTCCAATGTGCGATAGTGCTCAGTCCTCTCTCTGCATATCATTAAATGTCACTATTACCCACATAGGTGAAGATTAGGGCATATTACTCTTAGCTTCCCAGTCCTTCTCTGCGAGCTTGTATCCTATGGCAAACAACTTGAAGTTACCCCTCTCACCCTCTGCAAGGTTTTGGCAATATTGCGATTCCGCTTCAGTGAGATCATAGTTCAGGCGGGCCTGGTCAATATGCGGAAGGGGTTTTGGCGCTGCGGTTGATGATCCTGCGACTGGGACGCCCGGACGAGCTACAGGTAGAGGAGGCGGTGCCCCAGTCAGAGGAGATACGGCTTTCGGGGGCATCGTGTGCGTGTATATTGTAAACCGTGTAAGTGATAGTACAATGTGTGATGTAAAGAAGAAGAGTTGGCTTGAGACTGAAAGACATCGGCCTGTCGAAACAAAGGACCGAAGCAAGCAATCCAAAAGAAAGAAAGGGAGCCTTTGTTCGGCAGTGTAGGGTAGGCTTTCGCTGAAAGCCGCGTCTATAGTGTATTCATTGTTTCCAGGCTATAGTTGGTCAGATGCATCATAGTCACGTGGTGTTGGTTGGTCTCGGGCTCTGGAGGTCCTCGGTCGAGGTCCAATAGACGGGCGGCGACATACACCAAATCCCGCTGTAGCCTTCCTGGCGTCGTGTTTGGCATCACTGCAGGATTCTTCGCTGCGATAGCCAGGATCACCGAGCCGGTGACGCGAGGTTTGTGGGGATGATCAAGCTCGAGCAAGATACGAAAAGAATGTTGAAGCTGGGGCATGCAGGTGTTCACATCGTGCAGTGCGGGCGGGCCAATTGCATCAACGAAAGAATAAGCGGTTCTCCGCTACGAGGAGCTCGTATTTTTTGAGGCACCAGTATTGGTGCACTGACCACCCAGATCGGCGACACACAAAATACGAGCTCCGCGTAACAGGGGGTGAATGTCGGTGGACAAGGGTATAGGCAGACGCTAGCCGAAAGGGGCTGAGTCGAGCTAAGCCCCTTTCGGCCGTCCGCACATCGTTGCTCGTGCTGTCAGACGAGACGAATCTCGTTGGCCCCGAAGAATGAAGAGAATGAGATTTTTGTTGCTCGTGCTTGTGCCGGGTGGAATGAGCAGACCGGTGAGGGGTAGGACGAAGGTATAAAGGTCTGCCTGCCCGCTCCTGTTGTCCGTCAGCATTTCCACACTTCTTCCCGCCTTGTATGCCAACTAGCCAGACTCCATACTGAGGCGAAGACCACCACTCGAAGCTCCAACTATGCAACAACGTGGCAATGGTGGCAGCCATGGGGGATCCTCGGCTCGGTGAGCCTTGCTTATTAGCTTCGTTCGTCGTCCTTTCGCTGACGGATTGGCAAGTAGCGACGTGAATGCCCGCTCAACAGTGCCTGACACGCCTCGTTCGAACCTTACTGGTCGCAGAAGTCCGGAGACCAGAGTCGCAACAAAACATATTCCGGAGGATTCAGAGCGTCAACAGGCGCCCTCCTGGTCGAAGACTCCGTTGACTGCAACGGCGTTAGCAGCCCACAACGCCGACGCAACGTACCAAAGCAGGTGCTGGGAAATTGAAGAACAGAACAGAATTGCGAGGCTTCAGAAGGCGTCTCGAGAGCTTGGCTTCGAGCTTCCGTGGCAGTGTTATTGAATGATATGGGTGACTCTAGGAATGCGATTTCGTCGATTGTATGGGCTGTTGCAAATCGGAGAAGCTTTCGAGGAAGACGAGGGCAGGTCGGGAAGCCAGATAATAATGAATACAAAGGCTATGATATGCGATCGCGAATCGCCCGAACCATGTCTTGTAGACCGTGTAGCCTCTCTTCCTTCGTTTCGCCCAGATAGAGTGACGCGACGGGCCAGGCATGGATCCCGCCCTTCTCTTCGTAGTAGTCCACGTCCACACCCGTCCTTTTGAGCAAAGAGATGAGTTCTCGCGTCTCTGGCCCAAGAACCTCTTCTGATCCGAACGTAAAATACCAGCCTTTGTCTGGGCTGGCGTCGGTCCATTTCTTTACATCTTTGCAGTTGCCGGGCGAAACTAGTGGGTCGTCTGCCGGAACCTTGGGACCCGTGTATTGGCGGCCGTAGAGTTCCAGGCTGTTAGAGTTTAGGTAGTCGCTCGGTGTGTTCCTGTTGTTGCGGGAGATGATGGTGACCCAGGGTGAGATCATCATGGCTAATCCGGGGCGCCGGTGTCGTAGCTCGGGGTGGTCTGTGATGTAGAGGAGGAAGCTTAGGATGAGTGTTGCTCCAGCTGAGTCGCCACCAACGCAAATGCGCGTAGGATCGCGCGCAATAGAGAGCACGTACTCGTACCCTGCAAGCGTTTCCTGGAGTTGGGTGGGATATACAGCGTCTGGCACGAGGGTATACTCTAGAGCAAAGAGTGCTGGGTTTCTATAGCCAGCAGCTTTCAACAGGGAAACCCACGCAAGGAGAAATTCCATGTAAAAATAGCTGGAGCCCATGGAGAAACCACCGCCTGTCTTCCGATTAGCCCGACAAGGACTGGGGCACCCGGGGGCCCTACCATGGCAGTAGTAGACGATAACGTCAGGCTGTTCCTGCTGATTATGGGTGATCCATATGCCTTTAAGACCAGGCTGGTCGAGTCAGTCCGAGAATAAATGGTGGCACTATTTATTCCGTCTTACCCTGTTGATTTCGTTCCATCGCAGCGGTGCAGTCACGATGCCGTGCCGGAGCATCCGAAAGCGTAGGAATGGTAATGACACAGCCTTCGAGAAAAACACGCGTCCCAGGAAGGCTGGCATAAATGCGAATGCATATCTAACGCAGCGGATGACGATGTCTTGAAAGACGGTAGCTCGCTTGACGAAGGGGCTTCGGTGTTCATATGGCGTCAAGTACCTTTCGGCAACAAACTGATACGGAATGACGAATACTTGCGGAACTGTGAATATGAATACCTCGAAAACTACGGCATCATGTAACTCACTCAACGAGGGTAGTTCCCGAAGCAGCCACGTTGCAGTGCGGATGAGACCGACGTGGATCAGCAATTGCGGCGCCAGGAACACTAGGAAGGCTACGCAATCCAGATATGAGATCTGGCCCAGTATCATGGCGATGCGGATGTATATGGGGCTAAAGACAGCCTCAAGGGTAGATGTGAAGAGAAACCATCTGTTGGGTCGAGGTACTCCGTAGTGCCCAATTGATGACGATGACAAGCCGCACTAAGCCATACTGGGTTTCCCCACCTGGCGCACGTCCCCACCTGGCGCACAGTTTCTAGAAAATCTTACCCCCCCTAACTCTATAACTAATAGAGCTATACTAATAAAACTTAGAATATAAGTTTTATATAGTATAAAATTTAATATTATAAAATAAAATTTTAAAAAAACTTTCTAGTTATAGTTTTATTAGTATTATAACTTTTTAGTACTTTTTTAATATTCTTTAAATAACTTAAGAATAAATAGTTAAATCTACTTTTAAAATTAGTTTTTTTAAGTTTATAGTTTATAGTTAGTATAATATACTTTATTATTAAACTTTTTATATTATTAAACCTTCTATAATTTCTTAGTAAGAAAAATTAATAAGAATCTATAAGTTTTTCTTAAATAACTAAGTAAAACCTTAATATTTTTCTATAAAAATTTATATATATATTTTTTATAGTATATTATATCTTATATTAAAGTTATACTAAGATATATTATATAATTAAAAAGCTATATATATTTAACTAACTTTTAAAAAAAATCTAGTTTACTTCTAGTAAATACTATTATATCTCTATAATAATCTATAAAACTTATAGTATATAGTATCTATAACTTAATAAAGGTTTCTAAAAAACTTCTATAGCGCTAGCTCTTCTAGGTATAGCGTAATAAGAGATAGAAGTTTATAAAGTTTCTTTTTAGAGCTTTTTTCTTCTAACTATATATATATATATATATAGTTAATCTAGCTCTATAAACTTATTATTTTATATATTATAGTTAGTTTTAACTATATAGAGCTTATTAACTAATAATATAGTAGCTTTAAGTAGTAATTTAAAAGTAAAGTCTTTTTAGTAGTATAGTATAGAAAGATAGAAAGATACTAAAACTATTTTAAAATTATTACTTCTAAATATATTAAAGGCTTATAGTATATATAATCTTATAATATATAACTTTATATAGCTAGATTATTAATATATATATATAGTTAGAGAAGAAAACTCTAGAAAGACTTTTTATAAACTTCTATCTCTTATTACGCTATACCTAGAAGAGCTAGCGCTATAGAAGTTTTTTAGAAACCTTTATTAAGTTATAGATACTATATACTATAAGTTTTATAGATTATTATAGAGATATAATAGTATTTACTAGAAGTAAACTAGATTTTTTTTAAAAGTTAGTTAAATATATATAGCTTTTTAATTATATAATATATCTTAGTATAACTTTAATATAAGATATAATATACTATAAAAAATATATATATAAATTTTTATAGAAAAATATTAAGGTTTTACTTAGTTATTTAAGAAAAACTTATAGATTCTTATTAATTTTTCTTACTAAGAAATTATAGAAGGTTTAATAATATAAAAAGTTTAATAATAAAGTATATTATACTAACTATAAACTATAAACTTAAAAAAACTAATTTTAGAAGTAGATTTAACTATTTATTCTTAAGTTATTTAAAGAATATTAAAAAAGTACTAAAAAGTTATAGTACTAATAAAACTATAACTAGTAAGTTTTTTTAAAATTTTATTTTATAATATTAAATTTTATACTATATAAAACTTATATTCTAAGTTTTATTAGTATAGCTCTATTAGTTATAGAGTTAGGGGGGGTAAGATTTTCTAGAAACTGTGCGCCAGGTGGGGACGTGCGCCAGGTGGGGAAACCCAGTAGCCGTCTAGCCTCAATCACAGCTGTGCGCACGAAACACCGCTCGCAATCGGACTGTGTGTGAGTTTGGAAGCACGAAAAAGCGGGCGGTGAAGGTGAGGCCCCGTCTCCGGAGAGGAGCGCGTTCTTCCCTCAAAGTCTGCGCACGTGACTGCGGATAAGGCCGCACGGACTCGCTCTTGGCGCGGCGAAAGTTTTCTCCAGGCTGCCGGGCTGTTATTGCAACCTCAATCTCGCCGGCTGCCTCCCATCTCCGCAAACATTTCTGCGACAACCACCTTTGGGGCCGCGCACAGCTTGCGACGCCGCCTTCGCTCCGCCTGTCAAGCAGCTACGCATATACGGTAGGCGACGCCCAGCTTCCCTCTTTTTGACCGCGGTGGGGCTGCCAACCCTCCCGCAACCTAACCCGCAGTCCCGCTCCGCTCCGACGCCTCGAGCGGAGCGCGCAATACAATACCCGCAACAGTCCCAGGTCGGCTGTTGGGCCTCTCCCGCCTACCGACATCCTCGCGCCCGTGGATGGTCTGCAGTCTCGCGCCAGTGCTGGTGCTGTCGGCGTTGTAGCCTCGTGGGGTGTTGGCGAGCTCGGAGGACGTCACCATGGCCGCAGACCCAAAGGCCGCCCCGCTCGCCGACGAGCTGAAGGAGTTCGCTCTGTAAGACCCCTCCTGTCAACCACTGCAAGGTCGTAGCTAACGTTCCTCAGCACGCTTGATGCGAGCGGCTTCCCCAAGAATTTCTTCTGTGCCCTATGCAACCGGCTTGCTTTCGACCCGTACAAGCTCCTGTGCTGCAACAAGGCGATATGCCCAACTTGTGCGTATCTCGTCCAGTCTTAGGCGGCCCTTGCCGGTACTAATGCTCTTCCCAGGTCAAAGCACTCTCGAGTTTCCCACTACCTGCCCGTCATGCGAGCACACGCCTCTCGAGACCGACTCGTGCACCCCGAACAAGTCACTTAGAAATACCATGCGCGTTTGGCTGCAGAAGCAGAAGAAGAAGGAAGAGGCCAAGGCTGTGTCCCAGGCCGCAACTCCCGCGCCGTCCGAGGTGCAGCCCACTGGCGATGCTGCAGAGAAGTCAGCAGAGGGCCTAGAGGGTGCTCCCAAATCTGAGGATGCCCCCGCGGACGAGGTGGTAGCTGCTGCGGACGATGCTGGCCAAGCGCTCCTGCGTGCGGGCTCCACCGCGTCACAGCCGAACGAGGTAAGCCGACCTTGTGACTTTCCTCTCATCCTTCGTGCAACCCGGCCCACCCGGCGCGTGCGAGGTATCTTTGGCTCAGTCCAAATGGTACCGTGCAAATAGGCTCCCTTCCGACCCGCAGATCGCTTTACCCCTCACCCCCGGCAAGCATACGTTGCTAACTCTGCGCAGGACTCCGCCTCATTAGAGAATAAGGAGCGCCCACACGAGGTCGACCATGCGGCGCAAGACGGCCAGGCCGCCGAATCCGCTTCGCAGGTTGATGGCTCAAACAATGCCCAGAATATGGATGGCTATGGTGCTGGCATGTACGGCAACCACAACATGATGAATCCCAACGGCATGCCTGGCCAGTCTGGCTACGGCATCAGTCCCAACCAAGGCAACTTTAATGGGATGGGCATCAACGGCATGGCGGCCATGAACGGCATGCCCATGATGAATCGCGGCTGGAACTTGAACCCCATGGGTAGGGTGTTCTCACCTTAGCCAATTTGTCGCCATGCTAACGTGTTACCAGACTACAACATGAGCAACATGAACGGCATGTCCGCTGTGTCCAACGGCATGTCCGCTATGTCCAACGGCATGTCCGCTATGTCCAACGGCATGTACGGCGGGTACAATGGTAACATGGGCATAGGCATGAACGACATGTCCGCCATGAACCTGAACTATGGAGGCAGATATGGAAACGGATGGAGTGGAATGGGCAGCGGGGGCTATGGAAGCTACAACGGATACAATTCCGTGGGTGGATATAATCAATCTGGATCATATCCCGAGATGATGCCCCAGAGCAATTTCCCACACAATCGATTCCGTAATGGAGGAGCGTATACTCAGCCCCGCACCAACAGGAACGGCAGCTTCGGGAGTTACGGCCCAGGATACGGATTCCAGCGGAACGGCAACAGCCGTCCTGGAAGCCGCAGTGGGCCGCCGTACAACGTACGTCGATTTCACTATCATACACCTTACCGTCCGGCGAGGCGAATGAGTTCAAGGACTGACGAGTGTGTTCCTAAGCAGCGTGACGGTGAGTCGCCTGTTGGAACCGCTTCTGCTGCCCCTGACGCCAAGGTCGAAGACCAACAAGCGACTCAGGCTGAAGGCGAGCAAGTAGAGGCTTCCACAGAGCCCACACTGGAAGGTAAGGATGACACGAACCCTCCGGAGTCCATGTCGCCGAACGCGCAGGCCGAGGGCGAGTCCTTCGACCACGCGACGAAAGGGCTGGACGATTTGACTCATACAGAAAACGGAACAAACGATGTGTCTGCGGCTCTGAACCCCATCCAAACGATTGAGTCCGTGGAGACAGAAGCACAGGGTTATGACCAATTGGCCACGGATGATGGCATGCATTACGATCCAGAAATGAATCATTTTGCTCAACAGTCATACATGAGCGGCGACTATGATCAGAACATGAGTTACCATCATAACAACTTCGGGCACCGTGGGGGCTTCAATGGTGCATATGGAGCAGCTACCGTGCTCACCGGCGAACCTGAGCCGCGAGGGCTTGGTGTCGAAGGTGCTCCGACAGGTCCACGAGCGATGCGGGAGGGTCGGCCAAATACTGGTTTCTCTAGTCGAGCTAATAACGCTCGCTACGGGCCACCTTCTGGTGTGTCACCAGCCCAGCCGGCTCCGTCCGCTAGTCCAACGCGGAGGCTCCGATCGTAAGTGGATACTCGCTTTGGCGACTTGCAGCACGAAAGACTGATGACTATATAGAAGGTCTCCTCAGCGAGACGAGAGCTTGCGCGTAAAGGAGCGGTCACCGGAGCGGTCGCGTTCACAGTCGCGAGATAGAGACGAAGCTCGGGACGACTACCGCGAGGACCAACGTGAAGACCGTGGCCGGTCCAAGACGCCAGAGACCGAGGATGAGTATGAACGCCGCAAAGAGCGACGTCATCATCGCTCATCTCGATATGATGACCGCGAGGGGAAGGATCAGCGAGTCGATTATGATGACCGGTACGACCGAGAGGATCGAGGTGACCGAACGCGGAGTGCATCAGCAGAGTCCAAGCACCGTAGCCGCCGCGACAAGGAGAAGCACCGCTCCTCGCGTTCACACCGCGACCGTAGCCGGGAGCATCGTCGCCGTCATAGGTCACGGTCGCCCATTCAAGAAGACAAGTACGAGGACGAAGACTCATATGTCAATGGGACCGAGGAGTCTACCTCGCGACGTAAGAGCAGGAGCGACAAAGACAAACATCGCGATCGAGACAAGCGAGATCGCAAAGAGCGGGATTATGACCGAGACTATGACTACGAGCGAGAGAAGGATCGGTCTCGTGATAAAGATAAAGAGAGGCGTCGTCGTCGTGAGCGCGAAGCCGAAGACGATGAGCGAGAGTACGAAGACGAGAAGTACCGCTCCCGCCGCAGCCGGAAGGAGCGTGACCGAGAGCGAGATCGCGACCGCGATTATGAGAAGGAACCCTCCTCGGCTACCTCTAATCGACCCATCTCGCCACCCCTTAACGCGCCTACTGGCCCTTCCGCAGACAACTTCTCTATCCGCGGCGTCAGTAAAGCTCAAAAGGCCGTGAAAGGCATGCCTCCGCCGCAGCCACCCACCGGACCCCGCGCGTTCCAGCCGCCGAAGGGGCCGGCTGCTGACCGTGATAGAGAGCATGGACGGAAGGGAAGCGTGAGCTCCTCCATCCAGTCGACTCCTACCACACCCATTCCACAGGACCACTACGCCGCAGAGCGTGAAAAGAACGCTCGCGAGCGCGATCGCCTGGACAGGGACAACCGCGATACCTCGGTCAAGAATATCCATTCGCGCACGACCCACCAGCACGGTTCTCGTCCCTCGCTGTCCAGCAAGCGCTCCCGGGATGAATTCGAGTCGTCCGCCTCAGCTACACCCCGCGAGCCTGAGATCAAGGGTGCGCCTACGGGCCCCTCTATGCACCGGGACAAGCGCCGAAAGAGCGGTGGCGATGGAGATGCGAACGACATCGCCAGCAAGCTGACGCAGGGATTGCGAAAGCGAGCTGGTGCTGCGCGGAGGGGAGGCGTCAAGACGGAGGGTGATGCGGAGCGGGAGCTCGAGAGAGTTGAGCGGGAGCGCGATGGTCGACGGTGGTAAGTTTGTCTGATCACTTGGGGCTGTCACTGCCGCTGCACTCTGCCACTGCCATTTTGTCTTTTTGACCGCTGTTGGGTTTGGAGATGATTGTGGGAGGTGGTTTGGCTCTTGCGATGTTGACCAACCGACTTTTGGAAGGAAGATGTTGCTGGCACGGTGGTATGGCTTGGAGAGATGGGACTTACTTGCATTCGACAAAAAGGTGGACTTGCTTGAGAAGGAGGACTTGCTTTGAGAGGACGGCACTTGCTTCGACAAAACGGTGGACTGGACTGGTTTTGAGGTGGTCTTTTCGGCTCGGCGTTGAGCAGAGCTTTCATGCATCGCCATGGCATGGTATGGGATGGGCGGCTTTTTGTCTGCTGCACTCTTTGGCATTGGGGCCTTCGGGCTGGCATTGCTGGCTTTGGCACACGGGGCTGGGACTCTCATTACTTGACTGTACTATATACCCCTCCCCCTATAATGGCGCCTGCTGTGCGCATATGTATCTTCGAGGTACTGAATATAAAAATTCAAAAATCTAAAGAGGGTTTTGGGTCGTGGGCTATGGTTGTCTGGAGGTGAGTTGCTGGAGACCTTCTGGAAGGGAGGGCTTTGGAGCGGTAGAACTGAGATGTGAGTGTAGGTTATGAGCGATGTGTTATTACGCAGCACTGCTTATATTTGTAGGATCTTTAGCAGTGGCTTGAAGTTCGCAGAGGAGAAGATCCAAAAGGCTTTTCTAGCGACAGGCTTGGGTCATGAGTCTAGAGGCTTCAATTGCTTGGTATCTAGTTTCTGGTATCTTTTCTCTTGACCTTGACAGCTGTGCCCTCCCTCCCAGTGCCCACCTTCACGTCACCCCCCACCGCCGGAATCCCCTCATCGTCTATTTCCGCGTCCCATTGACGTTCTGCGCCCCTTGCCCCAGCTGGCTCGCCACAACAGTAGCCTCCCTTATAGCCCTCGCCACTGCCCCCCTCACAGTCCCTTCCTCCAGCACCAACAGCCCCCCAATCGTACACCCGCCCGGCGTGCTCACCTTATCCCTAAGTATCGCCGGATGCTCGCCATTGAGCACCAATCCCGTCGTCCCCCTCATAGTCTGCGCAGCCATCAGCTGGGCCTCCGCGCGCGGCAAGCCCATGGCCACAGCACCATCCGCCGCCGCTTCCAGCATGAGCGCGAAGAACGCGGGACCCGAGCCGCACAGCGCGGTGCTGACATCCATCTGCGCAGCCGGCAGCGTCACCGTGCGGCCGATCGCGTTGAAGATGAAGGTCACAAGCTCGTGCTGCGCGGCGCTGAGCGGCGGCGCCGTCTTCTGGATCACGCTCATGCTCTCGCGCACGAAGCTCGCCGTGTTCGGCATCACGCGCACCACTCTGCACGCATCTGCCGGCGCGCCGTCCGGGTACAGGAACGCTTCGATCTGCTCTTGCTTCACGCCCGCTAGGATGCTAATCAGCAGCTTGCCGCGCAGCGCGTCGCGCATGCCGGCTTCGCCGAGGATGTCCTGGTACACGTGCGGTTTGCAGGACAGCAGGATGATGTCGCCGGCTTGCACGCCGCGGAGGTTGGCGTTGGTCAGGGTTGCGAGGGGGAAGTTGTAGTGGCCGAGGGCGGTGCGGACGTTGGCTTCGGCGCTGGGGAAGGCGTCGCAGGCGATGAAGTTGCGGAGGGCGGGCGGGGAGGGGCTGTCTGAGGAGTTGAGGGTGGATTTTAGTTTGGCGTCGGCGAGGGAGGACATGACGCCGCCCATTATGGCTATGCCCATTGTGCCTGGGGGGGTTTGTTAGCTGGGGTATTGTGGTGGGAGGTTGGGCGTTGGCTGCATGTGGGCTTGATTGCGGTAGGAAGATGGATAGGTCGCATTCTCTATCTTCTGTATATGCTGGACACTGGTATGCCATAGGGGGAAGCTTGAAGCTTCTCTCGTGCGCAGTGTAGGAGGAGTGACAGATGAGGTTGCGAAAAGGTGCACGTACCGGACCCGAGGACGGTCAATGTTAGACCCTTATCATCCTGAGAGGTAGCCATCTTCGGAAATATCTCTTTCTCTTCGCTTTCTTTCGTGTGTGGGGAGGAATCCGGGATGGTTGAGATATCAGAAAGTTTCGAAAGCCCCCGCCAACAGCTCCGATATTGAGTGTTGAGCTCGGACCAACCGCAGCAAAGCGCCACTTTCCTCGCCGCGACAAAGCTCCTCAGAGCTCAACGCCAGCCGACGCCATCGCCAGCCCAGCCCAGCCCAGCCCTATGTGGTTCTACCCACGCTTCCGCCTCCCGTGTCTGCAGAACCCTCCCTCGCAGCGCCTCTCGCCTAGCTCCTCCCGCCCAGCATCCTCGCACTCGAATACCTCTCACCCCCCACCGCTCGCCGCCATGGACCCCTTCGAAGTGCGCATGCGCTTCACGACGCTCCTCTCCCACCTAAGCGCCTCGCACACCTCGCTGCAAAAGGCCGCCGTATTCGCGCTCAAGAACCGCGAAATGGACGAGGACCTGCACTCGTGCATCCTGGAGCAGCTGGAGCGCAACAGCATGAACAACCGCGCGAACATCATGTTCTTCATCGAGTGCCTGTGCGAGATGGCGAGCAAGGAGGGCGCGGTGGAGTTCGTGCGTATGATGCAGCGGGATATATTGAGGGTGGTGGAGGCCGTGGTGCCTGGGGATGGGTCGGGGGCTGCGAATGTGAAGGTCGTTAGGAAGGTATGCTGTGGCTTTCCCCCCACCCGGCTGTTGGATGAGGACTGGATTGGACTGGATTGGACTGGACTGGGCTGGAGCTAATGGAGGTACAGGTTCTGCAGGCGCTGCAGATGAAAGAGATTCTTCTTCCTGAGACGGTGAGCGAGCTCGAGGCGGTGCTTAAGTCGCGGGATATCGCGCCTAGTCATCCGTTCATTGCGGATACGCCGAATGGGACGGTGACGGGGGTAAGGGGAGCGGTACGGAATGGAAGCGCCAGGCTGGATAAGAGGCAGATTGAGCAGCGGATCGAGGAGGATCGGGAGAGGCATAAGAGGCTGAGGGAGAGTATCTGGGCGGTGCCGGGGGAGGAGGAGAGGGAGATGGAGAGGCTGTGGGAGGAGGCGAGTGATGTTGCGGAGGATGACTATGTGGGGGGTGAGGAGGATGGGGTGGAGAGGAGGGAGGCTGTTGCTTTTGGGTGAGAAGAGGGGATTTGACTCTGCTCTTTTTGGTGCTGGTCTGGCGTTTCTGTGGAGGTTTGGGCGGTGTTTGTCTGTGTTCTGGATGGGACATGGGTGCATTTTTAGGCGTCCGGGTTGGAGAGATACCACTTGGGCATGCATTGTCCTTGCTTCTACCTTTATGTATTGATACACTCCAAGAACTTCAACCCATATCCACACAGCGTACACGTCCCATGTCCATGCTATAGTTACATCTCCCCTGCCCTCCCCTTCCGTCCTCTATCTCCCCCTCTACTCCATAACAGCCGTCGCCCCCAGCGCCTTCAGCGTCTCGACAATCTTCTCCGCCTCCTCCTTCGGCACGCCCTCCTTCATCATCTTGGGGCAGCTCTCGACAAACTTCTTGCTGTCCACCAGCGAGAGCCCCAGCATCGCCTTGATCTCCTTGATGATCTTGGGTTTCGCGCCCGCGTCGAACTTCTCGAGTTTGAGGTTGAAGAGCGTCTTTTCTTGCGCAGCGGGCGCGGCTTCTTCTTCTTCGGCGGGGGCAGCTGCGGCTGCGGGCCCTGCGGCGCCGGCGGCGACGAAGCCGCCCATGGGCATATCGGGGATGTTCAGGCGGGTCTGGGAGGTGGAAATGTTAGCTGAAGATTCGGACTATGTGCAGAGATGTTGCGGCTATCTCTCGGGGGCAATTGGGAATTGGGAAGCATCATCTGAGCTCTTTTCCAAGCTGCATCCCATGCCCTAAGCCACCCAGCAGCCAGTCGCCGTCGTACCTTCAGTGTCGAAACCAGATCCGCCGTCTCCAGCAATGTCAATTGGCTAATCTGATCCACGATTGCCCCAATCTTCGGGTTCGTAGGCGCCGCAGCTTCGGTGGATGCCCATCTCCGTGATGTCCTGTGCTGTGCGAAGGAGGCTGTGGGTCGGAGGTATGGGGCGGTCGATTTCGCATTGCAGACGCAGCGCCGGAGGGCGCGAGATGCTGGGGCGGACATTGGGCGTGGCGAACAGGCGATTGAGCGAGTGTTGATGAAGACGTCGACGAGCTTGAAGCTCGTGAGATTTTGCGGAGCGGGAGTAGATGGTTTGGGCCTAGCGCGGCCTTGGCGCTGAAGCGCATATCAAAAAAAGTTCGAGACCGGAGGCAACTCCAGTAACCACACCGAATTCCGCATTCCGGGGGGATATTTTTGCGTCAAAACTATGGGAAGGTGCCTCGAAGGCTACATACGACTGTTCTTCCGCAAATATGGAAGATCGCAGCACTATACAGCCCGGTAAATCGGTCTCTTTAGAGTCGCTTGCCACGGAATCTTTGATTTCGCGATCTACGGATGGGCTTTTTGTTCAGCATTCCGACCTCTTCGTGGAGATATGCGCAAGATGGATTGTTTCGGGGGCTGCGGCAGAAGCGAAAGTTGCAGCTTTTGGACGCATACTCCCGTTTGCGCGTCACCTCGCAGAGCACCTGGAACGATTTCTAGCCACCGTTTCTCGCTCACCGATCATTGGGACTCAGGCTTCGACATTGGATGACGAGGTACTACGGAGCATATTAGAGCTAGACTTGAGCGAGTGCCTCTTGGGGACTTTCCGCCTTCTTAGCTTCGACTGCCGGAGCTTCGCCAAATTTGTGCGACCACTAGCACTGGAGCGTCTATTCCACCATTCAAATCGATGTATGCGATATTTGGCTGTCCGCACTTTCTGCCTGTATGTGCATGCCGCCGATCATGCAACGCAAGAGATGATCAAGAGATATGTTGGGCAGGGTGAAATCCAGGGCCAATGGGAGGGCCAGAGCATCGATTACCGGTTCCTGTCACTATGGGAGGAGAAGAGGTGGAAGGATATGCAGTCAAAACTCCAGCAGAGCGAGGTAGACGAGGCAGCGAAACCGCTCCCAGCGGCCCTATACAACCAGCTTTCGCAATACACGGTGAGCATCAGCGGCATTCTCTTGCCCCGGCTCGACGGGACTCCATCCCGGGAGAAGCCAGCGGAACTCATTTCAACATCAACTACTGAGCTCAACCTGAAAAACATCGCTCGGGGCTTGCTTGGCTCAAGTCCCATTCTCCTCACGGGCATGGCTGGTTCTGGGAAGACGCTTCTCACGCGCCACTTTGCGTGGCAGCTGAACAAGCTGGAATCAATGGTGACGCTTCATCTCAATGAGCAGAGTGACGCGAAGCTATTAGTTGGCATGTACGCGACCGGCGCAAAACCTGGAACGTTCAGTTGGCGACCTGGTGTCCTCACCACTGCAGTCAAGGAAGGTAGATGGGTATTTATCGAGGACCTCGATCGAGCGCCGAATGAGGTTGTCAGCACTCTTCTACCTCTAATTGAGCGAGGAGAGCTGCACATACCCAGCAGAGGCGAGACCATCCGAGCTGCAAGGGGTTTCCGGATTATCGCCACAATGCGAAGTACCCTCAATCCACGAGGGCAAGAAATCATGCCTCGTCAAAGCATGATCGGCCACCGCTTCTGGAACTCGATAACCGTCCGAATGCCGGAGCTCGGTGAATTTGAGCAGATAGTGTCAGCCAAATATCCGACGCTGCGAAAACACGTCCCGGGAATCATGCGGGTTTACGCTCGTCTTCTGGGCTTATATTCTGATGCCAAGTTTTCGTCCGAGAACGGCACCTCTCTACGCGCGCTTACGCCTCGGGATCTACTGAAATGGTGCGACAGAATTACAGTCCTACTTGGACAAACCTCTTCATTCAGCACAGCGAATATGGACGATATTTTCATGGAAGCTTTTGACTGCTTCGCAGGCAGTCTGCGAAGCGAGCAAGCTCGGGCAAGAGTCATGGATTACGTTGCGGAAGAGCTCCATGTCGACCCTCAGCGACGTTACCATTTACTCCAGAGCCGGGAGGTAAGGCTAGAAGTACCGTCCAAGAGCACATCTTCTGGTACTATCCGCATCGGACGAGTCCGGCTGGCAAGGCACAAGTCCTCCAAGCGGCTCGTGTCTAGTAGGCCCTTCTCTACGAATGACTACACCCTGCGACTGCTCGAGAAAGTTGCAGTAGCTGTAGACCGGCAGGAACCTCTCCTCCTCGTTGGCGAGACCGGTACCGGCAAGACGACGTGTATTCAGTATCTCGCAGAACAGCTTGGGAGAAAACTGGTGGCCTTCAACCTGTCCCAGCAGAGCGAGAGTGGTGACTTGCTAGGAGGCTACAAGCCAGTCAACGTGCGCAGCTTGGTCATCCCGCTCAAGGACGAGTTCGACGATCTCTTCGATTCCACGTTTTCCAGAAAGAAGAATCAACGTTTCATTGAGATGCTAGGAAAGCGGGTCGCGAAAGGGGAGTGGAAGCGCGTATGCATGCTGTGGCGCGAAGCACTCAAGATGGTTGATGCCGCACGCAAGGCACACGAATCACGGAGCTCGTCTCCGGATCCCGATGGTGGCCAGCCCAAGAAGAAGCGTAAAGTCGACTCGCTTCCCACCAACTTTCCTAAGGCTCGTTGGGAGAAGTTCGCGACCGACTTGCACGATCTTGAGGCCCAGCTTGCAAATGGCTCAGAAGCATTTGCCTTCTCTTTCCTCGAGGGTAATATCGTCAAAGCCGTTAGAAACGGTGACTGGGTGCTGTTGGACGAGATCAATCTGGCCTCATCAGATACTCTTGAAGCCCTCGCAGACCTCCTTAGCGGCGGAGCAGACGGTACACCGTTCATCTTGCTTACGGAAACTGGGAACGTGGAGCGTATCGTGGCCCACCCTAACTTTAGAGTCTTCGCCGCGATGAACCCTGCGACCGATGTCGGGAAGAAAGATCTTCCTCCAGGGATTCGATCAAGGTTCAGCGAGCTTTACGTCGAGAGCCCGGATAGCGACAGGAAGAGTCTACAGAACATCGTCGAAAAGTACTTAGGGGGAGAGACCAGGGACCCGACCATCGTGAAAGTGGCTGCAGATGTCACCAAGCTCTACCTGAAGATCCAGGAGCTGGCGAAGGCGAACATGCTCGTCGACGGCGCAGATCAGAAGGCACATTTCAGCTTAAGGACCTTGACAAGAACTCTCACGTACGCTAGGGAGATTGCGCCTTTATGCTCCTCACGGCGCGCACTATACGAAGGCTTCCATATGAGCTTCCTAACTTTTCTCGGAAAGTCGTCAGAGGATCTAGTCGCACCCCTCATCAAAGAGTACCTATTCCGTGAGAAGTCGGTTCTTAAAGCGGAGCTGGGCAAATCCCTCCTTCAGCCAAGCGATGGGCGAAGCTACGTCCGACAAGGCCATTACTGGCTACGACAAGGTGCTTTTCCGGTTGAAGAGCAGCCTCATTACATCATCACACCATTCGTCCAGCGGAACATGAACAACTTGATCCGTGCTGCTTCCACTCGCCGGTATCCAGTTCTCGTTCAGGGTCCAACTTCATCCGGTAAGACAAGCATGATCGAGTATCTTGCCAAACGTTCAGGCAATAAGTTCGTCCGCATCAACAACCACGAACACACAGATCTCCAAGAATACCTGGGCTCCTACATCTCTGGCGCCGACGGGAAGCTCACATTTCAGGAGGGCATCCTAGTTCGAGCACTTCGAGAAGGTCACTGGATCGTCCTAGATGAACTGAATCTAGCGCCCACAGACGTCTTGGAAGCGCTGAATCGACTTCTGGATGACAATCGAGAACTCTTAATTCCGGAGACGCAGGAGGTTGTACGACCACATGACGATTTCATGCTGTTTGCAACACAGAATCCAGCTGGTCTATATGGAGGCCGAAAGGTGTTATCACGCGCGTTCCGAAATCGGTTCCTCGAGCTTCACTTCGATGACATTCCAGTTGATGAGCTGACAGAGATCCTGCACCGCCGCACCATGATACCAGAATCATGGTGCAAGAGGATCGTTAGCGTCTACCAGGAGCTCTCTACACTTCGACAGGAGAACCGGCTTTTCGAGCAGAAGAGCTTTGCAACGCTGCGAGATCTCTTTCGCTGGGCGCAACGAAAGGCGGACACAATCCAAGACCTGGCGAATAACGGCTACATGCTGCTTGCTGAACGAGTACGCAAGGAAGAGGAGCGAGTGGCAGTAAAGAAAATCATCGAAACCGTCATGAGCAGAAAGGGACCTCGTGTTGCCGTCGATGAAGAGCGAATGTACAGCGAGGACACATCGCCGGAGATCAAGCTATGCAAAGATAAGGATGGCGCAGGTGGTGGCGTGGTCTGGACGAAGGCTATGCGTAGACTTTTCGTTCTAGTCGCCCACGCCATTCGCAATGACGAGCCCGCCCTATTGGTTGGAGAAACCGGATGCGGCAAGACCACTGTTTGCCAGATGCTCGCCGAGGCTTTTGAGAAGCAATTGCACACCCTCAACGCTCATCAGAATACGGAGACTGGCGACTTGATAGGCGCACAGAGACCGATAAGAAACAGGGCGGCTATCGAAGAACTCCTTTGTCGACAACTCATAGCCGTCCTAGGAAATTTTCCTAGCGATATCGATCTTTCGACTCTCGAGCTATCGCAGTTGCTTGAGATGTACGACAAGCTCGATCCAGCGGCGCGCGACTCCATTCCCCTTGCTCATCGTGAAGAGATTCAAGCGAATCGAATCAACGCTGCGGCCCTATTCGAATGGGCAGACGGAAGCTTGGTGCACGCCATGAAGTCCGGCCAATTCTTTCTTCTGGATGAGATATCTCTCGCAGACGACTCTGTACTAGAACGCCTCAATAGCGTACTCGAGCCGTCTCGGACACTACTACTTGCGGAGAAGGGACCGACGGACTCTCTAGTCGTCGCTACGGAGGGCTTTCAATTCCTCGCCACAATGAACCCTGGCGGTGACTACGGAAAGAAGGAACTTTCGCCGGCTCTTCGCAACCGCTTTACTGAGATCTGGGTTCCGGCTTTGTCCGACGTAGAAGACATCATGCAGATCGTGCGAGCGAAGCTGAAGCCATCCGCCGCGCAGTATGCCGATCGCATCGTGTCCTTCGCGCAATGGTTCAACGAAAAGTATAATACCTCGGTCGCATCTTCTATTTCCATTCGAGACACTCTTTCCTGGGTCACCTTCATCGATAGCTCATCAAACGATGATGCTATCTTTAGCATTGTGCATGGCGCCGCGATGGTCTACATCGACACGCTTGGTGCGAACCCAGCGGGGTTGCTCGCCATCTCTCCTACCTCCATTGATGAAGAACGCAGGGCATGCCTACATCACCTCAGCAAATTGCTCGGCGCAGATGTCGGCCCGTTATACTTTGGCGATATCCAGGTGCTCTCTGCCGCCGACTCCCTTCAGCTTGGAGCATTCTCAGTACCCAGGGTGTCTCATATCACTACTAGCGATGTCAGCTTTTCGCTTGACGCTCCAACGACCCGCTCGAATGCAATGAGAGTTGTTCGGGCATTGCAACTCCCAAAGCCCATTCTGCTCGAGGGAAATCCTGGAGTCGGCAAGACCACGCTCGTCACGGCTCTGGCACGCGCTATCGGCAAGCCTCTCACGAGGCTCAATCTCTCCGAGCAGACCGATCTTATGGACCTCTTCGGCTCGGATGTCCCAGTCGAGGGTGGACAAGCTGGCACCTTTGCTTGGCGAGACGCGCCATTCCTCAAGGCAATGAAAAAGGGTGACTGGGTCTTGCTAGACGAGATGAACTTGGCGTCTCAGTCGGTCCTAGAAGGACTCAACGCAGTGCTCGATCATCGTGGCGAAGTCTTCATATCGGAGCTTGACCAGACGTTTCACAAGCACCCAGACTTCCGGGTCTTCGCAGCTCAAAATCCACACCATCAAGGTGGTGGGCGCAAAGGCCTGCCGGCGTCGTTCGTCAATCGATTCACCGTCGTCTATGCCGACGTCTTCCGCCCGGACGACCTCTCACTCATCTGCTCCAAAGTCTTTCCCGGCATTGATCAAGAGGAAGTCAAGAAGTTGATATCCTTCGTTGCCCGACTCGATGACCAGGTTGTAAATCGCCACGCTTTTGGAGCCCTAGGTACGCCATGGGAGTTCAATCTACGAGATACTTTACGCTGGCTTGACCTGCTTGCCTCCAGGACCGTCATGGGATCCGCCCGGGATTTCCTCGATCCGATCTTTGTCCAGCGTTTCCGCACGGAGGGTGATCGTGCCCACCTGCTCAAGCTCTTCGAGAGTGTCTATGGTGTCTATGAACCTCGGATGACTCTCTACCACAACTTGACTCCTAAGGTGTTGCAAGTTGGCTTTAGCGTTCTCTCGAGAGATGTGGTGGTCACGGGACCAGATCCCGTTTTCCACCTGCGAATACCCCAACTAGCGCCCACCGAAGCGCTCATGGTCAGCGTGCGTCAGAACTGGCCTGTCATACTGGTCGGACCTCCCGGCTCTGGAAAGACCACGATTGTTAACCAACTAGCATCATTCGTGGGGGCGAGCCTGGTCACGTTCTCCATGAATGCGGATATTGATGCCATGGACCTTGTTGGAGGCTATGAGCAAGTTGACCCTTCCCGGGAATTGCATCGTTTATTAGAGAGGCTCGATGTCTTTGCTCGACAGAGCCTTGCATCCGATGAGAGGCCATCACAAGCATGTATCGAATTGCTGATGCTTCTCAATGAGCGGTCGGACAATTATATCCCGGATATCCTTCCTCTTCTTGAGACGATAGCCCGAGAGAGCAGTTCCGCACAGGCAGCCGAACTCGCACAGAACCTCCAGCTCCTTCTTCAGGTACCCCAACAGATCGATGGAGCCCGCTTCCAATGGGTCGATGGCATTCTCATCCGAGCTCTCGAGCAGGGTAAATGGCTCGTACTCGATAATGCGAACCTCTGCAGCAGTGCTGTACTTGACCGCCTTAACTCGCTACTTGAACCCAATGGATATTTCAGCATCAACGAGCATTCGACTGCTAACGGCGAAGCCCAGATCGTCAAGCCTCACCCAAATTTCCGGATCTTCATGACCGTAGATCCGAGGTTTGGAGAGCTGTCACGAGCGATGAGGAATCGCTCCGTTGAGATCTGTCTTCTACGTAGTGCTGAGGATGTTAGTGAATTGGGAACACAATTACCGGTCTATCCATTGGAGTCACAAATGTATCGCTTCCGACATCTTTGCGACAGCGACGAAGGCTTGCTAGATACCATCGTTCTGCGGACAGAGAACCTCTCGACAGCAGACAATGATTTACTGGACAGCTTTGCGAACCAGGCCTCGAGTGGGCTCATCCAATCGCAGTCAGCGAGGATGGCGAATGGCACCCTAACCCCCCCTCGAACGTTGATGGCGCAGATCAGCGGTTACAGTCTACAGCCCGAAAATACTGCTGCCAAGTACACCCGGCTCTCAAAGTTCCTCCTCCAGACTTGGGGACCTCAGCCGCTTGACCTTCAGGATCAACTCCATGCTGCGTCGGGTGGTTTCTTAGACGGCGTCATCGAGAGCTTGGTAAGTCATTGAACTTTCATGGAGAATGTCTGCTAATTAAATCATCACAGCCATACCACCCGTTCAATAATGAGATCTGCCTCCGTCGTAGCGACTCATCGAATGCCCTTTGCGTCTGGTACGCTTCACTGTACGATGTAATGTTGGACTTGTACAGTATGCAGCAGGCTTTTGATGCGCTCCCCTCCACCAAGTTCGAGCGTCGCAAGGAGAAACAGAAGCTTCCGGCTTTCCTGTACGCGCTCTGGCAAGGCTTGGCCAAATACATGGAAGCGATAATCCAAGCTCACGACAGCGCCGTATGCGAATCTCCAACCACTTTATACCAAAGTAGCATCTAACTTTATATTTTAGGTCCAAGGAGCTTTCTTGAAATCACTACGGCGACTCTTCTGGGCCTTCTTTGAGTTGGCGACAGGATCCAGCTTTGACCGAGCGACATTCCAAACGTACCTAAAAATGTTGGATGCTTGCATCTCGCCGAGCACTAACCTGCCTACTTCAGCCATAAAGAGCCTAACGACCAGTCTATCCAAAGAGATCGCTACTTTTGGATCGGAAGTTCACCTAACGACAGGTCTCGGGATGGAGCGTATCTGGCGCTATTTCAAGCCGGACACACCAAAGAGCCAGAAGCAGCTATCAGCAATTGTAGCTCTAGAGAACCTTGCTGACCGACTTGATTCCGTGATGTGGAAGTCGAAGTTGAAGGTCGACGAGATGGTCCAGATCAGGGAGAGGTTTTCCTCCTCTCTGGAACTCGCTAGAAAGCAGGATGTCGAGGCTGGTGAGCTAATCACCGTAAGTTTCGTCTTTGTCTGCTATTCACTCTGACGTGAGGTCTGATTTGTACTAGAGCCTTGAAATCGCTGTGCGGGAGCTCGAAGACAGCATCGGTGAGGAAGATACTGCAATTACTCCCTATTTCGAGGATGAGTTCGAGGGCTTGTGTCAATTTCTGGACATTGCGAAAAGCCATATCCCGCCACGCGATCCCCGCTTCGTCCCACCAGCTCCCATTGTCCCACTAGTGCGTGCCAGGTCATCCTTACTTGCTCAGAGATCGACCAAAGCGCCACCGCTCGAGGGAACGGATTCTGCATCGGAATATTTTACAAAACTGTATCGTCATGCCGGCCTTGAGAAGCCGACAGGTCATGAGATGACTCTCCGTGGACGTTTCCACACCACACTGTTATCGAAACTGTAAGTGCCCGTCCAGGGTCTTTCGCCACAAACCTGACCATGTGTAGATGCAACGCGGATGAGGTCCAACTAGCACAGCTCGATCGCTTCGAAGTAGAGCTGCAAGTCCTTTCACAGGAACTAACTCTTGACTCGGAGCGCGTCACGCAGAATCAATATGATGCGCTCCCCGACATTTATCGCGCTTTGCTTGCGCATCTGAACGCTTCTCATTACGACATCATCTCCGGGATACCAAGCGAAGATCTGGTTCAACTCGATTCAGAAGCACGCATATCAGATCGATACCGCCAAGCTCTCGAAGAATCCTTCAAGCGATGCTTCAAATATCTCAGCCACTTCCATCAAGTCGACTCCCAAGCATGGGTCAACCTAGGTTTAACGGGCTTAACGCTATACGTTCCGAACTATCCTCATGATCCCGCGCTTCAGCCGATGATTGAACGGATGCTCTTCAACAAGGAGAAGTCAAGTCTCATCTCGAAATTGCAATCTTTACTTCGGTTTCAGTTGAACTTCACGGGCCAGGATAGCAGTTTCCGTATTCGCAAGACCGAGCAAGCTCTTCATGAAATGGGCGATGAGCCCCCGGTTCCTGCAATAGTGCGACCGAACGTATCGGACTTGGATGCTCTCCAGGGAGAGTTCGCCAACCTCTTGAGTATTATCCAGCCTTTAACTTCGGGTTCCATGACAGTCCAAGAAGCATCACGAGACAACACACTTCGACAAAATATCTTACGGATTATCCGAAGGCTTGTCGAGGGCTACCGCAGCTATGACGACATCACTGGGCCTGCCGTCGGATTCTTGGTGTGTCTCAACATTGGTCTGACGCTTGGTGCCCAAGAGCAAGAGGGCGACAGCGCCGCCAGCAGGAGCTTGAAGTACATCACTCGTCAGAGCCCATTCTTCGGTCTGCATGAATGGTATAGTACGCCGAACTCGGAAGTGCTACTCCAGTTCTGTGAACGAGAGCTTGCTCAAAAGCATCATGCGGTGGATCTGCGATGGCACGCTCTGCACTGTCTTGCAGTCATCAAGACAGTTGATCCCGCCTATATGACTAGGCAGAGGACTCGCGAGCTCATCCACAACATATTCTCATCGTTCTACAGTGAGTGGAAGACGAAGCTTGGCCAGGATCAAGAGAACGAGGCCAAGAATTCCAGCCTGTATACGTACCGAGGCGAGGAGGAAAACGCAGATGAGGATGATCCTGAGCTCTTCCCGGACTATGAAAAGGACGAAGAACCTCAACCGACCGTCTCATCAACATCTCGCGAGCACGCTATCCAGCTAGCCAATATGCATGGTTTAATCGTTCTCGGCGGCAGCACTGCATCGAATGGGGTAAAGGCTCTGCTCGAATGGTGTGCACAGGAGATGAACCGCGTTTCTGGAGGCGAAGCCCACGGCACTCGACATGAGAGCGCTCTACCTGCAATGTATCTCGCACTGGAGAAGAAAGCAGATGCCTTGGCCTCGTCCGGCACGGGAAAGAGTTATAACTTCTACTTCGACGCGAATCTACCGGAAGCCAAGCGCTTGGTAAACCTCGTCCATCGCATTCAACATCGATATAGGCAAATTCGCAAAGTTTGGCCCGAGCACGCAACGTTGTGGGATGTGCTCCGTACCTGCGACGAAGCGCTTGAGTTCCGTCATGTTGAGCCCGTTGCAAAGTTGATCACGAAGGCAGAAAAGCTTCACTCTTATATGTACGAATGGGAACGGGTGGCCAGTCGGGAGTTCAGCACAGCGAATCTGTACGATGATCTCACGAAGTTGCTGGTTAGCTGGCGGCAGCTGGAGCTCACGACATGGGCTCGTCTCTTCGACATGGAGATCGAGAAGTGTCGTGATAACGCTAAAAGCTGGTTCTTCGTCGCCCACGAAACGATTATCGCTGCATCAGAGTCGATCAACGATGAGAAGGCCATGAGATTGCATGCTAGGGAACTCCTCAAGACTTTGGAAAGCTTCTTCACCGGTACAACTCTGGGCCAGTATGAGCAACGCATCACACTCCTCCGCCAATTCCAGAAGCACGTCGCTATGCGCATGAACGACTACACTTCTTTCAGCCCCGTTCATATCGCCCTCAGCAACTTCATTGCGTATTTTTCGCGCTTACAGCAGCCTGTCCACGAAGCTCTCGCCAAAGGACGACAGGCACTCGAAAAAGAAGTCAACAACGTCATCAAGCTGGCTAGCTGGAAAGACACGAACATTGAGGCGTTGAAGCAGAGTGCGAAGACTTCGCATCGCAAGCTCTCGAAACTGGTGCGGAAGTTCCGGGCCCTGCTCAATCAGCCTGTGTCTGGGATCATCAAGACTGGATTTCCCGAAGAAGGCATTCTCGTTCGGACCGTGCAAATGGAAGAGGTATCTACAAGCGTGGCGCCGAGCGCGCTTGGACATTGCGCGGTAACTATCCCAGGATGGACCCAGCGGCCAAGCCGGTTCAAGAACCTTCCCGTTACTGTGTCGATGATGCGCAAGACCTCCACGCCCAACGCGGAAAGCTTAGACGGGGCGGCATATATCGACAGCTTCATCACAGACCTAGAGGCTTCGATGACCCAGTTGCAGAAAGCTACCCCTGCTGCGCTCACGGAGGAGAATAAAGAGACAGTACAACATCTCAAGGCGAGGAAGCGCAAGCTCTACGCCGATACGATGAAGGAACTCCGCCAGATGGGCATCAATTCGAACCTCAGCAGCGATGTGCTTGCAAAGCAAGATGAGCTCTCAACCGTTCTTGCTGGCCTTCCGCTTGTCGCCACGGAAACTAATGATTGCGCTAAAGGAGCCGACTACTTCTTGCACAAGGTTCTTAGCATCATGGCGCAGGTCCGGGATGTTGCTAGGGAGCACTCCGGCGACCTCACGAGCAACGATGTCGCACGAAGCATTGGATACCTCGAAGGCTTGCTGCATGTCACTCTTCGCCAGCGAAGTGTGCTGAGCAAGGCCGCTCGAGCTTTGGAAGACGCACAGTTTCCGACGTCAAAGATCGCAGCTCTCTGTGTTGTCACTACCGGTGCGGTTACGAGAGTTTCCCACAGCCAGCTCGAAGTAACTGCCAGCTTACGACCTAGTATCTTATGGCTCTGCACAATGCTCGACAGGGGCGCTGATGTTGTCGCCGCGCAGGCAAAAATGGGCCAAACGAACGAAGTCGATGCCGTGATTCAGGGCATGCGGCAGTGGAGTTCCCGACTTCAAGAATCAGTAGATGCTTTCGACAAATTGCCTACTCTACCAACCAACGTCTGGTCCAAGAATCACAAGCAACTCAACGATGTGATCAAGAATCAGCTGTCCGATTTCAGAGGCGCGTTCAACGCTTTGTCCGAACGCTTCCCGATATCGAGAACTGTGCTCAGGCATATCCAGCCGTTCGTCTTCGACTACCCGCCCGTTAAGGCTGTCGAATTCTCGGAAGATTTGCGCATTACGGTGCAGACGCACGCGAAGGAGATCTTCGCAGCGCTGGATCTGATCCTCGGTTGCCTGCAAGATGTTGAGACTGCTTTGACGGCTCTTCCGAACTCAATAGACGATTCGGCGTGGTTCATCAAGGAAGAGCAGGCGCTCTGTGGCGCCATCGACGCTTTGCACGCGTCGCGTGTGTCTCGAGCTCTCGATACGGTTCTGAATCGAATGCATGGCTTATATGAAGACGAGAACCTCCAAGCTATTGCCTGCTTATTTACAGCGGTGCGACCAATTCTGGATCAGTACGTTGCGTCGCACAAGTTTCTTGTCGAGCGATTCGATGCACTCCACTGTGCAACTGCCAAACTACTACACCGGCTCTCAAAATCGTTCATCCAGGTCGGCACTCAAGGATTCTGTCAACCTCCCGAGAAGTCTGCCGACCAACAGCCCGGCAAAGACGACAAGCTAGAGCCTGGTACAGGCCTCGGTGAAGGCGAAGGCGCTGAAGACATCTCGAAAGACATCGAAGATGACGAAGACCTTGAAGACTTGGCACAGGAGAAGGGTGGTGAGCGCGAGGGCAGCATTGAAGAGGAAGATGATGCTGTTGATATGGGCGAGCAGGAGATGGAAGGCGAGACTGGCGAGGCTGCTGAGAAGGAAGATCTGGGCAGCGAAGCTGAGGAAGGTGACGAGGATGTTCAGAGTGAAGTCGGAAGTGTCGATGATCTAGGTCCAAGCGCAGTAGACGAGAAGATGTGGGATGAAGGTGGGAAAGAGGACGACCTGAAGGACAAAGATGCAAAGCAGGATGTTGGCACTGAAAACAAGGACGAGCAGGTCGCTGCCGAGCAAAAGGAGAAGAGTGGAGAGGACGGTGAAAAAGAAGAAAACGATATGCGTGAGGACGAGGAAATGGAGATGGAGGGCGAAGACCAGGAGGAGAACGTGGGCGTGGGTGAGACTGAGCAAATGGATCCACATGCCAAAGAGGAAGAGAAGCTCGACCTGCCTGAAGAACTCAACATGGACGGCAACGAGGACGAGAAAGAGGATGATGATCTCGGCGACATGGATATGGGTGACGATCTTGGCGATGAGGAAATGGATCCTGAGATCGGAGCGGAGCCTGACATCGTGGACGACGAAATTGGTCCCCAGCAAGAGGATGCGGAGCAAAAGGACTCCGAAGAGGACAGGGAGATGGAGCAGGACGAGGAAGGTGAGGAGCCTGTTGATGACGACGCCATTCCGTTGCCAGACCAGAACGCTCCAGAGGACGAATCTCGCGATGCCCGGAACAATGAGGATACGGATCCGAACGCTGAAGCTGGAGCGGGTGCCGAAGCCAACGAAGAGGCTCACAGGAATCAAAAAGAAGAGGCATCTGCTAACGCGGCAAACCGTGAAGATGGCACAAAAGGAGAGTCGTCCGAGAATGTGCAAGAAACGACTGCCGAGGATGGCACTCTTGGTCAAACCAGCAGACCTGACGCCGGGGGCCACGGCGAACAGCCGGAAGAGTCTCCCGAGACCCAGTTGTTCAAGAAGCTTGGAGATGTTCTGGAACGATGGTACAACCAACAGAAGCAGATCTCAGGCGCACGGCAGAGGGATGAGACTCAGGTTCAGCAAATTGACAAGGAGGTCGACATGGCCGATGCTGACTTTGAGCATGTTCCGGATGAGGAGACGCAGGCTGATACGCAAGCTTTGGGCACGGCAACGGAAGAGCAAGCTAGAGCCTTGGATCAAGACATGGCCATGGCTGTGGACGAGGAAGAAAAGGTGCCTGCTCGTCCCGAGGACAAAGATGAAGAGCTACAGAAGGGCCAACAAGATGTCGAGATGGAAGACGCTGCACCAAAGCAAGACCAGGAAAAACAGCAGCAGCAGCAATCTACCACTGACGGCCAACCACAAGCCTTCATCGGCGAGCAGAAGTCATTCGCCCATCCAGAAGACCAGGATATGGAAGACTCGATGCCCTTAGATGAGGAGCTGTCAGAGACCTTATCCGTCGACGATGTCGAAACAAAGCTCGAGCTTACCCACCTCGATCCCTCCACCCCCATCTCGCCCGAAGATGCCCGCGCCCTCTGGCTCAGCCATGAAGCAGCCACACACTCCCTCTCCCAACAACTAACCGAACACCTCCGCCTGATTCTCGCCCCCACCCTCGCCACCAAGCTCCGCGGCGACTTCCGCACCGGCAAGCGCCTCAACCTCAAGCGCATAATCCCCTACATCGCCTCCGGCTACAAGCGTGACAAGATCTGGCTCCGCCGCTCGCAGCCCAGCAAACGCAGCTACCAGGTCATGATCGCCCTCGACGACTCGAAGTCCATGTCCGAATCCGGCGCTTCGAATCTCGCGCTCAAGACGCTGACGCTTGTTACACGCTCGCTTGCTATGCTGGAGGTTGGCGAGGTAGCGGTTGTGGGCTTCGGCGATGAAGTCAATGTCGCACATGAGTTCGATAAGCCGTTTACGAGTGAGGCGGGCGTGAGGGTGTTCGAGCAGTTCGGCTTCGAGGCGAGCAAGACAGATGTGCGTGGCTTGGTAGAGAGGAGTCTAGATTTGTTCGCCGAGGCAAGGCGCAAGGGGAGTAGCGCCGCGGGCGAGGATCTCTGGCAGTTGATGCTGATTGTCAGCGATGGGATCTGCGACTCGCATGCGGAGATTCAGAGGCTTGTGCGGAGAGCGCAGGAGGAGCGCGTTATGATCGTGTTCATCATTATCGACTCGTCGGGACCGCCGTCGGCGCAGCCCGCTCCTTCTATGCACCCTGCCACGGCGGCAGAGGGCCCTGTGGCGCCACAGAAGGAGAAGGAGAAACAGAAGACGAGTATCCTGGATCTGCAGAGTGTGGAGATTTCGCCGGAGGGCAAGGTCGTTAGGTGGAAGTATATGGAGAGGTTTCCGTTTCGGTATTATCTTGTGGTGCGGGACGTTAGAGAGTTGCCGGGCGTGTTGGCGGGGGCTTTGAGGCAGTGGTTTGGGGAGGTAGCGGGCAGTGCGTAGGCCTTTTGTTTGGTATGGTTTTGTGAATGGCGTTCTGGGGAGTAGTGTGCCTTCGCGTTCGGGCTTCTATTTGGGGTAGAGAGGGAACAAGAGTTATCATTGTTCCAGTGTTGAACAGTTGAACGTGATTGCCTTGCTCGTGGTCTAGAATGGTGGATTGGGATACGGCTTCCAGGACGGGTTCGGAGGTGTATGGGCTCACCGATCACGTCGCACACCGGCTCCTGTAGGCCTTCTGGAGGAGTAATGATTCGACAGATGTCCAGCCGGGTAGGCACTAGGTCATTTCGGGACTCACCGACTCTGCATGCCCCGGGGGCGGTCACTCACTGACTTCTTGGCACTCACTGCTTTATTAGCAGCTCCGCCACCGAATCTGCTCCACCACCACAACACCATCGCAATGCCACGCTTCGTCGACCTCCCGCGCGAGCTCCGCGACTTGGTATGTATCTCCCTTCTCCTCACACAAAACCCAGGCTGGGGGCCTTCCACGGGTATAACCTAGACGGATGCTAATGCGTATTGCCACGGTTTAGGTCTACAATGAACTCTCTGAGCCGCTCACGTTCATCTGGCGGCATCCGACGGATAGGATCCAGTCGGTGAACATCGACTGCGCGACGGTAAGCCCGGCAGCCTTCAAGGGGATGAGCAGATTCAAATCTAACATGGCATTGATAGGTCCCTATCACCAAGGCGGCAGTTCTGGGCCCCAAGGTGCTGCGGGAGATGGGCCAGGCGCCGGTCTTCCAGGACCTGGAGATGACGGTCGGCATCGCCATCCGGGACGAGCACCAACCTCTGATCGGCACCATGCCGTTAACGAACGCGCCTATCCCCGACGCGCACGAGATCCCGCACGAGCAAGCCCTCCAATTCCTCAGCTGCGCCACGCACCTCACCATCCTCGTCGTCGTGACCTGCATCCACGCGCAGAAACCGGGCTTCTCGCTCCCCTGGGAGGCCGTCATGGGGCTGATGGCCACGCTCTCCGCGCGCGGGCTGCGCTTCGCCACCGTCAAGGTAGGCATGCACACGCGCAATGTGGAAGTGCTCCGGTGGAGCACGCTCTGGAACCGGCGCCCGGTTCAAACTATGCTCCGGAGGCACATCTTCGCCGAGTTTGGCTCCGCCAAGCTGCAGGGCAGCTTCCCCATCCAAGACATCGAGGCGTGCAGCCTGGCTCTTGACGACGTCAATGCCGTTGCGGATTATATAACGAAGCGTGTTACCCCGGCGTCGAATGTTCACTTCGCGCATAGCGTCACTAAGACGGCGGCGTACCTGTACGCGGACGACCCTGCGGACGCCGCGGGTCGCTTCTGGACGAGGGATAGCGTGCTGGAGACGTTCCCGCCCACCGATCCACCGAAGGGCAAGCAGAAGGTGTGGGAGCTGCTCGGCGAGGGGTCTGAGGAGCGGTACGCGGGGAAGAAGAATAGCGTGAAGCTGTGGAGGGAGAAGAGGGACGGGGTGTGGAGGGAGTGGGAAAACACGTCCGTGTTTGCCGTTGAGGGCGAGCCGCAGATTGAGGTTACGGATCCGATTACACGACGATTGCGGAGGAAGACGCCGGTCTGGAACCCTGGAGGCCCGTGGTGGACGCCTCCCTTTTGAATGTAGATAGGGCGCTGGAGGGCTCTGGGTTCACGGATGCAGAGTTTGTCTTTCGGGGTAGTTTGGCTATCTGAGAGGGTAGGCGGGTGTGGTAGTGGCATGAGGGCAGTCGATAGATGGGAAGTGGATAGGCCGCTGAGGGCATACGGTATCAGCTATCCAGAGTTCTTCTTTCTGTACAGTATATCTACCGGATGATGAATCCCTCTACGTTGGAGCAAATCTCGACATTGCCCTGATCCTCTTGCCATAGAAGTAGAACAAAATCGGTACCGGAAAGAGCGCGGCCGTCAAGAAACCCAATAGCGACGTAGCCCAATCGACGCCGAGCGTATGGTACCTAGCCAGATATTAGCATCAAGCCATCAGTTTCCAAAGGAATTGAGGGAATACTTACATCGCCGTAGCGAAAAGCGGAAAGCCAGCCCCAAACCCACTCCTGAGGAAGGTGTTGGCAGCGATAGCTGAGTTGGCGTACATCAAATAGCAATCGATAATGTAGTTCAGCCCCTGCAAGAAGATCATAAGCACACCCGCGCCAATCGGAATGCCAGCCAGCACCTGCGGCACCCAGGAAATATGCGGGCTGCTCGTCCAGGCAAACCAGAACATGCCGGCCGGGAACAAGAAGCCGCCGATGATCATGGGTATGAGGCGCTCCTCGGGGACGACTCGACCATGCTTTTCCAGCTTGCGGGCGAAGCGCGTCTTGGTCGTGAACACGATTATCGCTCCACCGAGTATAACGCCCAGCGTGATACCTAGGAAAGGCAGCGCGCCAATGCCCGGACTCCAGCCCCGTTGTTCCTGGAACGCGATCGGGTATGCTTCGAAGAAGAGGTATAGGATGCCGTAGATGAGCGCCATGTACAGGCTGACGAGATCGAGGATCGGCTCGCGGAGCAGCATGACGAAGGGCCGGAGCAGGTATCTCTCTGTGATATTTGTTAGGTCGATCTGCTGCTCATCCGCCTTGGCGTGGATGGCCCAGTTGCGCGTCTGGAAGCGTATGCGTGCGGCGCGGCGGGAGAGGAGGACCGGGGCGTATGTCTCGGGGATGAGGACGAAGCTGACGGCGCCGAAGAAGAAGGACATGATGGCTGTGATGTACTCGGTCCAGCGCCAGCCGAGATGGCTTTGCACGATGAAGCCGCCGATGATGGGGCCGAAAACTGGTATTCCGTGTCAGTGATGATGGAAAGGAACAGATGTGATTCAACCACAGAAGAGTTACTTACCAGGCCCCAGGAAAGTCGCTCCCGCAAAAATCGTCATCGCAACTCCCCTGTCCAGCGGTCCCCAAAAGTCCGTCAACTGCCCGCCCACAATCCCCAGCGGCGCCGACCCAAACACGCCCCCAAAGAACCGACACACCATAACCGTCTGCAGATTCTGCGCAACCGCAACGGGGATCTGAAAAACAGCAAAGACGAAAAAGCCCACGAACATCGGATACTTCCTGCCGTACAGCTCCGACAGCGGGCCCCAGACGATGGGCCCGACGGCAAAGCCCAGGACGAACAGCGAGGTGCCCAGCACCATGACCTCGTTCGAGACGCCGAACTTCTGGGCCGTGACGACGGTGGCGGTGCTGAAGACGCTGCTGGCGAAGGTGATGCAGAAGGTGACGCTGCCGAGGAGCAGGGTGATGAGCCATTTGCGCCAGAGGGGGAAGTTCTGGGGGTTCGAGGGGTCGTTGGGGCCGGACCAGTCGATGAGGTTGGGGTCGTTTTCTGCGGGCTGCGAGGGGGTTTGCTTTTCGACGTCGAGTATGGCGTCCTCGGCGTTGGGATGGGAGCGGGAGCGGGATTGCGAGATGTGTGAGAAGTGCGATCGCGAGGGACCGAGTGGGGTTTGCTGTCTGCTTGCGGGAGCATTCGACTCTGTGGCTGTGGTGCTTCTGCTGCCCGATGAGCGGAGGCCTTCACCGTGCTTAGAGTCGATCGAAGATTTGTCGTCGTCGAGACTGAGTTCGTCGAACTGCTCTGATCGGCTCGAGGGTGCTGGTATGCCCGGCGGTACCGTTGCCTGCTCTAGGTATCTCTCAGGCGCGTCCATACCGCGTGGTAGTCCTTCGGGAAGGTGCGTCCTCGTGACTCCGTGGCCTCCGTCCACTTATTCTCCAGCCATGACCGTGACGTAAAGCAAGAATGTAAGAAAGACGTCGAGAAGAGGAAACAGCTCGAGTGGCAATTCCCATATACTTTCGTCGCCTACAAGTTCGTATACCAGACCAAAATCACTATAAAGCAGTGCGTGATAGATCTCACAGAAAAAAAACACATTAACAAACCTCGCAGCAAACCTATTTATCACCCCCTTCCTCCCAACTACATCAGCGATTAATCTCCTATCTCCATCCACCGTACAACATCGGGCCGCAGGAACCGCACCCTCCGCATTACCAATCCCATGTCGGGGGTAGTGTCGGCTCGCTTTATTCGCTCGGCCGAAGCCCGCTACTCCAAACTCCCCGATCCATCGCATCCGGCAGCTCCACGCTCTACTGCCAGACACGCCGAATCAGATATCTCTTTTTCACTCTACACGTGCTTCGGGACTCAGTCCTTTTGCAGGGCGAAAGACTAGTCCCGATGGATGGAAATCGCGGGATGGATGGCCGGCCAATGACGGAAGATATCGCCATGCAACGCTTAGCTAAGCGGGACGTCATTTCTTGGCTGCTCCAAGATGCTCGACGAGAAGTTCTCAAAGGGCGGATATTGGCATAGTCTATTCGCTGGAGCGGAGCTACGAGAGGGTTGCTTTACTGCTCGCCGTCCGCCTTGCAATGCTTGGATACAGCGTGGTGAAATCGTATATTCGCTATCTACGTAACCGACAGACGAATACACATTGCCCTGCCCAAAACACCACCCAGCCCAGCCACCACGGAGGAGAACAAGAACCCAGAAGCAACCCCTCTGGATGCATACTCGACCGCCACCGTACGCTACGTGGCTGAAGCACTCGCGCCGCCGCTCTCCTAATCGCAGGCGCAGCCCTGGTATTTCCCAGACTGGCAAATGCCACGAACGCCGTTGCCTACAAGACGCGTCAGAACAGCCCACGCATGCACCCATTCCACACAAGTGAGAGGAGAGTACTGCTTACAGCCGTTCTTGGAGCAACTGTCTGTCTGCCCGTTGCACTTGTCGCACGGACAGCCGTTGAACTCGCCGGCGCTGCACGTGCCGACCAGGTCCCACGGCGAGTTGAACTTGGGCGTGCAGTTGTTCTTGTCGCAGCGGCCGATCTTGTTGTTGCAGCCCGCCTGGACTGTCATGTCCTGGAAGGGGAGCGTCAGGCATGGCGGCCGGCCATTGAGAGAGCAGAGAATTGGGGGTGCGGATTGGGGAGCGTGGGAGCACTTACGGCGCGGGGTTCTGCGGGAATGGCGGCTACATGGGCGGCGATGGCCGGGAGAACGATGAGGAGGTTGAAGAGCTGCATGTCGCGAGTTTGGGATGCAATGAGATGGAATTGGCAGGGGGTTTGGGGGCTTGTAGAAGGCGATTGATGGGAGGGTGTCCTGGTGAGGATGTTGCGTTTAGAGCGGGCTGCCGGCAGCCTTTTATACTTCTGGATGGACGTATCCTTTTCTTCTATCACTCGGTCGAGTCTGGGCCCGTCTGTGTCCGTGATGAGGCCATCCAATAGACAGCGGTCCACATTTTCCAACACTCATCCATGAGGCCAGGAAGGGCTGTGCGGCATCGAGCGGGCATTTGCATCCTCTTGTCGTCGAGCAAATTCTGCCTTGACTGCCTTCAGTCGCCCGTGCGCCTAGCTATACGAGGTGGAAGACGGCTGATCGCCTGGAAGAAACTTAACGGCTGCGCGTCGCATCGTGGTCTGCAATGGGGTAGTCTCACCTGCTTGTCGCCTTATACCGGAGAAGGGGCCTTTCTTGTGTAACTCTGGGGACTGATGGATGGTGGGTTCACGCGGTTTACATTTCGATTCCTAGCTCTTTGGAGATACAGCATTCTACACACTCATTAGCGGTCGAAGTCGAGATCGCACTCCCTTGGAACGGATACATTCCGTTGTACCGTTCACCGTCAATACAGAAGGATTCGATGAGGGAGAGCGTAGCTCGCTACCTAGACCCGAGTACAATTAACATAAGGAGGTCGGCTACGAAGCGGTGTCCGACAGTATATTAAATCACGATACATGGCATTGTAAACCATGTGGAGAACAATGCGGGGTGTAACCGGGGTGCAGGGACGCAGACGCTTGCAAGAGCGGCCGCAAAAGGCAAAACGTGTTGTTACGCATCGATCCTGAATCCTTCTGCCGTTCGAGGAACCGGTAGGAATATGGTAAAGGGGAGTATGCCGTAATGAGTGATCCTTCACACAGGGCTGTTACACCCTTACGTAGTAGTGATGGGCGACGCTTGGCTGTGCTTTATTCCTTCGGATTATAGGCAAAGTGCGGAAGGAATATGGGAAAGCCCTGAGTTGTTTTTTCCCGAACGGGACGGTCGAGCGTGGAACGAAGCTTTTGATGCGAGCCAAAAATAGGCACAGCATTCCGGACAGCGAAGAAAAGAGAGATTTGAGACTCAAAGGAACTATACCGGTCGACTGGAGAGCGTGCATGTTACTGTGTGTTTTCTAGGGACCGGATCATACACAATACTCGGCGCCAAGACCACGGTTCATACCCTTTCCATGCAACAACTGGGAGATCTGGGGTCAGGAGAAGCCCATGTGAGTGTTCCCTTGAACATAAAAGACCTTGCCCTTCTCCTGGACCTTCTAGCCAAGCGAGGTATGGATTGCGCGGGCCGTGCGAGGCGTAGCGGCCGTGCTCCTATTACTGCGACTTGCTCGCTCTAAGGATATGGTAGTAGGTGAGAAAAGCAGCAAGCGGTGGGCTGCTGGTCGTACCTAGGTATGGATCTGGACAGGCGTGGGAAGGTATGAAACAGCAGCGGCGTGAGGAAATCGGGGTCCGATTGTGTTGAACGCGAGCATCTACCTAGGTTGCGGAGGTTAGCTGTTAGAAAGGTAGGTATCGACAACATGGTCCCTGACTGAAGTGCGAATGTATATTTGCTCTCGCTATCCTGCGCTTGCTCTGGACGGGGATTTCCCCCGAAGGAAATGGTATGCGAGACGCAGTAGAGGTCCTCCAGTGTTGCCGTCGGGGGTTGTCCGCCTAGCTGTCAAAGAACTGAATATCCCGCTGTACCGGTATAGTAATATCTGGAGCGCTGATCCAGCATGGTATGGGCAACAGGACGCAGGCTTTGTGGGCCAAAGGGGTGGCAATCGTTCGTAGGGTTCGATGCGGAGCTTCGGGATGACGGGCGGGCGGGCGAAGAATGAGGACTTTTGTTACGTTTCCCTAGCAGATAGTCTGTATCCTTTGGAAGGTAAGCAACTGCGAGATCGATGGCTGCGCCTGGTACCAACCTAGATACTTGGGCAGAGCCGTCGTGCCCAGACGCTTTGAATTTTCCTTTACCTAGGTATGGTATCTCCAGTCCTCAGACGCTCTGCTCCCCAGTTGCAGGATTTGTGAACCTGTTGCGCAGCTCCAATGTGAATTATGCCCAGCACACTTAGGTCCAAGGGGGTGGACTGTGGTTATTGGTGTCTGGGCCGGCGTTGCCACCGTGGATCTCCGTATTCCTCTTCGTTGTTCGCCAGCAAGCGCATGTCTCGGATCGGCCGTGATAATTATACCGGGGCTTCTTTACTCGAGGGTGGATCGTACGGTGGTATAACCCGGACGGCAGCATGATCGCAGCGTCTATAGGGGTTCGACGATGCGAGCAGCCCTCGGGAGGACCAAAACGGCGTTGCTAGTTTCTCGGAGTAGACCTGGCACCGGAATGCCGTTAATATCCAAATTGAGTACAAGATGCCCAAGAGAAGGCAGCTCGGGGGCTGATCCGGACACAGTGACTTACCGTTGCAGCGCGATGGATCGTTGTAGTGTCCTACTTGTGGATCTGCTGGATCGCAATGCGTCCCCACACGAGAAATGGTAGATCGGCGGGGAGATCGTGAGCTCAGTATGTGGTGTTGGAGGTGGGTACCGGCGACGAGGAGGAAGGATTGCCTGGGGTCATCCGTAAGCGGGCGGCACATGGCGGCTATGGGCTGTTGTGTTTCTTGTGTCTCTTGTGTTTCTGCTGGTATTGATGAGCGCGCCATGCAAATGGGTCGGATGTCAAGGTAGCCGTCTGCTTCCCAGTGTACGGAATCGTGGACGAGAACATGCGGCGCGTCTGCGTACACATGGCCGCCGCAATGTAGCACAAGGGATGCACCGGCGCCTTTTTGATCTCGCTCCTGCTGGCCTTCCTGTTGTCTTTGCTTTGTGTATCGCGGATCGAACCGAGACGATATTTGTCGTTCTTGCGGAGCCGTCAAGCACAGCTGACACCGGAGTGTAGCAGTTCCCGGCGTGGTATGGGGAATTGGGCTCGTTACTTCGATTGCCAGTATAAAGCGATTGCGCGAGATCGTAACGGCATCGAGGACGGAGAGGGCGGCTCGAATCCAGTGCATGGCGGGGAGCGAGCCTGGAGATATGGGTCAGTGGATAGGAGTGCCGGGTAGTAGGATCCCAGCCCAGTTAGAAGTAAATGCCTACATACTGCCGTACCCTGTTCCAGTTTGCGTTGAGCTGTTCAAGCCGGCGTAGTATAGCTCCGCGATGCTAGAAATAGCAAGGCCTTCGCAGAATCGTATGTCCAAAAGCTTGCCGGGGTGAGAGTTTCCAGCAGGTGTCAAGTAACTCATTCTCGAGTATCCAGGAATGGAGAGAGACGTGGCGCTCGAGGCGCTCGAGGTTGTTCGGGGATGCGCGGGACTCGGGGGCTGGAATTGCGGAGGTTTCGATTTCGAGGGTAGCGACATGTATACGAAGGAGGGACGACAGTGGCACAGAGTATGGTACTGAGGGTATGCTAGTCTGTAGGAGCCGGTCCTGATGATTGATTAGTAGGGGCCCATGCCCCAAAAATGGTATTCTGCTTGGTCCGCATCGCCCCGGATGCATCGCGGCCCTGAAGCCGCCGCCGGGGCCTGTAGAGGCGACAGTGGACAGGAATATCGTGTCAGAGGAAATGCCAATTCCAAATGAACAGTCTCCTGATTGATTGGAGTCGCTGGATGATTGTGGTTGTCCTGCTTCGCCGGCGGAGCTTGGGGTTGCATCGCCGCATCGAACATGCTGCTGGCGGGGCCCATAGGGGCGACAGTGGTCAGGAATATGGTATCAGAGGAATTTCCAATTCCGAGAGTGTACCCTCCTGGTTGGTTGGAGTGGCTGGATGGTTGTGGTTGTCCTACTTCGTCGGCGGAGGTTGAGGTTGCATCGCCACATCGGATCTGCTGCCGGCGGGGCCCGTAGGGGGGACAGTGGACAGGAAATAGGCTATGGAGGCACCGTAGCCGCCGCGAGCGAGTTCAATATATTAATTAGAAGGACTCGATGTTCGAATGCTGCCCCCCTGCAGGTGTGTTCCAACCCGGCGGCTCGCCGCAGCGAATCCGTTGCGACGGGATCTCTAAGAACGACAGTTGGTACAAGGATGATTCTAGAGATACAAGAGCGTCTCACGGGAAGCCTTGAGATTTGTATAGAGAGCCTAGATGTTCGATTATTGTTCTGCGTCCTAATTTGCATCATCCCGATCGAACCGACGCGTCGCGCGTCTCGCCCAGACGCCCAACCGTAGCCGGACGTGCTCAGTGGAGAGTATCAAGCCCATTAGAGGGGAGCCAAGTATAGATATCATACTGTAGACGGTCGTGGGGGTCGTGGCATCGGCGTGCATGTTGCGGGTGGCGGATTCACGATGGTATCTGGCGGGCTTCAGCGACGGGCCCCCAGGGGCCAATTGCACTTCAGCGGGGCACCGAGTATACGGGAGCGAGACGCGATGACTTCCTATGCTTCATATTGCCCGTGAGGGTATCTCGAGGTCTTGAACCGGTTGTCTGTCGAGGGCGTGGGGACGGCGCAGCTGGCGTCGGGCGGCGGAAAAGGGGAATCGGGTACGCGCATCGGGACTGTGCATGCAATCAAAGAATATACGACACAGAATGTATTCTATCGAGTCCGAAGACACTGGAGAGCGTGTAGAGATACCGCAGCAGCGTGTTGTGGGAGTGGTCGGACTTGGGAACTTTTCGTTGGGGGTAGCTTTAGCGCCTGCCTTCTCCGCACCGCGGGAGCATCGAATGATGAATTGCCGCAACCTGTGCCATCAGGAGATGCTGCAGTCTATCAATGCTGCCCCAGGGCTGTCCGGCATGCTTGGGGATGGAGCAGGATGTCACGGAATCGGGCGTCTTGATGGGAAGCAAGCTGCGGGGAGGATGATCGCTTGATGCCCTTCTCGTTAGGGCAGCGCCATGGCGCCCCTAGCCATACCCCCGGCTCTAAACGCGCCCAAAGCTCCATTGTTGTGCGCAACGTGCTTCTCACGTCACTCAAAACGGCCGCACGGCCATAGAGAGGCGGAGAGGGGCTGCGGAAGTTGGGAGAGGGAGCGCGGAGCTGGCGGCGGTGGAGTAGAAGCCTGCAGGCGTAAACACAGCGCTTCTTCTCCGCTCGACGGACCGCATCGAGACCGGCTCGCCCTTCACCACCCCTGCACCGCCGCGGGCAGATAGGGAAGCTTCGACCTCGCCCAGGCTCACCCTACGTCCCCTCTCCTCCCCACTCCTTCCTCCGCCTCGCCCGTCTCCTTCCTCCAGCTGGAGGCGGTCAACACACCGACGCCGTCGAGGCAGTCGCTCCTGACTGCTGCGGCTTTTGTTGAGAGCCCTCCTGCCTCCTAGGAGCTCCTCTGGTGCTGGTAAGTTAAATCTCGACCTCGCCACCGTCGTTCCACCCTCACACTTCACACTCCTATTCTTCCTTTCCTCTCCTCGTCAGATATCTCTTCAGGCCGCCCTGCTGGACTCGCAAGGAGTTGTGGCTTCAAAACGTCGAGTTGAGCCATGGCTTCCGAAGACTTCCACCTGCCTGAGCTCACCCAATCCAGCTTCGCAGGCCAGCCCTACCAGCTGTACCGCACGCAGACTGACCCTCCGTTCTACTTTCCTTCTTATGACGCTGAGTATCACCCGTCTCAATCGGCGTCTCTCGCTTCACTCCGCCCAGTTCGAGTCTCGGCTATCGAGCGGGCCGGAATCAAGATGACCGCGCAGGCGACCATCACTTTCTCACGACCGGGCGTGAAGCCTCCGGTATACGTGGTAAGCTCGCTGAATGTCCCCCCGTGGGCCGCCGTCGAGATGGACGTCAGTCCATACAAGACCGACTCCGGTGATCTGATGTTCACCCGACATTTCGAGAACGTACCGGAGGGCGAATTCCAGTACAAGGTCCGAATCGGCGAGGCTCAATGGGCTATTGACCATTGTGTGCGAACCAGTAAGTCACTCCCCTCAAGCACCATCGACCGCTGGCTATGGGGTTGTGGAAGGTCTGGTTCCGGTCGTCCATGCACCAATAGGGCCAGGAATATGCATAGAGAGGAGCAAGCTGACATCCACCTAGTCATCGATGAAAGTGGCATAAGCAACAACATTGGGGTTGCTGTGTGTGATCCCCAACCTGATCCGGCGAGGGTTTCTCCAGACGCAACGGCGAAGGAGAAGCGCTACGGCACGAACCCAACCCCAGGCCAGGCCACAGTCCCTCCAACGTTTGGTCAGGGAGCCGAAGAGCAGCAGGGCCGCGAAGGACGTATCGACAGCTCCACTGATGAGACTCAGTTGCCGGCTGCTCCTCAGATAGTCGTGCAAGAGGAGCCGCATCTCGAGCCAGGTACTGAAGAGGAGCGCGCCGCGCCCCTCTTTCCCCACGAGTCTCTCAGCTCAGGGCCCGGCATATTGACCCCGTCGGATGACAGCGACTCCGGGGGTCGTCCCACGTTCCACCACCAGAACGCCGCAGATCAATCCATCCTCGCCCCGAGACTCACGCCTAGCAACGCCTCCCTCTTTTCTCATGATGCCGGCGGACTCAGGGCCAGTAACGCTTCCGTGTTCTCCAGCGAAACCGGCTTCTTTGGCCCGATGGACGACGTCGACGAGTTAAGCCACGGTCCCCTCCTCTCTCATGAGAGGGGGTTGAACCGCAATGAACTTGACGACGGCCCACTATTCCCACACGAGACGGACATGTCCCGCCAATACCATAGCCAACAGCAGTGGAGGGCTAGGAACCTCTCGGAGGCCAACATTGATCTCTTCACCGCACCACAGGACGGCGGCCTTGACACCCGTCCTTCTGAGCTCGATCGCCCCCCTAGCCTCAGCCATGAGATCCTCCGGCCGGATGTCTACGTGCCCGGAGCGCCTGTCACCCGCCGCCAGCGTACAACGATCAAGGACGAGGCCCCTCTCATGGCCCACGAGCGGCCGCCATTGTCCTATATGACCGAAGCGCCTGTCACCCGGCACGCGCGTACACCGACCAACAACGAGGCTCCTCTTCCCAATGAGCAGTCGGCATCCGCTCCCAGTGAGCGTACATCAAGTATCGCCTCTTTTGGAACGTTCCTTCGTCGCACCACAGCAGCGGAACCAATCTTCGGACAGCGGGGCGGTTTTGCGTGGGATCGAAATTCGGGCCGCAGCAGCCTACCTCATAGTCTGCCCCCGTCCGATGAAGAGGATGACAACCTTCGAGACCCATCTTTGGAAGTATTTCCTACATCTAGAGAGCAGATCTTACACCGAGTTGCGACAATTAGCACACATCTGCCGGAGGATGAGAGCTCTGGCTCGCCTTATAATGCGCAGTCCCCAGACCCCAGTGTGCTATCGCAAGCGTGCTCCTCGGTCGAGCTGGCCCCAATCAGCTCTCATCTCTCGCTACGTGCAATCGCGGAAGATACCGTTCTCGAGGATGAGGAGGACGGTAACGACTCGAACCTTCCGTCGCCTGCCCTTATGATTCCGACCAAGTCAGCTACAGCCGACCAAGTTGAACCCCGCGAGGACGAGACCAGCGGCGACGAGCTCGCTACGCCAATGCCGCGGGAGGAGTGGCTAGAGTCCGCTTCGGTCGGAGCGGAACAGGAGCCAACTGTACATTGTGCGCAGTCTAGCGACCCAGAGAGAATCAGGAAGCGGAACGGCGCCAGTGACGGGACGAAGCGTTTCGGAAGGGTTTTCAACACGGTCGCGACCCCCACCACTGTTCTTAATCCACCGACGCCACCAATGGCTCCAGAGAGAGCTTTGGTCAACCCAAACGGACGGCGAACATACCCTCGTCCCCTCACTCGAGAGTCAATGAGGATTTCCCCGGCGCCACCTCGCTTTCCCGTCGGAGGACCCTCAGATTCGCCACCACCAAACCCGGATGACTTCCGGACGCCCACGCCGACGCAACTAGCAGAGCCCGAGAATGAGGGCTTCTTCACGCAACTACTGCATGCCATGTTCTGCTGCAGCGGAATGCGGTCGACAAGGTAAACTCGAACTTCACTTCGATATCGCAAAACATCGCCGTATCGACCTGCCCGCGAGGCCGACAATCGGTGCCATCTGTGGCTAATTTTCGACATCTTTCTTCCTTCTTTTTCTTATCTTCGGCACCATTTCCTCGGCTGACAGGGATCAGTACCGCGGTATTCGTGGTCATACTCGCAGCAGCGGCGTACTACTACGTCAATGTTTGGGCGGGATAGACTTTACGAAACGGAACACACGACACGGTATCGCACCGGACCGAATATGGCGTTCTAACTGTACAACATTAGCTTTCTACATGGCATACAAAAAAGGAGGGTAGGCTGCATGGCGCATGAGATGGATGGAGGTATCTGTATGCTTTTCACGATGCGATCGAGACTCATGGTATATGATAAGACGATGGTATGGCTAACGAGGCATGACTGTACGAGGTGGAGATTAGCGGCTGGGTTACCACGATGTATCCCACTTACTGTCTTCTTTCCCCCGAATACCCCTAATGGATAAGTAGTACTTTCGATTTGTGTGTTCTGCGTTGTAGGTGTGCGTGTTGTGGTGATGTGCGGGCTCCGCAGCTGCTGCTCGCTGCTGTGATTGCGACGCGCTTGCCTCCGCCGCACTCCTTTGACGCTGACATGCGCTTGTCTTTTGTTCTCGCAATTGCTAACTCCTAGGGTGTTATGCGTTTGCTCAGAGAGAGCGCGAAGGGCGCGCCAACGTCGCTGCTAGAGGGTTAGCACGCGGTCGATGCGGAGGTAGACGCGGAGGTCCGTGGATGGGAGCTGGCTGCACCTCCGCGCGCCAGACAGCCAGGCTAACGATGCGCAGGCTGTAGTGCTATGCTGTCGGACGCAGCATTCTCGCCCTGGTTCCGTGTAGATAAGTAGGAGCGACGAGCGGAGTGTACATGGCGCATGTACGTTGTGCGCTCCCGCTGTAGATCGAACTACCCTATACGAACCTCAACACCAACTTGGCCCCGTGCGGCACCTTCTGGAGCTCGTACTTTTGTCCGCGTCGTCGACTGAATGCGTCTCGTTCTTCGCGTATGCGGTCGCTAGTTCCGACTTCATTACTGCACTTCGTCAGCTCCGACCCCTTAGCCCTTGGGTAACCCCCGCACAGCCTGCACGCTGGATCGGGATGGAGGGAGAAGAAACGTACGAATCGAGCTAAAGCCCTCCGCAATGCACATGCTCGCTTCTTCATGGAGCACCCAGAGGTACCGGCGCATTTCCTCGAGCTTCTCCACGTCCTCCCTAGGAGCAGTACCCACCTCCCCAGCTCCAGGAACGCGTCCGGGTTGCGGTGTACGATTGCGGGGGAAGCGCTGATCCGCACGCCGCCGGGGATGTAGTGGCCAGAATCATGGTGCTTCGTGGGAGGAGGGATGCGGTATTGTAACCGCGGCGTTAGCGTTGGTGTGTAGGCGTGTAGGACCTCAGCCGCCGCCGCAGCCTCACCATCACACCGACGAGCTTCAATCATCCAGCTGCTCGAAATCCAGAACCCTATCTATACATGCATCTTCCATCCGCTCGTCGCTCCTCAGCCTCCCCTGCATCCCAGCCCGCCTCCCCATCGCAGCTCCATACCCACCACTGTCCGCGGCGCCTCAAACAGTCCAGCAGTCCAGCCGCGACGCGCTCTCATTCCCTTATCCGCATGCCCTGCATTTCATTCCCCAGCGCGAACGAAGCCTTGAGCTATTCCTACGCCGCGCTGCGCTGAGTGAGGCGCCTCCCTCCCTGCCTCCGCGTCCAGATAGCATCGACGCTCCTTTAGTCCAGGTTAAGCCCAAAATCAAGGAAGCACTCCAGCACTCCAACTCCCCCCGCGCCTATTCGTGCCATTTGGAGGCGAAGTAGCGAATATACACGCTGCTGCCGATGCAAAGGCCACCGTTCAGCGCTTCCTTGAACGCCCCCTATCCGCCTCGCTGTCTTGTTCCCTGTGAGCCGCGTTTATTAGGGAGTAGTGGCATGTCTTGCGTCTTCTCATGTGCGGTTAGGAGTTAGGAGGTGTGGTGGAATTGTGGGGTGTAGATGGAGCTGGAGCTGGAGCTGGAGGTATGGTAGAGGTGTACTGAGTCTATCTCTTTGGGCTGGGCGGAATGGGGAGAACGTTTTTGATGGATGTATATCTTGTGCGGCGCCGCGGCGTAGCACTCGTAGCTAGAAATCCTAAGCCTGAGCTCGCGGGGGCAGATACAAATTCTAAGCCTCCCTACAAACCGTTTAGGCACGATATATAGCTGAGAAAAAGGTACACAAGTCAGTCAGTCAAGCCCAAGCGGTAAAGTAGAAGATCTTCGGAAGAGGCGGTGTTCGTAGTGCTGAATAACTCCACCCATACCGTACGTGTATCGATACACGATCAATGCCTCGCACTTTAATCTTGTGGTTACCAGCACGTGCATGTGGATGGATAGGTGTATGGGTGTATGGGTGTTGACGTACTAGCTAGCTACTTATATATGCATGTGCATGTAGATTGCTGCAATCCTTCCCCGGGGTATATCTACGAACTGCATCTACATCTTCTTTCTTTTTCTGTTCTTCGTCTCCACTCGCTTCTCAGTTGAATCGAGTCGAGTCGAGTTGAGCTGGATCAGCGAAAGCGTGGCTAATTTCACCATGGCAAACAGGGATGAGGGGACGGCGCTGCTCTTGCGATTGCTCTTGCAATTGCTCTGCTATTCTATTCTCCCCCCCCCCTCTCCCCCAATTTAGATCTATTATTATCGTGTATCTGCACACACGCAAACAGATAGAATAGCCAAGTCATACCCATACCCTTCCACCCTTCCTCCCTCCCTCCCTCCCTCCCTCTATCAATTCATTTATTCAACTCATTCCACCCCATCCCACTTCACCCCCGATGTCCAAAAAATACAAGACAAGACGTCCATCCAGCAAGGGAAGCGCAGAGAAACGAGAAAGTTGGTATAGGAGGACGAGGAGGACGAGCAAGAGAGCTAATGTATGCATTCCCCCATGCAGTAGTAGCCGAATATATTGTAGCTGAATAGTACAGCAACGCGGCGCAACGCAATGCGATGATTCTTCTCTTCCGTTGCCTTCTCTTCTCCTCTGCTCTACTCTACTCTTTCCACGCTTACTTACCTACTCGAGACTTATCAGAAAATGAATTCACAACCCGAGAAGGTTAGTAGAGCTATGTGTTGTTAGCGGGAGGGAAAGGAAAAGGGACCAACAAACGAACGAAACGAACGAAGCAGCAAACACTCACTCTCCCCAGCCGAATAGCCGAGAATCCGATATGTAAACGCCTCTTCCACCAATACCCTCACGCCCAAACCAATCCATCATCACATGCCACATGCCACATGCCGCACGCAAAAAACATCCAAGCACAAACATCATCAAGAAGCACAGGCGGCCCTCTCAGGGGCTCATATTCCTATTCCTAATTTTGCAAATACAGCGTCATCCAAAGGCGGGGGCCACGCTCCACGGTCCAGACCGCCCCGGATTGACCCACTCCGACAGCACTTCGATGTTGTAATTGAGCAAACACTCCGCCCCACACCGAAACCCACGCATACCCCCTCCTCTCTGACGCAAAGCCTAACGCAGAGAGCTAAGTGGACGAACGGCCGCACGCAGCAAAGGGCGCTATCCATACATGCGCAAAGGGGGCAGAACCGGAAGAAGCGCGTCAGAAAGCCAGGAAGACTTCGGGACAACAAGGATAAGGGGAAGTAAAAGAGGTAAGACACGAGAGAATACATGGGGGGCCAGGGGCTGGCGCCCGGTTGTTTTATTGAGGATGTCGCTGCAGGCCGTTGCAAGCGCGGAGTTTTGATGCCGTAAGTAATGATGCGGCGAGGAGAAGTGGACCGCGGTACCTCGCTGTGGAGAGTGCCCGATTCGGAGAATGGCTGCGTGCAGCGGGATTCGATCAGAAGTCGGGGAACAGGTGACCATGTCTAACGCAGCGTTGTCAGCATTCACAAACGTACAAGGCGGAAAGGTCAACGTACGGGTCTTCGCCACTCTGTCCGTATGCCTCAGTCTCCTCAGGATACTTGTCGAACTGGCTGGCATCTCCGACACCGGCCCGAACCGGGGGCACATACGGCGCATCGATGTCCTTCTTCTGCAGCCTCTCCCACGTCACCTCCGCAAACCAGGGGTGGTTCATCACGTCTTTGCTTCCGGCGTGCAGATTGCCAAGCCGCTTGGTCAGATCGGGCGTGATGAGCTTCTGGAGCAGGTCCTGGGCGTCCGGGTGGATATACGGCGGATATTTTACGCGCCCCTTTAGGATGTTCTCGTAAATCTTCATGGGCGAGCCGCCGTCCCAGAAAGGCGTGAAGCCGCACAGCATTTCGAAGATGAGGATGCCAAGCGACCACCTTTTGTTGTCAGCGGAAACGGCTTGGTGAGCGGACAAAGAACTCACCAGTCCACGGACTTGTTGTACCCCTTTGATGCGACGACCTCGGGCGCAAGGTAGTCAGGCGTCCCGCACAAGGTCCAGGTGATGTCGGGGACCTCTTTTGCAAAACCGAAGTCGGTGATTTTCAGATGTCCGTGTCGGTCCAGCAGCAGGTTCTCGGGCTTCAGGTCGCGGTAGATGATGTTCTGCGCGTGTAGATAATCGAGCGCGAGGGTGACCTCAGCAGCGTAGAATTTGGCGACGGGGTTGGGGAATCGCTGGACAAGGTAAGCATAGGTATCTCAATCTGGAGCGTGCTGCTCTCACCTGGGATTTCCGCAGCAAGCTGAAGAGCTCGCCGCCTTCTACGAAGTCCATGACCATGTACAGGTTCTTTGAGTCCTGAAAGGTGCCCCACAGAGTGATCAGGAACGGGTGCTTGACCTGCTGCAGCATGCGGCGCTCGTCATTGGTGTGCTCGACCTGCTTCATCTTGACCACCTGGGCCTTCTTCAGCACCTTGACGGCGTAGAAGCGCTGGTTGTGCTTGGACTGCACGAGGTGGACGCGCCCAAAGCTGCCGGTGCCCAGGGTCCGCTGGATGGCGAAGTCGCCGAGCGTGTACTTGCCCTTTGTGACGCGCACCTGCTGCGGCGCGGGCTGTGACTGCTGCACGCCGCCATTGGCGGGCTTGCTGGCGTGCTGCTGGTTCTGGTACTGGTGGTTCGTGGACTGGTTGTTGGACGGGTGTATCAGGTTCTGTATGCTCGGGACATTGTGCGATGTCTGCTGATAGGGCTCCGGAGATGACTGCGGGGTCGCGTAGGCCTGCTGCGGGTAGGTGGAGGGGTTCATGGAGTCGGCGGGCTTGTGGGAGGGCGCCTTCGAGGCCTGGGTGCTGTGCGAGGCGGCGTGGGCGTCCTCCTTGGTCGAGGCCTTGCTAATGACGGAGCCGCGGTTCTTGGAGGAGGTCGGGGTGATGGGCGAGCCGTCTTTGATGGGCGACGTCGGCGAGTCGAGCTCTCGGGAGCCCGTCGAGTCCTTCGTCCGCTTCTTCTTGAGGAATCCGAGAGTCGGCATAAGAGCGGCGGTGGAGGAATGCTGCCACGCCCTGGCTCGACGTGATCGCCGCGGGGGTCTTCAGCGGGAGGCAGCGCAGGCGACAATGGGCGGCTACAGGGCTGCTGGCGGAGGAATTGAAGCGCAGGCGGCGGGCGCGCGGGGCATAGGGGGAGCGGGTGGGCGAGGGCTGCTGTGTGAAGCGTGGTGGAGGGCGCCGCGCGGGTGAAGAGTGAGGGGGCTGGTCGCTGGCGGCGGTGTTGAGGCTCCCCCGCGAGGGCAGCAGCCGCGATTCAGCGGGCAGCGGGCAGCGAGTAACAAGGGATCGCTTACCAGGTCGCAGATCGGGCGGCCCCCGTCAAAGAAGATGCCGATGCCCATCCAGGGTGTCCACTGTGCAGCGTCGCCACGGTTGCGGAAGAATTCCATGCATTCAGCTAGCTCTCGTTCCGCGCGCCGCCGCCGCGTGCTATGTACGCAGGCAGCAGCAGCTCGCCGGCACTGCTCCTCTTGCTGCTGCTGCTGCTGCCGGTGAAGGGCGTTTGCCATTGAGGCGCCGTGTCGCACAGTGCGCGCCAGGAGCGGCCAATGGCCGTTGCGTCATGCTTCACGGCCGTCCCGAGAATCCGTGCGGACGGCGATCCTGAGAAACACAAGGCATCGAGACCCCGAACGCCCTCATGCCATTAATATCCATGCTGATCCCCCTCCAGACCAGCCCGAGCCCGAAAATCCCTCCTGAGGGGATAGCCACAGTGGCTCCCTGCCATATGAACAAGTCCCTCCGCATATATGTACAACAGATCAAAGGAAGCTTGCCCTTCAACCTCCCGCGTGTTCGGCGGGAAGAGAAAACCAAGGCGTATAGCGCAGTTCTTATAGTTCTGCAGCCGCCGTATCTCCTTCATCGGCGGCGACCGCCTGCAGCACGGGCCTCGTCCAGACCTCCAGGTCGAGCCCGCATACCTCCATGCGCCGCTGCCGGAATTTTTCATACAGCTTTTCCCATGCGTCCCTTGCCTGCCCGTTCTTGGGCCGCAGCTTGGCCCTGTCATAGTACGGCACGTCGTATTCTGGGCCAGGGAGCTCGGGGTCCGAAAGCCGCACGTACGTGGTCGCCTGCTCGAAGATGGTGGCATTAAAGCCGTCAATCGCATCCCGCAGCTTCTGCGACTCGTAGACCACGTTCCCCATGGAGAGCGACCAGTCAGAGATCAGCGACTCTGGCGCTGCGAATGCTTCCCGAAAGAGATCGATGTCTTTCACGGGCCTGGACGACCGCGACGCCTTCAGCTGCCGGAAGCTCTCGCGCGATGGGTGAATGAGCAGCAGAGACGTCGACAGATCCTTCCGTTCTGGCGTGGCGGGATATGCAGCCATCGGCTCACTCTTGGAAAAAGCAAGCAACGAGTCCAGGGCCGACGCATCGAGCAGCACGCCTGGCCCTTGGAGATAGATAACCCTCTCATACTCTGTGAGCAAGTACAGGCTTGCCAGGGAGTAGGAGGACGGTAATGAGTCTGGAGTAGGTACTGTTAGCTGCTGATACTGTTGTAGGAGATGCGATACCTACCGTCTCCTCCGTCAACGATGGTCTCCATCGGTATGAGAGTGACTCCATAACGCCGAACCGCTGTCCTGAGCAGCCGCCTCGTCGTGCTCATCTGGGGATCCCACTCATCCTCGCCGGCCTTCTTCAGCCAGATCCTTGGAAACATCAAAATCCTCTTCGCCGGACTTTTCATCTTGTGAAAGTCGGCAAGCAGCATCACTGCGCTGCATAGTTCGACGTGCGCCCTCACAACCTGCACATAGCCCAACCGGCTCCAATCGAGAGTTTGCCCAGCTATCAGCTGCTCGGCCGACTCATCCACCGCGGGCCTTCCGCCCATCGGTCTCGCCCACTTTACATTCAGTGTTGGCGGCTCTATTGGTATTGGTGCGGGTAGCGGCTTGGGAAGGCGCGGCTTGATCGCTGCTTGCAGAGAGTGCACGTATCTCTGCTGCAGCACGTATCCGGACAGGAAAAGCGCGAAGGTGAAGAGAAATACTGCAAGTGTCAATTTTGCAGCACGCCATAGCATCGAAGATTAGAACCCACCGATGGCTGCAGATAACACAATGGAGACCTGCCCAGACGTGAGCAACAGCTTGCCCATGTTGAAATAGCACAGAATGGAATATGAAACCGGGTATCAAAATGGGTATAGATGCTAAGCAATACAGCGCATGAAGAATGCAGCAACAGAGCTCGTGAAAGGCGTAAGTATCGTGAATTCGTGCGACGTAGTGAAGTGCAGCGATGCGATGCGCGTAGGGCTGTACTATTTACACCTGCGTCGGTCCGGCAACTATCGATAAGAAACCCTTGGCGTGAAATTCACAGCACCTTCACGCCTCCACGACCTACCATCACAGACCCAACGCCACCACCCACTCGCTCTCACCAACACGACGAAATAATGCGATAGCCCCACCCCACTTGCAACCCGCCACCATGTCCACCCTCCCCGCCCACGACCGCGCCGACGCCAAAGCGCTGCTCGACGACCGCGGCTACACAGGCAAACTGATCCGCGGCCAGAACCCCGCGCTGCTCTTCGAAAAGGGCGTGCGCGAGCGCATCATCGAGTCGTACTACTGGAAAGAGCAGTGTTTCGGCCTCAACGCCGCGACGATCTGCGACCGCGCCGCGGATATGAAGTTCATCGGCGGCACGACGGGGATCATGGGCCGGCCGACCCCGTTCCTGTGCCTCGCGTTTAAGCTGCTGCAGCTGGTGCCCGAGGATGCGATTGTGCGGGAGTATTTGAATTTTCGGGATGAGGAGGAGGGGGAGGAGGGGGATGGAGAGGATGGAGAGGATGCGATGGATGAGGATGCGAAGGATGACGAAAAGAAAAACGGCCAGGCAAACGGGCACACCCACGACAGCGATCTCAACGCTGCGGGGAAGCTGGGCTCGTTCAAGTACCTGCGCTGCCTGGCCGCGTTTTACATCCGGCTTGCCTGGGAGCCTGTCGACATCTACAAGACGCTGGAGCCGCTGCTCACCGACTACCGGAAGATCAAGCGGCGGACGAAGGACGGGTTTACTCTGACGTTCGTGGACCAGTTTGTCGATGATTTGCTGACTAAGGATCGTGTCTGCGCGACGGCGTTGTGGAAGCTGACGCCGAGGAGTATTCTGGAGGATTTGGAGATGCTTGATCCGAGGGAGAGTCCGCTGGCTGGGGAGGTGGATGCTATGGATGAGGATGAGGGGAGTGGGGAGAGCAGGAGCGTGAGTAGAAGCAGAAGCAGAGGCAGGAGTCGCAGCTGGAGTAGGAGTAGGAGTAGGAGTCGGAGCAGAGATAGGAGTTGGACTAGATCCCAGAGTCGGAGTCGGAGTCGAAGCCGAAGGAGGAGCAGGAGCGACAGCGAAGACTACAGAAGGCGAACGAGAAGCAGAAGTATGGATAGCCGGGATGGTCGGTGAGAGCCGCGCACAGCAGCGATTCTTCTGCATTGAGCATGACGATGACGGTCACCGGAACCGTCTTACGGTATTCAGATTTCACCTCGGTGTTTATCAAGCACCCAGGATTGGCGTGGCATCAACTCGACCCTGTATCCCACCCTGCAAAGTCCTCGGTGCTCTTCGCTGCCTACTCAAATCCAGAACTTTGCGCATCGGATACTCAACCCTTGTGGTTCTATCCCCTCGTCTCAGCATAGGATTCAAAGATGCCTCTAGCAGCGCTCGATCTCCTTGCGCTCCCAAGACAGCTTCGGGACAGGATCTATTCCCTACCTCTCGCGACCAAGGCTGCTGGATATGTCTTCGGGAAGGATGTCCGTGAAGAATGCTTCTGGGAGCCGGAGCAGCTCGAGGACGCGTTCACGCTGCGTCTGTTCCATCTACGAGGCGATGCCGCATGGGATGCTTGATCGGATCGAGCGGGCAGCGAATACAAGGCGGTGGCGGGGGAAGCGCGGTGGGGAGGCGAGGAACGAGTAGTAGGACTAGATGTGTACTTTAGACCGAGAGCTACGAATATTATGCTGGATGAACGGATAGTATGACGCGGTGAATAGATATGCAAAGATGGTGTCGCCGTCTCCGTGTAGCGTAAACAACTGAGGATCAACCTAAATACAAACTTGGATTCCCACTCCGCGCTCAGACTGAAGCATAGCCAGCTTCGTACTCTACGTCCTGTCTTCCTCCATGCACCGTATGAAAAGTCGTACACACCCCAATACATTTAATCGTTCCACAAACCCACATGTCTACGCAACACCACTCCCCCCTCCCTCCTCCATGCCCCCCCCAACATAACACAACACAACACAACCGACATTTCTATCACCCAGTCTCCGAGAAAACATGACGTTCGGCAGCTCTTCGGCCTTTTGCCATCCATGTAAGGCAAGTGCGACAATATCACGCGGCCAAGACTCTGCGTTTGTGTATCTCCGCGGAACGGAAGAGGTGCGGACCGGTTGGACTTCACGACAGAGTTTGCTACACGCGCTGGGGATGGGATGGGCGAGGAGCGGCGAGCGAGGGGAGGTGAGGGTAGTGGATGGGTGAGTTGATTAATGGGGTGTGTTGGGGTTTTGTGCTAATAGGGTTCTAGTGCTTGCTATGCTACAGCGTCGCCCGCTCGTGCGATGCTACGTGTATAGAGTGGCTGGCTTTGCGAACCGAGAGGCGAGTACGCGCTACGCATCGCTACTGATAAAAAGGCTTCTGTTGCATAGGTTTCAGCATGAGGTGGATGGACGGTAGACGTCTGGCGGCCTGGCTCGGAATTGGAGCGGCTTTGAGCGCTTACGCTTGTTCCCAGTGCGGCTGGTTGTTGCGGAGGTGGGTATGCTCTACGCGTGAGAGAGGATCATGCCCTTAATCGTTAAAAGCATCAGGGTTGTGGGCCTGCCCGGGACGAGGTAGGGGAAGTGCTGCCTTCGGTTCGGCATGCGGGTATGAGACGGTGCAGGAGCTTTGATATGGACGAAGGTAAGGGAGTATAGATGCTTGCGGGCACTCCGGCAGCGTCTCTGGCCTTGACGCGTAATCTCCAGGAGATGTTTTCCGTGGTCTTGGATCTTTCGGCTCCACTGAAAAACAGGTGGAGAGGACTCGTACGATGTCCGGCCCACAACGCACTGCTACGGTGTATTCGCCTCAGTCGACAATCTACAGGTGGGGATGATGGATCCAGCGACCGCATGGGAGAACCTCTTTCTTCGCTTCTCCGGCGTTGCTCCGCCGATGTCGCCGCCACAACCCTCGTTGGCGCCGGGGCTGCTCTGCATGGTACGGCTACTACCACGAGGAATCTGTATCCCCGCGGGAAGTAGGAGAGGTGCAGATTAACTTTGACAGACTTGGGACCAAGAAATTGAAACTCTTAGACTGCACTCCGGAGCTGAAGGATAGTCGATGGGGGTGTCGTTGGCGACAGCATGACAACAGCCGAGCATGGCGAAGAGATGGAATGATCGCCTATGGAAAGGCAGGTTATGGCCTTGTGTGAGCGAGGCTATTTAGTAGGCGCAGGTTGGTAGGCGCGGCGAAGATAAGGGACTGTCGGGCGATGTGATTGGTGAGTTCACTGCTGTGTACACAGACACCCTTCCTCCACAGGAACCAGAAGTGTTCAGTCCGCAAGAAAGTGACTGACAATCTCTAGAAAGAAAGTCTACGAGGCCTCCCGAACGGCTGGAGGCGTATCCTCAACTCGCGTTGATCCTGAGGTTGGCGCGAGTCGCAATTCGTGCGTCGCCAGGACCATCCCCCCGGACTCCAGGCTGCAAAAGCAAACCCAGGGAAGCCTCCGTCCTTGTCGACGCACTCGCCATTTTGGATTCCTCCGCATTTCGAAATCATTCGAGGGACAGCAGAGCGCTGGGTTTTTCCGGGGTACAGCAGCGATGGGCTCCCGATTTCGAGTTTCGGCGACACAGTCGACTCGACAACCACGACCGCGGAGATGCGGCGTACATATGTTGTATGGGAGAGCAGATAAGGATCGCCTGTTCGGGCCTGACCCTATGCCCCTAGCGTATGAGGATATCGCCAAGAGATAAGACAGGACGCCGCTCCGCTGCTGCCAAGGCACTCCCGCCCCCACCATCCCGCGCCTGAAGTCTTCAGCCAACCTCAGTCGACCGCAAAAACGTTCCGCCGTCCCTTTTCGGCGCTGAATCACTCGAGGTGGGCCATCAGCCAGACCCAACGAGATGCCGTGAAGCTCCCCAGGCGCCACAGCGCTGATCGGAAGGCTTGCTCCAACCACACCCGGCGCCGCTTGCTTTTGCTCCACCCGCTTGGCGCTCATTTCGCCCGCAACGATAACGGATTCGAGCTCCCCCTCCGCGCTCTAGACTGCCGCATGTACTCCGGAGAACGTTCATCTTACTTGGCGTCTGGGTGGAGCTGCACTACACGTCTTGACCAAGCTTGGTTTTGCGTCAGTGATCTTCACCGCGGAAGTACCGTTTAGACGTCTGTGTCGCTGCCCGCTATATATTCGTGTATCACGCCCTACCCTGGTCCTGCAAGGAAGCACGAACACCTCGTCTACATTCGATCTCGACCGGTTTCTCTCTTTGGCAAAGGCCCTTCATTCTCCTCAAAAGGCAGCCCACAGGAGACTACCCCCGGATTTCAACATGGGTTTCCAGCTGAAGCAGCTCTGGAGCGCTCCGGAAATCAACCCGTACAACAAGAAAGCAAAGTCCATCCCTGTGTTCAATCCTGTCGATAAATATGGACGAGTGTTTTTCTTCTCCTATTTGGGATTTTTCATTGCTTTCTGGTCGTGGTATGTGATCCCCACAATCACCTTCTCCGATCCCCACAATCGGCTGACTCTCGCAGGTACGCGTTTCCGCCTCTGGTATAGTGACCCGTAATCTATCCGCAACGATGAGCCCAGTCCTAACCTTCCATAGCTATCCGTAACCATCAAGAAGGATCTTCATCTCTCCCAGAATGAGGTCGCCAATTCCAACATTATCTCCTTGACGGCCACGCTCGTGATGCGCGCCATTGCCGGTCCACTCTGCGACAGATTCGGGCCTCGCCTCACGTTCGTCGGCTGCCTTCTGCTCGGAGCGATCCCGTCTGCGCTTGCTGGTACCGCCCACAACGCCGCAAGCCTCTATGCCATCCGCTTCTTCGTCGGTATTCTCGGCAGCACCTTCGTGCCTTGTCAAGTATGGACGACTGGCTTCTTCGACAGGAATGTGGTCGGAACTGCCAACGCCTTGGTAGGAGGCTGGGGTAACTCCGGTGGTGGTATTACTTAGTAGGTAGTCCCTTCTCCGCTCGTCCTACCCTACTAATGCCCTCAGCTTCGTCATGCCTGCTATCTACGATTCTCTTGTACACAAGAGCGGGCTGACACCTCATGTCGCCTGGCGTGTCTCCTTCATCGTGCCCTTCATCCTCATCACTGCTACCGCTATCGCCATGCTTCTCCTAACCGAAGACACTCCCACCGGCAAGTGGTCCGACCGCGAGAAGGCGGTACCTGTTGGCCACACCAACGCCACCATTGTCCCGACGACCGGCGACCTCACCGATAAGCCTACAACCACTGGCTCATTCTCTTCAAACGACGACAAGAAGACGCCTATCGTTCCAGCAGATGTCGAATCCGCTACCGGAGAAGTCCAGATCATCGACGAAGTCCAGCACGAGGTCATCGTCAGCCCTAGCGGCAAGGAGATCCTGAAAATCCTGTGCTCAATCCAGACTATCACGCTCTGCGCCGCATACGTCTGCTCGTTCGGCGGCGAGCTGGCTATCAACTCCATCCTGGGCTCGTACTACCTGAAGAACTTCAAGCACCTCGGCCAGACACAGACATCGTCTGGCCGATGGGCCGCCATGTTCGGTCTCCTCAACGTCATCACGCGACCGGCTGGCGGCTTCTTCGGCGACCTGATCTACAAGTGGACCAACCACAATCTGTGGGCGAAGAAGCTGTGGATCCACTTCGTCGGCATCATGTCCGGCATCTTCCTCATCGTGATCGGCAAACTTGACCCTAAGAATCTCGATGAGATGATCGGTCTCATTGCGCTGATGGCTATCTTCCTGGAGGCGGGTAATGGCGCTAACTTTGCGCTGGTGCCGCATGTGCATCCTTTCGCCAACGGTAAGACGCTCCCGTCCTGACTATCTGAAGCAGTCCGCTAACGTTGCGTGTAAAGGTATCGTCTCCGGCCTCGTCGGCGCCTCGGGCAATCTTGGCGGCATCATCTTCGCCATCATCTTCCGCTACAACGGCACGCACTATGCGCGCGTCTTCTGGATCATGGGCGTCATGGTCATTGGCTTGAACGTCGGGTTCATCTGGGTTCGGCCCATTCCAAAGGGCCAGATTGGTGGTCGCTAGGTGCACTTTGTTCGTCCGCGTCGAGTCTAAGTCTGGTCTTTCTGCTCGCCGCTATGGGCACGTTGCAATATACGTTCGAGATGTCGAGATACCTTAGATTTTGCATTGCGATATCCGCGGGCTAGGTTTTGTAATGAAAAAGTTTCTATTGGATTACAAAGAGTTCTACTCGTGGGCGTGTGCAGTTAAATATCTTGAGGCTTTCGTACTGAGATGTGCAATAATCCTGCAGGTGCAGTTCCACTCACAGCCAATCGAATGGATCCTTCTTGTTGCATGCAAACCCTCCTTGTAATGGCAGCACAGCCTCCTGTGGCGCAGGCAGCGCTAAGCCGGACGCAGCGCGAGGAATTGCTCTGCAGCCTACCTCCCTGTGATCCTGTCGGCAGAGTAATTCAAAACCCGTCTCCATTCAACCCGCACTCATCTACAGGACTGCCAGAAGTTTGTTAAACTCGTCAAATATCTCACTGTCGAACTCCTCGATGAGATCGTTGCCCACCTCTGCAGAAGTGAGCGTGTTGAGGAGGCACTTGCGGACCAGATTCGCCATCGTGTCTCCTGCAGATTGAGGGACTCTCTCTTTCGCCACCGACACCAGAGTCTCTTGGACGTTCAAAGCGTCTTTCGTGTAGAGCTCTGCCTTGGAAACGTCATCTTCCTCTGACATCTCGATGCCCGCGTGGAAGTCCAGATTCTCGAGCGCGTGCACATAGGCGTGCGACAGCGTTGGAGGATCGTGGAGAGTCTTTCCTGGGCGGAAGAGGACTTCCCAGGTCAGCAACTCCAGCATGCAGACACCAAGGCTGTAGATATCGTGGCCGATGTTGTAGTTTTCCTTGGCTTGTCCTTCTTTCAGCTGCCGATCCGGGTGCTGGTAGAGGCTTTTATGGACGCTGGAGTCTCCGAGTCTTGCTGTGGCCGTCCCGTGGATGATGCGCGCGTTTTGCCAGCCTGCGAGATAAAGCGAGGCGTCTGTGATGGCGTCCTGACCTTCCCTTTTGGGTGCGATGAGGGGGTTGTCTGGTCGGATGTGCTTATGCACCAGATCCAGTCGATGGGCTTGGAGGACTGCGATGGCAAGTTGGCTGCAAAGACGGATGCGCACGTTGAGCGATGGGGTTGGTGTGTCTGCAGCATAGATTTTCGCGAGAATAATGAGCTCGCAGCCTGGCTGAGGCCGATCGTAGACGAGGTCTACTGCTTCTCCAGCGGCATCCAGTCGGTAGCCGATTAGATGAGGTACGTTCCAGTGGGCAAGTGCGCGGCTTAGTTTAGTTGCTATATCGCGGATATCTCGCTCCGCTTCTTTTTTGGTGCTGTCCGTGTACGGTTTCGACTCTATCAAGACTTCCCTGTCGGTCGCCTGCGTTTGGCCCGGTGCGACATGTGATGCCTTCGCGGTCGAAATAGCTTCACTGACTTGTTTAAGTCCAGAGGAGCCAATGAGTCGCAAATCTTGAGCCGTGAGGAGCGCGGAATCGCTCGAGCTAACTGCTCGCATTCTCCCTACGCCTTGATGGAACTTCGAAGCAGCCTCGTCGAAGACGGCCACTTTAGACCTCAGCTCCTTTTCCGCCCGCATCCTGCGATACAATTTCAATCCGGCTGAGCCTGTGGGCTCAAGAACCGCGTCTATCGCCAATGGGAGGCTGTCCAGGATCCCGGAGAGGGAGTTGAAGTCTCTTGCCAAACGGTCCTCGCATCGTCGTCTGCGCCATCTCCAAATCTTCTTTGAGATCTTGCCTTCGATCACTAAGGCTGAAAAGCTTCAGGCTCTGTGCGAGTGCTTCGGTCTTCTTGTGGTCCTCTCGGCGTTGCTCAATTCGATCCCAAGAACAGAGCGACGAAACCGACCGCAGCCATTGCAAAGCGACGACCTCAAGTCCCGCCATTTTTGATATCCGCGAGAAATAAAACCGGTCTGTAGTGTGGAGTACCTTCGATGCGGAGCAGTGTGTCGATCTATCTCGAAATGAGGTGGTGGCCAAGGCTGAGAGCAAACCTTGGAACGTTCCACGATTTATTTTGGTTAGTCCTGAGGAGTCATGCGCTCGATGGCTTATTTCCCTATTGGTCTCTCCTCTGGGTAGCTGAAAAGCATGATATGGTGCTACTCCGCCTTTCGCTATGAAGCCGACCTACCAGCGTGCGGAGAGTCTGCCACCGGGCGCCGCATGCAGCTGCGGACAGCTCAGCTCCTCTCAGCCCTCTCGCAGCCGCCCCAAAACACGAGGGATGCAGCGCTGGGCAAGATATTGTGGCCGCTAAATGTTAGAGAGGCGCACCGTTCGCGTAACTACCGTAGCGCGCAATAGAGGTTCTGTAAAGCTATTTCTTAATAATATTATCTAGAAAGAGTTAACTAACGTACTTGATAAACGAACCCTCCAGACAAACGAGCCCCCCACGATTTCTTGGCAAGGAAAATTAATAAAAATTAACAGGTTTTTCTTAAATAACGTACTTTACAAGCGAACCAACTACACAAGCGAGGAGACCACCTTTTTCTTGGCAAGAAAATCAACGAAAATTAACCTATTTTTCTTAAATAACTAAGCGAAATCTTAATATTTTTCTATAAAAACTTATATATATATTCTTTATAGTATATTACACCTTATAGTAAAGTTATACTAAGATATATTACGTAATTAAAAAGCTATACGTATTTAGGTAACTTTTAAGAAAAATCTAGTTTACTTCTAGTTAGTACTATTATATCTCTATAATAATCTATAAAACTTATAGTATATAGTATTTATAACTTAATAAAGGTTTCTAGAAAACTTTTATAGAGCTAGCTCTTCTAGGTATAGCGTAATAAGAGATAGAAGTTAGAAAAATATCTTTTTTAGAGTTTTCTTTTCTAACTAACGTACTTTATAGGCGAAAGCCCTACACGGGCGAATCCTCTACAATTTCTTAGCAAGAAAAATTAACGAAAATCAACTCGTTTTTCTTAAATAACTAAGCGAAACTTTAATATTTTTCTATAAAAATTTATATATATATTCTTTATAGTATATTACACCTGCTACTAAAGTTACACTAAGATATATTACGTAATTTAAAAGCTATACATATTTAAGTAACTTTTAAGAAAAAATCTACTTTTCTTCTAGTAAGTACTATTATATCTCTATAATAATCTATAAAACTTATAGTATATAGTATTTATAACTTAATAAAGGTTTCTAGAAAACTTTTATAGAGCTAGCTCTTCTAGGTATAGCGTAATAAGAGATAGAAGTTAGAAAAATATCTTCTTTAGAGTTTTCTCTTCTAACTATATATATATATAGTTAATCTAGCTATAAATCTTATTATTATATAAATTATAGTAGACTTTAACTATATAGAGCTTATTAACTAATAATATACTAGCTTTAAGTAGTTATTTAAAAGTAAAGCCTTTTTATAGTATAGTATAAAAAGATAGAAATATACTAAAACTATATTAAAATTATTACTTCTAAATATATAGAAGACTTATAATATATAACTTTATATAGCTAGATTATTAATATATATCTATAGTTAGAGAAGAAAAGTCTAAAAAGAGTTTTTTAAACTTCTATCTCTTATTACGCTATACCTAGAAGAGCTAGCGCTATAAAAGTTTTCTAGAAACCTTTACTAAGTTATAAATACTATATACTATAAGTTTTATATATTATTATAGAGATATAATAGTACTTACTAGAAGTAAAGTAGATTTTTTCTTAAAAGTTACTTAAATATGTATAGCTTTTAAATTACGTAATATATCTTAGTGCAACTTTGGTAGCAGGTGTAATACACTATAAAGAATATATATATAAATTTTTATAGAAAAATATTAAAGTTTCGCTTAGTTATTTAAGAAAAACGAGTTAATTTTCGTTAATTTTTCTTGCTAAGAAATTGTAGAGGGTTCGCCTATATAGAGCTTTTGCCTATAAAGTACGTTAGAAGTATATAGAATACTAATAGAATAAGATAGTTAGATATTAACTCTATAGATTACTATAACTTTTAGAACTATCTATAGTACTATAGTAGCACGTTACTATAGACTTTATTATAAAGCTATCTAGGTTAATTAAACTTATATTATAAAGAAAGTATAATACTATCTTAGTAATTATAGACTAATTTACTAAATATATATACTTCTATCTAACTAATAAAACTCTTAAAGCTAAAGAACTAGCTTATAAGGTAAGCTAATAACTATTTAGCTAGTATAAAATACTAGAATAAGTTACTATAGATAGAGATAAACTATTTACGTCTAAGTTCTAGAACGTACTACTTAGCTAAATAGAGATAAGTAACTAAATATTAACTAGCTTTTATCTATAAACTAATAGATAAATAGAATAAACAAACTAAACCTTAGAGAAATATCTAAGAAACTACGTTAATTAAGAATAAAATAACTAGATTAAGCTACTATCTATAGCATAGCTAGTATATAATATAGTAAAATAAGAAATAATAGAAATAACTCTCTATTAAGTATATTATAGCTATAAGGCTAGAATCTATAGACTCTTAATATATATAGCTATAATCTTTCTAAAAGTAAAAGAAAAGAAGTACTAGATAAAAATAATCTATAATAAGCTATAAAGAATAGTAGAAAAAATAACTTAATAAGTAAATAAAAAAAGAATTAAGAGACTAACCTTTAAGAAGAGAAGTAAAGTTTTTATTCTACAAAAAAACTTACGTACTAAATAGTCTAGTAAGAAACTTAACTACCTATAGATTAGGCTCTTTAAAATTAATAAATAACTTAGACCTATTAACTTTAGGTTAAAGCTACTACTAATAATAAGAATACACTCTATATTTTACAAATCTAAACTTAAGCTAGCACCTAATAATATACTACTTAATAAATAAACTAAGGTAGAACTAGACTAGAACTTTAAGATTAAAAGAATACTAGATAGAAAGTATATACAAGGTTAGTAGAAGTACTAGGTTAGATAGAAAGAATACCTACTAGAGAAAGACACCTAGAAACTACTAGAAAACCTTAAGAACTACTCTAAGAAACTTAAGAAGTTTTATTAGTAGTACTAACTCTAAAGCCTAGAGACTAGAACTCTAGATTCTCTAGATAACTCTAGTTAAATAACTAAAGAGAATTAACTAGAAGAATAGAAAGTTATAGCTATAAGAGTTACTATACCTTACGCTCTAGTTACTCTAGCTTCTTAATATTAGCTAAATCTCTAGAAAGTAACGCGTTCTAATAACGCTATACTAAATCTAACTACTTCTAGAGATAATTACTACGCGCCTTAGTAGACTACTATAATTTAGTAAAACGCTCCGCCTTAAGGCTAGCCTTAGACTACTAAGAACGTAAATTAGCCGCTAGCTAATCTAGCTTCTCTACCTCTTTTAGGTCTAATATCTTATTATAGAACTAACTCTTTATAATATACTTTAAGTAGCGTCTAGAGAATACTTCTATAATATAACGTAGGTTATAAGAATAGTAAGCGCTATAAGAGTTATTAGATATATTAGTACTAGTACGTAGAATAAGGTTAGTATAATAGTAATAGTAAACTATTAAAGACTTAGTACGCGTAGGCGGTATAGTAGAGATAGAAAAGAAAAAGAGAATATAATACTATAGAACTATAGGTAATACTACTCTTATATAAGAATAGTATAGATTAATAATATACTACGTCTAGAGGTAGAATAGAGTCTTAGAATAACGTTTTAGAAGAAGAGGTAGATGTTATAATTATAGAATTAGAAATAGAGTTAGCTAGCTAGAATAGAGAAAATAGTAAGCTAAGCCTAGAATTATAGAATAGAGAATTACGTATAAAGCTATAGAAATAATTAGAGTTACGTAACATAGATTAGATAGATTAGATAGAGTAAGGTAGATTAGGTCTAATCTATAGAAGCTAGGTCTTAGCTTCTAATTTAGCTAAGATAGTATATATATATAACTAGAAGAAGCTTACTTCTTATAGCTTTTTATAGTTATTACTTTATTCTATTAAATTACTACTATAACTTATAATTTATAGTATTATTATCTCTACCTCTTTGTTACTAAAGATTCTAGCCTAAAGTATACCTTTTATCTCTTTTTATAAAAGTAAGCCTTAGTTTTAGTTAAAAGAATAGCTTATAATATAAAAACTCTTTAGTTATAATTATTTCTTAGAGCTAGTAACTACTATTTAAGATAATATTATTTCTATTATAAAGCTAGATTTATTAAAATTATATATATTTTTATTAGTAATACTATACTTTATCTTTATATTACCTACTAGATTAAACTATATCTAAATAATTATAGAATCTTCTTACTTTACTCTCTAGTAGTTATACGTATAATTAAGCTATATTTTAAGCTTAGAATAATATATAATAAAGTAGTTTAGCTAGATTTAACTAATAGCGTTTCTACTCTACTTAGTAAGTAGCTTATTTACTATATCTTAAATAGTAGTAAGCTAGAGAGTAAATTCTTACGTATCTAGGTTAAGTATATACTTAACTATTATCTACTCTTTATTTATAGTAAGCTTTATTTAATTAGATATCTTTTTACGTTATAGAGTAACTTTATAGTATTAATAGTAAACTTTCTTCTATTCTATATTATAGAAAGCTATAGCGTACTATAAGCTTAGCTCTAGATTCTATTAAATAGTCTAGAGCGTAAGCTATATCTAGAATTTATCTAAAGTTAATTAAACGTTTATAGAGAGCTTTATAATAGAGATAGTAGTATTTAGTAAAAGCTTAGTATTTTTAGAGTATTTAATAATATAGAGTATTTAATAATATAGAGTATTTAATAATATAGAGTATTTAATAATATAGAGTATTTAATAATAAAGTATATTAAGTTACTTATTAT